GTATGTATATTTGTCTTTGTATGCTTGTTGAACGTCTTCCGCACCATACGTGGCCAACCGTGCTAATCGGCGGTGCGGAGTGGGTGAGCGAGTGGGTGAGTGGGAGAAGAGAGAGTGAGTGTGTATGTGTCTGTGTGGGGAGCGGTAGTGTAGCGGTTAGCGCGCTGCGCTATGAACCTGGCGACCCGGGTTCGATTCCCGCTCACGGCCAACACCAGTGACGATTATCTGAACCGGTCCCGGGCCTCCGCTAGATCGACTCAGCCTCAAATGAGTAGTACCTGGTGCGATGTGTAAACATCGCCACTGGGGAAACAAAGGCGGTCGGGCGTGGTGCTGGCCACCCACCCCCTCGTGTACCGTTACCGGCCTTCATAGGCGCTCGCTAACAGCACTTGCCCCTACAGTCTGTTAAGGCTACACGGGGGATCTTTGTCTTTTGTGGGGGGGGGTGGAGTTCAATCCCCGCTCGCAGCCAACACCGAATATCTGCACTGGGCCTGCCCTCCCCGTGGGTCGACTCGGCCTTCAATGAGCGGCTCATGCAGCCCGTGAACATCAGCACGGCGGAGACTTTCGGCGGTGCTCACCGCACGCGCGTGCGCCGTCCGGCTTTCGCGGTCGCCGCTCGCTCACGGCACTTGCCCCGTCATCCGCTGCGGGCTACGCGGGCGGAACCTTTGTCTGTGTGTGGTCACGTGTGTGCCGCCCCCCCCCTACCACCACAACCACCACCACCACCACCACCGGCCTCGCAGGCTTCGAGACGTCGCGCTCTCTCGCCCTGCACGGAGCGCGAGTCTTCCTAGCGTGCCGGGACGCCGCCAGGGGCGCCCACGCCACACAGCTCATCACCAGCGAGTGGGTACGTGCTGCTCGTGGGTGTGTGGGCACGTGTGGGTATATGTGTGTGTGTGGGTATATGTGTGTGTGGGCATGTGTGGGTATATGTGTGAGTGTGTGTGGACATGTGTGGGTATATGTGTGTGTGTGGGCATGTGTGGGTATATGTGTGTGTGGGCATGTGTGGGCATGTGTGGGTATATGTGTGTGTGTGGGCACGTGTGGGTATATGTGTGTGTGTGTGTGTGGGCATGTGTGGGTATATGTGTGTGTGTGGGCACGTGTGGGTATATGTGTGTGTGTGGGCATGTGTGGGTATATGTGTGTGTGTGGGCATGTGTGGGTATATGTGTGTGTGGGCATGTGTGGGCATGTGTGGGCATGTGTGGGTATATGTGTGTGTGTGGGCATGTGTGGGTATATGTGTGAGTGTGGGCACGTGTGGGTATATGTGTGTGTGGGCATGTGTGGGTATATGTGTGTGTGTGGGCATGTGTGGGTATATGTGTGTGTGGGCATGTGTGGGCATGTGTGGGCATGTGTGGGTATATGTGTGTGTGTGGGCATGTGTGGGTATATGTGTGTGTGTGGGCATGTGTGGGTATATGTGTGTGTGTGGGCATGTGTGGGTATATGTGTGTGTGTGGGCACGTGTGGGTATATGTGTGTGTGGGCATGTGTGGGCATGTGTGGGCATGTGTGGGTATATGTGTGTGTGTGGGCATGTGTGGGTATATGTGTGAGTGTGGGCACGTGTGGTATATGTGTGTGTGTGTGTGGGCATGTGTGGGCATGTGTGGGCATGTGTGGGTATATGTGTGTGTGGGGGCATGTGTGGGTATATGTGTGTGTGTGGGCATGTGTGGGTATGTGTGTGGGTGTGTGTGGGCATGTGTGGGTATATGTGTGAGTGTGTGTGGGCATGTGTGGGTATATGTGTGAGTGGGTGTGGGCATGTGTGGGTATATGTGTGTGTGTGGGCATGTGTGGGTATGTGTGTGTGTGTGGGCATGTGTGGGTATATGTGTGTGTGTGGGCATGTGTGGGTATGTGTGTGTGTGTGGGCATGTGTGGGTATATGTGTGTGTGTGTGTGTGGGCATGTGTGGGTATATGTGTGTGTATGGGCATGTGTGGGTATATGTGTGTGTGTGGGCATGTGTGGGTATATGTGTGAGTGTGTGTGGGCATGTGTGGGTATGTGTGTGTGTGTGGGCATGTGTGGGTATATGTGTGAGTGTGTGTGGGCATGTGTGGGTATATATGTGAGTGTATGTGGGCATGCGTGGGTATATGTGTGCGTGTGGGCATGTGTGGGTATATGTGTGAGTGTATGTGGGCATGCGTGGGTATATGTGTGCGTGTGGGCATGCGTGGGTATATGTGTGCGTTTGGGCATGTGTGGGTATATGTGTGAGTGTTTTTTGGGCATGTGTGAGTGTGTGTGGGCATGTGTGGGTATATGTGTGTGTGGGCATGTGCTGAGTATGTGTGTGAGTGTGGATATGTGCTGAGTATGTGTGTGGTATGGGTATGTGTGTGGGTATGTGTGTGTGAGTGTGGGTATGTGTGTGTGAGTGTGGGTATGTGTGTGGGCATGTGTGTGGGCATGTGTGTGGGTATGTGTGTAGGTATGTGTGTGGTATGTGTGTGGTATGTGTGATTATGTGTGTGGTATGTGTGTGGTGTGTGTGGGTATGTGTGTGGTATGTGTGTGGGTATGTGTGGTATGTGTGGGTATGTGTGTGGTATGTCTGTGGGTATGTGTGGGTATGTGTGTGGGTATGTGTGTGGGTATGTGTGTGGCATGTGTGTGGTATGTGTGGGTATGTGTGTGGTATGTGTGGGTGTGTGTGGTATGTGTGGGTATGTGTGTGGTATGTGTGGGTGTGTGTGGTATGTGTGTGGTATGTGTGTGGGTATGTGTGGTATGTGTGGGTATGTGTGTGGTATGTCTGTGGGTATGTGTGGGTATGTGTGTGGGTATGTGTGTGGGTATGTGTGTGGCATGTGTGTGGTATGTGTGGGTATGTGTGTGGTATGTGTGGGTGTGTGTGGGTATGTGTGTGAGTGTGGATATATGCTGGGTACCTGCTGGGCGTATGATGGAAATTACGGCGCGTTCTAACCGTCTCTGCCTGTCTCTCTGCCTGTCTCTCTGCCTGTCTCTCTGCCTGTCTCTCTGCCTGTCTCTCTGCCTGTCTCTCTGCCTGTCTCTCTGTCTCTCTGCCTGTCTCTCTGCCTGTCTCTCTGCCCGTCCTTCTGCCTGTCTCTCTGCCTGTCTCTCTGTCTCTCTGCCCGTCTCTCTGCCCGTCCCTCTGCCTGTCTCTCTGCCTGTCTCTCTGCCTGTCTCTCTGTCTCTCTGTCTCTCTGCCTGTCCCTCTGCCTGTCCCTCTGCCCGTCCCTCTGCCTGTCCCTCTGCCTGTCTCTCTGCCTGTCTCTTTGCCTGTCTCTCTGTCCCTCTGCCCGTCCCTCTGCCTGTCTCTCTGCCTCTCTCTCCGTCTGCTCCCCAGCCCCAGGCTCAGGTGGACGTGCTGCCGCTGGACTTGTCGTCGCTGCGCAGCGTCCGGGAGTGCGCCGCCAGCTTCATCTCCCAGCGCCTGTGAGCGACCGCTCCGTGTTAACATTTACTCAGCGAGCACCCTTCCTGTCCGGCTTCGCTCCTCCCTCAAGACCCCCACCACCGTCGCCCGCTCCATCCCCAGGCACCCACCGTGATTGCTGTGCTCTTTGGTTCTATTCGGTAAAGTCACGTAGGTAAAAAAAAAACAAAGCAACAAAAAATCACGACGTTTCGGCCACAACACAAGTGGCCTTCATCAGGTGAAGGGACCTGTCCAGAGGACAGCGTTGGAGTGAAGAAAGTCAAGCGCAGGTTGCCTCCTTTAAGCTGTGAGGGGGGGGGGGGGTAAACAGAAAAAAACGCCTTGACAAAGGAATTAGCGTAAAATGTAAAGCTGTGCAAGCTTGGAATTGGCATAAAAAAATACATTAATACCACCGTGAGAGTTTGGGATGCCACTAATTGAATAAACATACTGTACCATTAAAAATCACTTTAACGTTTGGTTCGATTTAGAACATCTTTCCAATGGTTGCTTAATTTTAAACCATCTTCTCGGTTGAAATTGTGTCTGTGTTTGTAAATCTGAATTGCCTCGTGAACAAATCTCTGATAGAAACCCGTGGGTTTGCAGAGAACCTTGGTATCGGAGAAAATTATATCGTGATCACCCACAGCGTTGTAACAGTGATCAGCCACGGCAGAAGAATTCGTTCTGCCGTGTTTCAAATCTGATTTGTGCTCGCGAATTCGGTCAGAGACATGTCGCTTCGTCTCCCCGATATAGCAGTCACCACAGGTGCAGCTCAATTTGTAAACCCCGGGGTACTGTAAGTCAGGAACGACATCCTTCACGGATGGGATCAGGTCACGGATTTTGTGTACTGTATTGAACCGGACCAGGATCTTGTGTCTGTTTAGAATTTTGGAGATCTTTTTAGTAACGCCTGTGCCCACCAACCGGCCTCCCCACACCCAGTGCCGGATGATCCTCGCAGCTAAAGTAGCTCCGCATGGAGTAGCTACTACTTATGTACAGTGAGGGAAAAAACGTATTTGATCCCCTGCTGATTTTGTACGTTTGCCCACTGACAAAGAAACGATCAGTCTATAATTTTAATGGTAGGTTTATTTGAACAGTGAGAGACAGAATAACAACAACAAAATCCAGAAAAACGCATGTCAAAAATGTTATAAATTGATTTGCATTTTAATGAGGGAAATAAGTATTTGACCCCTCTTAGTACTTGGTGGCAAAACTCTTGTTGGCAATCACAGAGGTCAGACGTTTCTTGTAGTTGGCCACCAGGTTTGGACACATCTCAGGAGGGATTTTGTCCCACTCCTCGCCACGCGGTGTGCGAGCATTTGCCGACGCGCCGATCGCCGTCCGCCCGTTGCTTCGGCTCGACTCGCCGCCGGCGACTGGCGGAGGAACGATTCTCACGGCCGGATCGACACTGGGGGTGGGGGGGGGTGGGGGAGGGGGGGGGGGGGGGGGGGGCGACGTTCCGCTTGAAACCGCACCGAGCATCTTCGGGGCTACGTCCGGGAAGTCGGGATGAACCCATTTCTGACTCCACGGGTTTTGATGACAATGATGACAACGACGATGATGATCATGATGATGATGATGGTGCTAATGGTGTTGCTGCTGCTGGTGATGATGATGACGATAAAAGCTGTGTACAGCGATGATCTCGACGCTGATGCTCGTGCTGCAGCCGCGATTGCTGTTGGCGACAGCGACGACGACGACGACGATGCCGTTGACCCCCCGACCCCGACCCGCCTCCCCCCCCCCCCCCCGCCACGGCGTGCCAGGCCCCTGCACGTGGCGGTGTGCAACGCCGCCGTCTTTGCGGCGCCCTGGAGCCTCACGGAGGACCTGCTGGAATCCACCTTCCAGGTGAACCACCTGGGCCACTTCTACCTACTGCGCCTGCTACAGGAGACGCTGGTGCGCTCGGCGCCGGCGCGGGTCGTGCTCGTCTCGTCCGAGTCGCACAGGTGTGACGGTCGAGTCGGTCGGAAAGTTTCCGGGCGGTCCCTCCTCCGGGCCTACGAAGGCTCGGGTGTTTTTCTTTGCTTTCCCCCCCCCCCCCCCCCCCCCCCCCGTGGAAATGTATCGGTTAGCGCGATCGGAGGCGCCGCCTGCCCTGCTGGAAATCGGTGGGAAAGAGCTTTGTAGCTCATCGGATTCCTCCCGCGTGAATACGATGTCCGTCCGTCCGTCCGTCTGTCCGTCCACCCGTCCATTCGTCCATCCGTCTGCCATCTGTCCGTCTGTCCATCCGTCTGCCCGTCTGTCTCTCTGTCCGTCCGCCCGTCTGTCTCTCTGTCCATCCGCCCGTCTGTCTCTCTGTCCATCTGTCCGTCTGTCTCTCTGTCCGTCCGCCCGTCTGTCTCTCTGTCCATCTGTCCGTCTGTCCATCCACCCGTCTGTCTCTCTGTCCATCCGCCCGTCTATCTTTCTGTCCATCTGTCCGTCCGCCCGTCTGTCTCTCTGTCAGTCCGCCAGTCTGTCCGTCCGTCCGTCTGTCTCTCTGTCCATCCGTCCGCCCGTCTATCTCTCTGTCCATCTGTCCGTCTGTCCGCCCGTCTGTCTCTCCGTCCGCCCGTCCATCCGTCCGTCCGTCCGTCCCTCCGTGCGCTCCCGCAGGTTCCCCGAGCTGGACGGCGCCGGCTTCCGCGTGGATCTGTCGCGCCTGTCGCCGGCGTCGCGCTCCGACCACTGGCCGGCGCTCGCCTACAACCGCTCCAAGCTGTGCACCCTGCTCCTGGCACTGGCGCTGCACGTGCGCCTCTCGCCGCTGCACGTCGCCACCCACGCCGTGCACCCGGGCAACATGGTGCCCACACGCCTCGCTCGCCACTCCTGGGCCTACCGCCTCCTCTTCCAGCTCGCCCGCCCGTTCACCAAGTCCCCGGTAAGGCTCGCTGCCGCTGCAGCGGGAGGGCTTTGTCTCTCAAAGCGTTAATCTGTTGTTAGTAAAGTGAAACCTCGTGGATTGCGAGTAACTTGGTCTGCGAGTGTTTCGCAAAAGACGAGCAAAATTTTTTAAAAAATAAATATTGATTTGATAAACGAGCGAGGGTCTTGCAATACGAGTAGTACGTATAGTGCACGCTTTGTCTGCCAAGCGTCACGTGATCACACGACTGATATACGAGTGCTTTGGATTACAAACGCGTTTCCGGAACGAATTATGCTGCGCAATCCAAGGTTTTACTGTAGTTTTACACCAGGGTAAGATCGCCGACGGGAAACATCGTGGTGCTCGAGTTATCAACGGTGTGGGTTTACCACTAATTGACACGTTTTCGTGTATACGTGACAAACCTTTACCCATCGGCCGTGTTGGGTGGTGGTGATTCTGGCTTTAACGACACAACATTTATATTAACGTGAGCTCACCCCAACAAAAACCCCCTTTATTGTGACGAACATTGGTCGCGAATGCCTACCACGTGTTCAGTTAAACGGGGGATCTCTCGTGTGCGTCTACACACAAACAAAGACAAAGGTCCCCCGTATAGCCTGAACAGTCTGTTGGGGCAAGTGCGGTTAGCGAGCAGCACCTGTGAAGGCCGATCACGGCGCACGAGGGGGTGGGTGGCCAGCACCACGCCCGGCCGCCTTTGTCTCACCAGTCGAGATGTTTACTACACACCGCACCAGGTAATAATTTGAGGCTGAGTCGACCTAGGGGGGGAGGCCCAGGACCGGTTCAGATAATCGTCACTGGTGGTGTTTGCCGTGAGCGGGAATCGAACCCGGGTTGCCGGGTTCATCGCGCAGCGTAGCGCTAACCGCTACACTACCGCTCCCCACACACACACGCACGCACACACACGCACACACACGCACACACATGCACGCACGCACACACACATGCACACACACACACACACGCACACACGCACACACACATGCACACACACACACACGCACGCACACACACATGCACACACGCACACACACACACACGCGCACGCACACACACACACACACGCACACACACACACACATGCACACACGCACACACGCACACACACACACACGCGCACACACACACGCACACACACACACACATGCACACACGCACACACGCACACACACACACGTGCACACACACACACGCACGCACACACACGCACACACACGCACGCACGTGCACGCGACGAGCAGCAGCAGGCGGCGGCCACGGCGGTTTACTGCGCGACGGCGCCCGAGCTGCACGGCGCCAGCGGCATGTACTTCAACAACTGCTGCCGCTGCCTGCCGTCCGCCGCCGCACAGAGCGAGGAGCTGGCGCGGGACCTCTGGGAGCTCAGCGAGCGCCTCGTGAGCGAGCGGATGGGGCCGCTGCCGCCCGGAGGCAGTGCCTGATGCGGCGGCCAGGTCTGGGGAATCGTTGCGTTGATCAATATTTGTTGTTGTTGTTGTCTACTTTAATTTTGTATTATTTCACTTTTTGCAAGTGTTCCGGCATTAAAAAATACGCAGACTGGCGCAGCGGGTGGTTAGGAGATGTTAACTACCTCGCCCGGTATACAGGACGTCGTGGGTTCAGTCCCAACCCTGATGCCTGCTCTGTATTTTCAGTTAGAGTCTCTCTCTCTCTCATGATCATCACGGTGGATAGGAGATGTTAACAACGTCGCCCGGTATACAGGAGGTCGTGGGTTCAGTCCCAACCCTGACGCCTGCTCTGTATTTTCAGTTAGTGTCTCTCTCTCTCATGATCATCACGGTGGATAGGAGATGTTAACAACGTCGCCTGGTATACAGGAGGCCATGAGTTCAATCCCAACCCTGACGCATATTTGGAGCTTGCGTGTCCTATCTCTCCGTGGTCGCTTGGATTTTTCTCCGGGTCCTCCGGTTTTTTCCCTCCACGGTTAAGAGTCGACGTGCGTGCAGGGTATTTGGCTGCTGTACATTTCCACCGGACGAGAAGCAACTTCCTTGAGCTATCGTTTGTGGTAGCCCGGTCGCGTCCCAAAAAGAGCTAAGCAGCTCAGTGGGCCTTACCTGGTAAAAGAACAAAATAGTGGAATAGTTTTGATTAATAATAATTAACCACACGGACTTGTGGTGCAGCATTCAAACAAATACGCTTTCGTACTGTACGCGCGTTCCTTGAAACTGATCTTTAATGGCCTTGTATCGCCGGTGCTAGAGGTCAAAGGCAGCCAAAATGGCGAGCAACACCAGGACAATGTAACCACCAAAGCATTAGGGGCATGGGTTAAGAATTTTGCCTTCTTGATCGCCTTAGATCTTGAGCACCGGTGAGACAGAAGCCACAAAAGAGGCTCTGTCTGGTGTAGGCCAATCGGTTTTCACGGGCAGTGTATAACATCACCAAAGCGTACTTGTGCATCTTTATTTTCACCACAAGTCTGCGTGGTTAATGTTGTAGACCCGATGCCTTGCAAATAGGCGTCTGATTTGGTGTGTGAACGTCCAAAGGCCCTCCTCCCCCGTGTTCATGCCAGAAAGGGTAAAGCCATTGTTTTTTGTTCGCCATCATTCAACGATTGTTATTATTATTATTAATACTTCTTCTATGCTTGTTTTACACAGGAGAGTCTCGAAAACATTTTATTTGTGGGCGCCTGCTACTGCTGTTGCTGCTGTGTGATCCCAATGGAGTAACATGCAGGTTACATTTTTTTTCCAGCAGTCACATCGAGTTGTGGTGGTGTTTTTTTTTAATCTGTGGGAGAGAAAACCCCCCCCCCTCTCCACCCCACGCAGAACGAGTGCGGGAGAGGCAACGCGCCAACTCCACACGGGCGTCAGGTGGGGGAATCGAACCCAGGCCCTTGTTGCCGTGGAACCGCGCGAGTGTTAAGGCTGCCGCCGCCACCGCGCTGCGCTGCGACGATTCGATGCTGGGGTTAGCTGGGGTCAGGATCTGTGATGTCGTTTTGCGAGCTTCGTTTCACGAGCACCGTGTGTAACGATTCTGTAAAAACCCGCGTCGGTTCCGTTCCGTTCGAAGCCGAATCGTCAACAAATAATCGTGGCTCTTCCGACTCTCACGGCAATGTGGTTTGTTTTTTTTAATTCCCGTATTTTTCCACTAGGTGGAAGTGAGATAATGTGCGATCAAAGACGGTTATGACCTTGCGCAACTGCGCGTTGGAAAGGCGGCGAGCTGTTATCATGTTAAGTCACGCCCTCTGCCGCTGTATAATATAAAGCGGAACTTACCGGAGTAGGAAATTGCGATTCGGTGACGGCCTGTTACGAACCTTGGGCAATGTTTACAAACAACAATACGGGGGACTCCTCTGCTTACGAACATTCGAACTTACGAACTTTCAGAGATACGAACAAACCCTGTCCGTACGTCAAGGTGCCCGTTCCGACCGAGGGTCGTAAGTTCAACCGCCGCGCAATAGATGGCGGCGGTGACATCCACGTCTGCAGAACGTGAAGAACCCAGTGGCATCTACATGTACAGGAGATTATTCAACTTTTAAAGCCATTCCCCGTGTTTAGTTTACACATCCGTACAACGCGTTTGGAATCGACAGGAGTAAAGTTGGATTTACGAACAAATCGACTTACGAACAGACCTCTGGAACCTAGCGCGTCCGTAAGTAGAGGAGCCCCTGTAGTGGAGTACGTGTGGCCGCTATTGGCGCTCTCGTTCTTCCGAGCGCAGGGCGATCATCGCGAAGGCAGGCGTTGGGTTTTTCACAAGGCGCCCGCTGTAGTTTCGCGGTCGTGGGGGGGGGGGGGGTGGGTGGGCGACCTTGCTATGTGTCGCCCCGATTGATTTGACCCCCCCGTCCATGCGGTGCCATTTTTCCCCAATGTTGGACCGCGACGTCGGCAAGGCAAGGCAATGTCGCCCTACCCTTGTCGAATGTCGTCGCGGGATCTCGGAACGTTCCACGGTGAAGTCCGCGGACGCAGGATTAACCAGGGCGGGCCGGCCAAACCCACCGGCCGGACGGTCGGTCGCCTAGCGCCAAACCACGGACCTCGGCAAGACGCGGCGAGCGCCGATATCACCTTTCAGCGCCAGGTCACCGCCCTCAAAGGATGGGCAGAACCGGCTGCGGCAAGCACATGCATGTGGGGGATGATGTCATGGTGAGCGGTACAGCGTCGTGGTTCGTGCGTTGCGCTACGAACCCAGCGACCCGAGTTCGATTCCCGCTTGCGGCCGGCCGACAGCGGCGACGGTTGTCTGAACCGGTCCTGGGCCTACTCCCCTAGGTCGACTCGGCCTCAAAACGAGCGGTGTGTCGTAAACACCGACAGTGGGGAGACGACGGCTGGCGGGCGTAGTGCTGGCCACCCACCCCATCTCGTGACGTTGCCGGCCTTAATAGCTGCTCGCTAACGGCGCTTCCCCCCCCCGCCCCAACAGTCCGCTAGGGCTACACAGGGGGGGGGGGGGGGGATCGCCACGGAATGCTTCACCGAGCCTCGGAAGGACGACGTTTCGAGATCTCGGTCCTCCGCCGCGATGTTCCGTCGCAAATGCACGGTGCCGTAAGCGGTGTCGTGACTTTTGCGAATGAATTGTCGAGCACTCTTTATGTAAATAGATAAATGATGCGGGTGGGACGGATAGCTTCGTGGTCCATCATGGGAGCAAACCCGGGTTATCCACAGTGGGCGTGACCCCTGAATCGGACATTGCAGTTTCAGCGACCCGGGCGATTTTCGTGCGGTTCGTGTTTCGCCTCGACGGCTGTGCTCGCTGTGGCCGGACTCCCCCGCCCCTCGCTCGCCGTCTTATTCCATTGCAACGACACTTAGACGTCTGTAAATATGATTGTTGTTAAAGCACGACTGACCGTGCGTTGTTGCAACGTACAATTTAATTAAATGCCCGGCAAAGCCAATCTCTCAGAGAGGGAGTCTCCCGTTTTGTTGGGGCAGTGGGGGGGGGGGGTTAAACATTATAAACAACAACAACAGCAGCCCCCATTCTCCACTAAGTGACGGTGGCGTGTGCCAGGCCAGGTGCACTTTGAGGCCATCGCGTGAAGTGTCGATGGCTCGCTGACAGAGGAGGTCACGGGACAGAGCCAGGTGCCATCAGTCGCCTGACATGACTGGCCGTTGCCACAAGCTGTGCACCCCCTTGCTGTGCCCGGGTATGCCCCTCTGGGCCTGCCCAGGAATGCCCCCCACTCGGAGTGCCCAGGAATGCCCCCCACTCGGCCTGCCCAGGACTGCCCCCCACTAGGCCTGCCCAGGAATGCCCCCCACTCGGAGTGCCCAGGAATGCCTCCCACTGGGCCTGCCCAGGAATGCCCCCCACTCGGAGTGCCCAGGAATGCCCCCCACTCGGAGTGCCCAGGAATGCCCCCCACTCGGAGTGCCCAGGAATGCCCCCCACTCGGAGTGCCCAGGAATGCCCCCCACTCGGAGTGCCCAGGAATGCCCCCCACTCGGCGTGCCCAGGAATGCCCCCCACTCGGAGTGCCCGGACATTCCCCTCTGGGCGTGCTTACGCGCCGTCGTTAAATGACGTCACGCGATTTTTGACCCCCCCCCCCATCGTCACACGGCGTCACAAAATGTCAGACCCCCCCCCCCTCAAATATGACGTCACAAAGCTCTGCCCCTTCCCCTCCCCCCCCAAAAAAACAAACATGCTTCAAATCGCTTTAAACTATTGTCATTGTAGTGCATATTTAATGTGGCGCTGCACTCTGATGTTGTAGGTAGAAACACATTTATTAAAAAGTCTATTTAATTAAGTAGAACGTCACAAATGTCTTAACCCCCACCCACCACCCCTAGGTGCGTGACGTCATTTATGGACGGCCCCTTAGGCACGTGAACAGGAATCGTCAGAAAGGCCACCGACTGTCCAGCAGTGCGGGTTGCTGGAGCGGTGGTGTCGCCGTTAGGGTCTGTCCATAAAATGACGTCACGCACCTAGGGGGGGGGGGCGGGGTCAGACATTTGTGACGATATGCGACGAGAGTGGGGGGGGGTGTTTGAGAAATGTGACGTCACGTCAAAATGCGCAACTTTCTAAATAAATATAGGCAACACGTTCTATTTTATTAAATAGACTTTTTTTTATAAATGTGTTCTCCTACAACATCAGAGTGCAGCGCCACTTGAAATACGCGCTACAATGACAATAGTTTAAAGCGATTTTAAGCATGTTTTATTTAAAAAATGGAAATATGGTTTTTTGGGGGGAGGGGGCAGAGCTTTGTGACGTCATTTTTGAGGGGGGCAAAAATGGTCCAAAATCGCGTGACGTCATATATGGACGGTCCCTTAGCCACGCCGCGCTACGAACCCGGCAAGTCGACACGAGTTCGATTCCCGCTCACGGCCAACAAAACCGGTGACGGTTATCTGATACCGGTCCTGGGCCTCCCCTAGGTCGACTCGGCCTCAAATGAGTACCTGGTGTGGTGTGTAAAACATCGCCACTGGGGAGACAAAGGCGGCCGGGCGTGGTTGTTGGCCATGTCGGCCTTCATAGGTGCTCGCTAACAGCACTTGCCTCAAGAGGCTGTCAAGGGCTACTCAAGGCTATACGGGGGATCTTTGTCCACCCAAGACTTATTTACTCTTTGAGCTGATGGCAGTGAACAAAAAAAAGAGCTTCATAGATCATCGGATTTCTCCACTATAAATATTCTGATTTTGTCTAAATAGAAGAAAAAAATAGTTTTTTGTCGAGAGACAAAGACGGAAAGGAAGGAGGCGTCCTTATCTGCTTCATTTGTTACACGCAATCATCTGCATGGTGTATGTCACACAGGCCTTTGTAAAATATGACGCAATACAACGCGTACGAAGCTATTGGGATGACGCCATTGTGCGCGTTTTAGCGGTGTTTGATGGCGTCACACCTTGACCACTTCAGCCAACGGCGCCTGACGTCATTTATCTCCATTGTATGGGGCTCGTGACGTCATACACATTCCGTGAGATCTCGACCGAGTGGGGAGGGGGTAGTTGGCGAACCCCTCCCCACCCCCCACACAAAAAAACCCCACAGGAACAATCGATGCGTGACGTCATGTACGCTGATTAAAACGACAGCATGACGTCGCCCCCGGTGTCCTGAAACCGTGACGCCACTGGCCCGTACAGTAACACACGTGCGTGTGTAAGTGGCGGTGAGTCAAGCTATCGCGGGACCTTTTATTAAAAGCTAACTTTAGTTTATGTGTGACTATTTACGCCGGTGACCCCCGTTTCAGCCAGCTGCCCCGGTTATTTTATATTTTTTTGCACGGCGAGGGAAGATAACGCCGAAGTTTAAATCCCCGCTCTCCCCGGCCGCCCATCGAGAGCGATCAGCCGAACTTGTCCCGGGCCTGGTTCGACTCAAAGCCGTCGGTGAGTCCGGGTCGCGTGTAAACGTCGCTACCGGGGAGACAAAGGCGGACGGGCGTGGCTGCTACTGCTGACCACCCACACACCACTACGCATAGGCGTGCGCCGTGACGGCCTTCACCTCGACCTCGCCAATAGCGCTTGCCCCAGCAGTCTCTTGAGGCGCCACGGTGGCTATGAGATGTCAACTACCTCGCCTGGTATGCAGGAGGTCGTGGGTTTCGAGGTTCGATCCCAACGCCTTCTGCTGCTGTATATTTTGAGTTTGCGTCTCTCTATCATCATCACGGTGGCTCTGAGATGTTGGCTACCTTGCCTGGTATGAAGGAGGTCGTGGGCTCGATCCCGACCCTGACGCCTGCTGCTGCTGCTGCTGTATATTTGGAGTTTGCGTCTCTCATCATCACGGTGGCTAGATGTTAACTACCTCGCCTGGTATGCAGGACGTCGTGGGTTCGATCCCGACCCTGATGCCTGCTGCTGTATATTTGGAGTTTGCGTCTCTCTATCATCATCATCACGGTGGCTAGGAGATGTTGGCTACCTCGCCTGGTATTAAGGAGGTCGTGGGTTCGATCCCGACCCTGACGCCTGCTGCTGCTGTATATTTAAAGTCTCTCTTCCCGTGGTAACCTGGATTTTTTTGCTCCGGGTTTCCCCTCCACATTTAGAAACACGCGTTGAAATGATTTAGATAATTTTGCCGCTTTAAATGTCCAAATGGTGGTGCCACTTTGTTGAGCGATCACTTCCGGCCAGGTCGCTTTTCAAAAGTAAAATACCTCGGTGGGATTTGCGTGATAGGATGGGGGATGGCTTAGTGTTTGTATTTGTTTGTGTTTGGGGTGATTTGTTGACTTTTATTCTACTTGACACTCCTCTCGTGTCGCTGTGTTTGCTGTTGTTCTTATCCCGTGCCCCGACTGGACAATCTGTGAGTAAAGAGCTTCATAGCTCATCGGATTTCTCCTGCAGTATAAATACATCTGATACTGATTCCGACAATACGGCTCTTGCCCCAGCAGTCGGTCGAGGCTACACGGGGGATCTTTGTCTTTGCCTGTCCATCCAAGACAACGATTTATTCCCAGGCCGTTTTTGAAGCTGATGGCTGTGAAAACTCAAAAGAGCTTGATAGCTCATCGGATTCCTCCACTATAAATATTCTGATTCTCTCCAAATAAAAAAATAACAATGAGTTATTTTTCCGGGTGCATGGCGATATGAGACGCTGATCACCGGGTAATCAGCCGGACGTCTGTGGAACAAGAAGAGCTTTATAGCTCATCAGATTCCCCCCGCAGTACCAATGTTCTCATTCACAGACCGCCAGAAGAAGGCGAACATGTGCCAGGCGAATGAAGATAACAAGGACGTGGATCCGCCGCGCGTTGGGAAGCCAAGGTTTGTCTGTCCGCGTGTGTCTCTGTCTGTGTGTGTGAGTCTGTGTGTCTGTGTGTGTGTGTCTGTGTGTGTGAGTCCGTGTGAGCGATAGTGTAGCGCCTGTAGCGGTTAGCGCGCTGCGCTATGAACCTGGCGACCCGGGTTTGATTCTCGCTCACGGCCAACACCAGTGACGATTATCTGAACCGGTCCCGGCCTTCTCTAGGTCGACTCAGCCTCAAATGAGTACCTGGTGCGGTGTTTAAACATTGCCACTGGGGAGACAAAGGCGGCCGGGCGTGGTGTTGGCCACCCACCCCCTCGTGTACCGTTCTGGCCTTCATAGGTGCTCGCTAACAGCACTTGCCCCTACAGTCTGTTAAGGCTATATGGGGGATCTTTGACTTGTAAGTCCGTGTGTCTGTGTCAGCGTGTGTCTCTATGTCTTTGTGAGTCCGTGTGTCTGTGTCAGTGTGTCTCTGTGTCAGTATGTGTCTCTGTCTGGTGGGGAGCGGTAGTGTAGCGGTTAGCGCTACGCTGCGCTATGAACCCGGCGATCCGGGTTCAATTTCCGCTCACGGCCAACACCAGTGACAATTATCTGAACCGGTCCTGGGCCTCCGCTAGGTCGACTCAGCCTCAAATGAGTACCTGGTGCGTTGTGTAGTAAACATCGCCACTGGAGAGACAAAGGCGGACGGGCGTGGTGCTAGCCACCCACCCCCTCGCGTGCCTTGCCGGCCTTCACAGGTGCTCGCGAACAGCACTTGCCCCTAAAGTCTTAAGGCTACATGGGGGATCTTTGTCTCTGTGTGTAATGGGGAGCGGTAGTGCAGTGGCTATTGCTACGCTGCGCTACGAAGCCGGCAGAGACCCGGGTTCGATTCCCGCTCACGGCCGACATCACTAGCGACGATTATCTGAACCGGTCCTGCTGGGCCTCCTCCCCTAGGTCGACTCGGCCTCAAATGAGTACCTGATGCGGTGTGTAAAACATCGCCACTGGGGAGACAAAGGCGGCCGGGCGTGGTGCTGGCCACCCACCACCTTTCTGTGTGCCGTGTCGGCCTTCATAGGTGCTCTCTAAATAAAAGCACTTGCCTCAACAGTCTGTTAAGGCTATACGGGGAATCTTTGTCTTTGTGTGTGCACCTAGCCTGGCACAAGCGCTGCCGTGCCATCAGCCGCCACTAAGTTGCCAACGGCGGTTTTTGTGTAAGAACCGGTCGTGAGCCTTACCTAGGTCGACTCAGCCTCAAATGACTTAACTGGTGCAGCGTATAAACTTCAGTACTGGGGAGACAAAGGCGGCCGGGCGTTGTTCTGGCCACACCACCTCGTGTACCAAATTCCCCAGCCCGACACACAGCTTGCTATACGTGGGGTCCTTGTCGTTGCTTAAGATGTCTGTCGATTTGTTCGCAAGTTCAACTTTACTCCCGTCGATTTTAAACGTGTTGTACGGCGTGTACACTATATACGGGGGAATGGCTTTAAAAGTTGCGTCATCTCCTGTAGATGCCACTGGTGTCTTCACGTTCTGCAGATGTAGAGGGCAATGGTTCTTCACGTTCTGCAGATGTAGATGCCACTGGTACTTTATGTTCTGCAGATGTAGATGCCACTGGTTCTTCACGTTCTACACATGTAGATGCCACTAGTTCTTCACGCTCTGCAGATGTAGATCTCACTGGTTCTTCACGTTCTACACATGTAGATGCCACTGGTTCTTCACGTTCTACACATGTAGATGCCACTGGTTCTTCACGTTCTGCAGATGTAGATGCCACTGGTTCTACATGTTCTGTAGATGTAGGTGCCACTGGTTCTTCACGTTCTGCAGGTGTAGGTGCCACTGGTTCTTCATGCTCTGCAGATGCCACTGGTTCTTCACGTTCTGTAGATGTAGGTGCCACTGGTTCTTCACGTTCTGTAGATGTAGGTGCCACTGGTTCTTCACGTTCTGCAGGTGTAGGTGCCACTGCAACCATCTATTGCGTGGCGGTTTAACAGGCAACTGGACATACGGACAGGGTTTGTTCATATCTCTGAAAGTTCCTAAGTCAAATGTTCCTCGGTAGAGGAGTCCCTGTATGTTGAACTTCTGCCAGTGCTAATCGGCGGCACGTGTGCCATTACAACATCAATTCTAAATGTGGAGGGTAAAACCGGAGGAGCCGGAGAAAAATCTACGCGACCACGGGGAGAGAGACACAACGCAAACTCCAAATACACAGCAGCAGCAGGCGTCGTCAGGGTCGGGATCGAACCCACGACCTCCTGCACACCAGGCGAGGTAGTTAACATCTCCTAGCCACCGCCAGCGCCCTTAATCACGGAGTGGCAGCCAAAGGACAGAACGCGCACGAGAGAGTTGGCACGTCCACCGCGGTGACGGAGCGATGGTGAGATCGGCGCGTTCCCGCGAGAGCTGGCGACGGTGACGATGGTGAATCCCAGCAGCGGATAGACCCCGGCTGATGACCTGTCTGTCCCCCTGCCCCCCTCTCCTGCCCCCTCTCCTGCCCCCCTCTCCTGCCCCCCTCTCCTGCCCCCTCGCAGTGTGGGCACCGTCTGCATGAAGTGCAAGGAGCGCAGGGCGTCCATGCTGATCCGGGTCAACGACCCCTTCTGCAGGTCGCGACCTCCCCCGACCTCTACGTGACCTGACCGTCGGCGGACTGCTTTGATCCTAAGTTGGGGGCGTTAAGGTGGCGGGCCAGCGCAGTTGGCGACGCTCGTGCACCGCACGGCAAGAGGGTCCTGGGTTTGATTCCCGACTCGGGTGCTATTCTGCGTGTAAATCGTGTGCTCTCCTCTCCTCCACGGTGGCTCGGAGATGTTAACTGCCTCGCCTGGCATACAGGAGGTCGTGGTTTCAATCCCGACCCCCAACGGCTTTTGTATATTTGGAGTTTGCGTGTCTCTCTCCCCGCAGTCTTTGTGTATTCTTGACCATATATAGTAACCATCTTCTCTGTCTCGCCATCTGTCTGTGTTTGTCTGTGTGTGCATCTGTACTGCCTGTGTGCCTATGTGTCTCTGTGTGTCCCTCTAACTCTGTGTGTGCACGTGTCGCATGCGTGTCTGCGCGTGCGCCGCGTGTCTGCGTGTGTGCCGCGTGTGTGCCGCGCGTGTGCCGCGCGTGTGCAGGGAATGCTTCCACGAGTATTTTGTGCACAAGTTCCGCGCCGTCCTGGGAAAACGCAAAGTCATCGAGCCCGGGGAGAAGGTGAATCCGCACCCTGCGACGCAGTACGGCCGGCGCGTTGTCTCAGAATGTTCCTTGTATGCAAGGGTTTCCTCTCCGGGTTCCTGCCAAGTGGCCGGAGCGTGGTGCTGACACCACCGCCCTCTCCGATGCTCGCCGTGCCACTCGCTATCGGCCCTTGCCCCCGAGCAGTCTGTTAAAGGCTACACCGGGGGTGTGTGTGTGTGGCGTCTTTGTCTTTGTCTGCCGTCAGGTGTTGGTGGCCGTTTCAGGAGGAGCGTCGTCATGCACTCTGCTCGCTCAAGTGCAGCTGGTAGGACGCGCGCACACAAACACCGCCCGTATGGCGTTAGCGGACTGTTGGGGCAAGTGCTGTTAGCGAGTAGCAGCTATGAAGGCCGACACGGCGCGCACACACGCACACACGCACACACACACGTGCAGTGTAACGGCTATCGGCCCAAACATCATCGCCGATGTTGAGTTAATTTCCTGCAAAATCACTGTGGCAATACAGCAGCTACAGCATTGCTGTTAGCGAGCAGCACCTCAGAAGGCCGGCATGGTACACGAGGGGGGTGGGTGGCCAGCATCACCACGCCCGGCCGACTTGGTCACCCCGAGTGGCGATGTTCACACGTCACACCAGGTACCCATTTGAGGCCGAGTCGACCTAGGGGAGGCCCAGGGCCGCTTCGGATAATCGCCACCGGCGCTGGTGGCCGTGAGCGGGAGCCGAACTCGGTGTCGTCGGGGTTCGTAGCGCTGCGTAGCGCTGACCGCTGCGCCACCGCTCCCCCAAACCACGCAGACGCGCTCCGCACGGGGCGTCGTGCCGTCCGTGTTCTTCCATCGCTCGCCTGACGTTCTTGGAAGGGCTCGGCGTAGCCCCGCCTCTGCCCCCCGCACTTGGGAGCTCGCATCGCGCGACCGTCCGTAGGCTCGCCGAGCCCACGAGCGGAGCCCCCAGCGGGTTGGCGACTGCCCCCGTCCTGTGTCTTGCAGGGCCTGAGTCGCGAGTCTCACAAGCGGCTGAAGTTCATCCCTGGGCTGGTGCACGTGGACGGTACGGAATGAGTGCGGGTGAGAGCGCGCGCGTTCGTTAAACCGGCCCGGCACGGGCTGCAAAGGAGATGGAGCTGATGCGGTACGGGAGGATGTGGAGCTGAGAGGACTTGCCGATGACCGGTACCAGCGGTGTCTGCGGATGAAGAGGCTCGTGAAGGACGCTGCTGCTGCTGCTGGGCAGTTGGAGGCAGTCGCCTTCCAGCAACAACGGAGGGCGGAGGAGCGACGCTCGCAACAACGAGCGGCGCGCCGGCGGGCTAAAATTAAGCGAGTTGGCACAGTAGGGGGTACAGCTGGTGGTGCATCTATCGGTCATCTCAGTCGGTCAACCCATGGCACCTGCTGGGTCTGTCCAGAGACCTCCTCCTGCACCTAGCCTGGCACAGTAGGGGGTACAACAGCTGGTGGTGCATCTATCGGTCATCTCAGTCGGTCAACCCATGGCACCTGCTGGATCTGTCCAGAGACCTCCTCCTGCACCTAGCCTGGCACAGTAGGATGGTACAGCTGGTGGTGCATCTATCGGTCATCTCAGTCGGTCAACCCATAGCACCTGCTGGGTCTGTCCCGTGACCTCCTGCCAGCGGGCCTTCGACACTTCACGTGGCCTGAAGGTGCACCTAGCCTGACACTTAGCGGAGAATGGCGGCTGTTATAATGCTGAGATGTGTATAGCGTCGTCCATGCAAGTTGCCTTCACAATCGCTGACGAACCACAGACATGGTAGAAGGCAGTCGGGCAGTGAGCCATCGCCAACAGTTGACTAAGCTTTACGGTCCCCTATATATTAAGGTGTTTGCAGCCAATTAATGGGTGTTATGTGCATGTGCGGCGGTATGTAAACATCGCCACTGGGGAGACAAAGGCGGTCGGGCGCGGTGCTGGCGACCCACCCCCTCGTGTGCCGTGCCGGCCTTCATAGGCGCTGCTCGCTAACAGCACTTGCCCCAACAGTCTGTTAAGGCTACACGGGGGATCTTTGTATTTGTACGTGTGTGCGTACTTCCCCACTTGGGGAGACAAAGGCGGCCGGGCGTGGTGCAGCCTCTCTCGTGTGCGGCAGTGCCGGCATTCATAGGCGTTGCTCGCTTTACAGCACTTGCCCCGACAGTCTGTTAAAGGCTACGCGGGGGAACTTTGTCTTTTGTTTGTGTGCAGAGGGAGCCGCGTGTGGGGAGACTGTGGAGGAGCGCGTCGCGGCAAACGCACGGATCGAGGAGATATTCAAGCAGAGCGGCTTCCCCTACTATATCGTGCCCCTAGAGCAGGTGCGGCGTCGACAGAGATCCCCCGTGTCGCCATCAGTAGACTGTCGGGGCAGGTGCTGTGAGATGTTAACCACCTCGCCTGGTATGCAGGAGGTCGTGGGTTTGATCCCGACCCTGACGATGTCTGTTGTATAATAGAGTTTGCGTGTCTCTCTCTCTCTCTCATCATCATCATCACGGTGGCTAGGAGATGTTAACCACCTCGCCTGGTATGCAGGAGGTTGTGGGTTGACCTCCACCCTGACACCTGCTGCTGTATAATAGAGTTTGCGTGTCTCTGTCTCTCTCTCTCATCATCATCATCACCATCACGGTGGCTAGGAGATGTTAACTACCTCGCCTGGTATGCAGGAGGTTGTGGGTTGACCCCCGCCCTGACACCCGCTGCTGTATAATAGAGTTTGCGTGTGTCTCTCGCCATGGTCGCGTGAATTTTTCTCCAGGTCCTCTGGTTTTTCACCTCCACCTTTAGAAACAACATAAATTTGCACGTGACGATAAGCCACTTCGTTGAGATATCATTAGCGATAGTCAGCTCGCTTCTGAAAAAGAGCTACGTAGATCAGTGGGGGGCCTTACCTGATCAAATAAAAATTGTTTCGTTTCAGTCCTTTAACGAGCATAACCTATGAAGGCCGGCACGGCACACGAGGGGGTGGGTTCCCAGAACCGCGCCCGGACCCCCCTTTTTTTCTCCCCAGTGGCGATGTTTACTACACACCGCACCGGGTACTCGTTTTAGGCTGAGTCGACCTAGGGGAGACCCAGGACGGGCTCAGGTTCATCGTCAATGGCGTTGGCCGTGAGCGGGAATCGAACCCGGTTTACTGGGTCCCAACAGTCTTTTAAGGCTGGTACGGGCGATCTGTGTCCTTGTTTGTCGTGCACGCAGACGCACAAAGACAGCTGCGCGTGGCGTTGGCCACCCACCCCCTCGTGTGCCACAGTGACGGCCTTCAGAAGCGCTCGCTAACAGCACTTGACCCCAGCAGTCTGTTAAGCCTACACTGGGGGCGAATCTTTGTCTTTGTGTGTCCGCGCGTGCAGGCGTTGCGTTTGGGAAGCAATGGAGAATGCAGTGCAATGGAAAGTGGCAGACAGAGATTTGGGCAGGGTGCTGGGCAGGGTGCTGGGCAGGGTGCTGGGCAGGGTGCTGGGCAGGGAGCTGAGCAGGATGCTGACAGGCAGGGTGCTGGGCAGGGTGCTGGGCAAGGTGCTGGGCAGGGTGTTGAGCAGGGTGCTGGGCAGGGTGCTGGGCAAGGTGCTGGGCAAGGTGCTGGGCAGGGTGTTGAGCAGGGTGCTGGGCAGCGTGCTGAGCAGGGTGCTGGGCAAGGTGCTGGGCAGGGTGCTGAGCAGGGTGCTGGGCAGCGTGCTGTGCAGCGTGCTGGGCAAGGTGCTGGGCAGGGTGCTGAGCAGGGTGTTGAGCAGGGTGCTGGGCAGGGTGCTGGGCAGAGTGCTGAGCAGGGTGCTGGGCAGCGTGCTGGGCAGGGTGCTGACAGGCAGGGCGTCGGGGCGAGTGCGGAGGAGACGGAGGCGCTGTGTGGGATGTTCCGGGCGACGAGGACGCTCACGGCCAGGGAGGATCTCCTCTTCTCGCTCCGGTGAGCGGTGGCGGTGACGGCAGCGGTGGTGGTGGGCGGTGTCCGAGAAGCCTGGCTTCAATCCGCTGTGTGTGTACAAGCTGTGGGTGTTGCTGAGTGCCGCCGTGTGTGTCCATGTGTAGTCTGCGGGTGTTGCTGAGTGTCGCCGTGTGTGTCTGTGTGTAGTCTGCGGGTGTTGCTGAGTGTCGCCGTGTGTGTCTGTGTGGAGTCTGCGGGTGTTGCTGAGTGTCACCGTGTGTGTCCGTGTGTAGTCTGCGGGTGTTGCCGAGTGCCGCCGTGTGTGTCTGTGTGTAGTCTGCGGGTGTTGCTGAGTGTCGCTGTGTGTGTCTTTGTGTAGTCTGCGGGTGTTGCTGAGTGTCGCCGTGTGTGTCTGTGTGTAGTCTGCGGGTGTTGCCGAGTGCCGCCGTGTGTGTCTGTGTGTAGTCTGCGGGTGTTGCTGAGTGTCGCTGTGTGTGTCTTTGTGTAGTCTGCGGGTGTTGCTGAGTGTCGCCGTGTGTGTCTGTGTGTAGTCTGCGGGTGTTGCTGAGTGCCGCCGTGTGTGTCTGTGTGTAGTCTGCGGGTGTTGCCGAGTGCCGCCGTGTGTGTCTGTGTGTAGTCTGCGGGTGTTGCTGAGTGTCGCCGTGTGTGTCCGTGTGTAGTCTGCGGGTGTTGCCGAGCGTCGCCGTGTGTGTGTCTGTGTGGAGTCTGCGGGTGTTGCCGAGTGTCGCCGTGTGTGTCTGTGTGTAGTCTGCGGGTGTTGCTGAGTGTCGCCGTGTGTGTCTGTGTGTAGTCTGCGGGTGTTGCTGAGTTTCGCCGTGTGTGTCTGTGTGTAGTCTGCGGGTGTTGCCGAGTGCCGCCGTGTGTGACTGTGTTGTAGTCTGCGGGTGTTGCTGAGTTTCGCCGTGTGTGTCTGTGTGTAGTCTGCGGGTGTTGCTGAGTGTCGCCGTGTGTGTCTGTGTGTAGTCTGCGGGTGTTGCTGAGTTTCGCCGTGTGTGTCTGTGTGTAGTCTGCGGGTGTTGCTGAGTTTCGCCGTGTGTGACTGTTGTAGTCTGCGGGTGTTGCCGAGTTTCGCCGTGTGTGTCTGTGTGTAGTCTGCGGGTGTTGCCGAGTGTCGCCGTGTGTGTCTGTGTGTAGTCTGCGGGTGTTGCTGAGTTTCGCCGTGTGTGACTGTATTGTAGTCTGCGGGTGTTGCTGAGTTTCGCCGTGTGTGTCTGTGTGTAGTCTGCGGGTATTGCTGAGTGCCGCCGTGTGTGTCTGTGTGTAGTCTGCGGGTGTTGCTGAGTGTCGCCGTGTGTGTGTCTGTGTGTAGTCTGCGGGTGTTGCTGAGTGTCGCCGTGTGTGTGTCTGTGTGTAGTCTGCGGGTGTTGCTGAGTGTCGCCGTGTGTGTGTCTGTGTGTAGTCTGCGGGTGTTGCTGTGGCTGTGCCGCCGCCGTGGCTACACCAAGGCGATGCTGGGGGAGTCCTGCACCCGCGTGTCCGTGAGGATCCTCGCGGGACTCGCACTGGGGCGCGGCGCGGGCCTCTCGCAGGACACGGTACACAACACACGTGTACACACGCAACACACGGGGACACACGCTACACACGTGTACACACGCTACACACGGGGACACACGCAACACACGGGGACACACGCAACACACGGGGACACACGCAACAACAACCGCCATTCGCCACTAAGTGGCGGTGACGTCACCACAACGCTTGTGCCAGGCTATGTGCACCTTGAGGCCACGTGAAGTGTGGAACGCCCGCTGGCAGGAGGTCACGGGGCAGACCCAGGTGCCACGGGTCGACTGACTGAGATGACTGGCTGATGCACCACCTGTGCCCCCTACTGTGCCAACCTGCTGTGCTTTAGCCACCTGGCGCTCCGCTCGTTGTTGTGAACGTCGCTCCTCTGCCCTCCGTTGTTGTTGGAGGGCGACTGCCTCCAACTGCCCAGTAGCATCCTTCACGAGCCTCCTCCACAGAGGCCGATCTTGACACCGCTGGTACCAATCATCGGCAAGTCCACTCAGCTCCACGTCCTCCTGTACCACATCACTCCATCTCGTCTCTAGCCCGTGCCGCGCCCGTTTAGCCCCCTCGATCCGGCCGAACAAAAGCTGTTTCGGCATGCGGTGGCTGGGCATGCGGGCTACATGACCCAGCCAACGCAGCCTTGCCTGCCGGAGCTCACCGATGGGACCTTGCCCAGATCTTTCAAGGATTTGTGAGCTCCTCACACAATCCAGCCTGGTTAAACCCAGGATGGATCGTAGGCAGGCTAGCCTAAATGTTTCTAACCGGCGAAGATGTTCCATTAGGGGGGTCCACGTTTCGCAAGCGTAGAGAAGGGAGGGAATGACCGTGGCCGAGAAGACCTGAAGCTTAGTGCGGAGCGACAGACCAGGTAGCTTCCACACAGCGTTACGCAGCCGATGAAAAGATATTGCTGCTCGACTGATTCGGAGTGAGACCTCTGCTGTTAAACTGGAGCCGGTCATAAGCACACTGCCCAGGTATGGGAAACTCTCCACTCTCTCCACAACTGCCCCATCACCGTTTGGGAGTTGTGGGGGTGGAGTGTCCGATGGTACAAAATACCCAGGCAGGTGCTTAGTTTTGGTGGGGCTGATGGTAAGGCCCCACCTCTTAGTGGCACGCTCCAGTCTCAGCAGCAGCGTCTCCAACTCCTCCTCTGAATGAGCAGCTATTACCAAATCATTGGCATACATAACGTGGTTGAGCAATAGGGAGCCATCCCTGGACCGCACCCGGGCATCGGTCAGCCTCCCATTATATCTGTACCAAATGGAGATTCCCCCGGTACAGCTATTGAAGACACACGCAACACACGGGGACACACGGGGACACGTGTACACACGCAACACACGCGTACACATGCAACACACATGGACACACGCAACACACGTGTACGCACGGGGACACAGCGTTATCGAAACGGTGAAACATGCACACGCACGCGTGTATACGCAAGGTGGCTAACGACGATAAAGACCCCCCCCTCCCCTCCCCCCGTACGGCGAAGGGGTGGGTGGCCGGCACCACGTCCGCCCGCCTTTGTCTCCATCATGGCGATGTTTCCATTACCGCTGCCCCAGTGACACGCACGCACGCACGCACGCGTCTCCATGCCCCCCGTGTCGCCGTCTCCCTGGAACCCCGTGCGTTGTCCCCAGGGTTTCTGCGACGACCGCTTTGGCGACGTGCTGTTCGTGCGTCCCATGCGGGAGCTCTCGGCCAAGGAGGTGGCGCTGTACGTCCACGCGTTCGGCGTGCGCACCGCATGGAGGCCCGCACTCAGCACGCGGGTACGCACGCACGCACGCACGCACACACATGGGTACGCACGTGTGCGTGTGCGCTGGCCACCCACCGCCTCGTGTGCCATGCCGGCCTTCGCAGGCGCTACTCGGCTCGCAGCACTTGCCCCCGTCAAGGCTGTACAGGGGACCTCTGTGTGTGCGTGCTGCGGCCTGCAGGCCGGCAATCAGGCGAGCATCACGAGTTTGACGGAGGCGTTTGTGACGGAACTTCAGGCGGAATTCCCATCAACCGTCTCCACCATCTACAGGCGAGACGCACGCACGCACACGCCGTACGGCCACACGTGTGTGTGTGTGTGTGTGTCGGTGTGGGTCACTGAGTGTGTGTTTGTGTGGAGCGGTCGTGCACTTGGTCAGTCAGCCGGTTGGACGACCAGCTGATCAATCGGCGAGTTGGACGATCAGCTGGTCAATTGGCAAGTTGAACAATTAGCTGATCAATCAGCCAGTTGGACGATAAACTGTTCAATCGGCGAGTTGGACGATCCGCTGGTCGATCGGCAAGTTGAACAATTAGCTGATCAATCAGCCAGTTGGACGATAAGCTGATCAATCGGCCAGTTGGACGATCAGCTGGTCAATCGGCAAGTTGAACAATTAGCTGATCAGCCAGTTGGACGATAAGCTGATCAATCGGCCAGTTGGACGATCAGCTGGTCGATCGGCAAGCTGAACAATTAGCTGATCAATCGGCCAGTTGGACGACCAGCTGATCAATCGGCGAGTTGGACGATCAGCTGGTCGATCGGCAAGCTGAACAATTAGCTGATCAATCAGCCAGTTGGACGACAAGCTGATCAATCGGCCAGTTGGACGATCAGACGGTCGATCGGTCGTTCCCGTGCACTCCTCTCGTGTTCTGACCCCCCGTGCCCCGACTGGGCCTCTGTGACAAACGAGCCTCAGAACTCATCGGATCCCCCCTCCCGCAAGTCTAAATGCAAGATTCCGATTCCGACTCCCGACTCGTTGCCGTTTCACTGCCGAGCAGAACCGGGGAGAAGATCGGAACGGACGACGTGGCTCGGGCGGCGGAGAAGTGCGTGCTGTGCTCGGCCTTCCTCGACACGGACGCAGGTGAACGGCCGTCCTTCTTCACCCGGGAATAAGGCCTCGCCGAGTTGTCGATAGCAACAGGACTATTAAACTAAAACTATTTTCGTATCTTTACCAGGTAAGGGCCCCCACTGTAGCTGTCACGAAATGACAGCTTGACGAAAGTGGCTCGTCGTCATCGTCGTCGTCGTCGTCGTCGTCGTCGTCATCGTCACGTGGAAATTTATAGCAGCCAAATACTCTTAAAACGCGTGATGTTTATTCTAAATGTGGAGGGGAAAACCGGAGGACCCAGAGGAAATGAATTCAACATGGGCTTGAGGTTTGCGCCGATAGCGGTTACACCGCGTGTGTGAGCCGTGCTGGCCTTTAAAGCACTTGCCACAATAGTCTGTGAAGGCTATACAGGGAGAGGGGGGGGGGTGATCTTTGTCTTTGTTCGTGACGATGGGAGGGGGAAACCGGAAAACCCGGAGGGTAACCCATGCAGAACAGGGGCAGGAGAGAAAACACACCAAGTCCACACGCAGACACAGACAGGCACCCGCGTCGGGAGTCGGACCAAGGCCCCTTCTGACCGCGAGGCGCCATTGGTACCACCACGACCACCACCACGACCACCACCACGACCACCACCACGACCACCACCACCACGACCACCACCACCACGACCACCACGACGACCACCACCACGACGACCACCACCACGACCACCACCTCCACCACGACCACCACCACTACCATGACCACTACCACGACCACCACCACCACCACCACCACGACCACCACGACCACCACGACCACCACCACGACCACCACGACCACCACCACGACGACCACCACCACCGCGACCACCACGACCACCCTGTGTGTATCTGACACGGCCATTATGAACCCGCCCACTCCCTCGATATTTCAGTGGCGGCTTCGGCTTTGCAAGCAGCCCTCATGTCGGAGAAGCTGTCGAGCAAACACCGCGTCGACCCCCCCCCGCCGTGCGGTGGTGCGGCTCAGTGCAGCTCCGGGCAGGGGGCTTGTTGCCGTGACAGCGGAGCGGACCATTTCGTTAACGGGTAAGGATGTCGAGGTTCAAACGGTCCGTGTAATCCTCGACTCATCGTCCGTTGCCCCGAATGCGTTCCATTCCGGGTGGGGGGGGGGGGGGCGTCGCAGTGGAGTGGATTGCGGCCCCGCAGAGATAAGAGGGGCCTGGGTTCGATTCCCAGCTGGGGCGCCTTTCTGCGTGTGGAATATCTATGTTCTCTCTCCGCCTGTTCTGCAGAGCAAGAGTGTGAGCGCGAGTGGAGTTTGTGTGTTCTCCCCCTGTTCTGTTGAGTGAGAGAGTGTAGTTTGTGTGTTCTCCCCCTGTTGTATGGCGAGTGAGTGGAGTTTGTGTGTCAGGTGGTGGAGGGGTCATCACAACACAAATTTAATCAAATCATTACGGAGTGGCCTAACCCAAACATCAATCGTGAATCTTAATATTGACCGCGGCAACCTCCGTTATGAGTTTTGAAATGAACTGGTAGTATGTGTGTCGTGTTCTGCAGGGAGTCTCTCTCACAAGCTCTGTGTTACGGGTGTCGGCTGACTGTGAACGACATGGTGAGTTGGGAACACACAGAGACAAAGATCACCCGTGTAGCTTTAACAGACTATTGGGGCAAGTGCTGTTAGCGAGCATCACCGATGAAGGGCGTGGGTGGCCAGCACCACGCCTGGCTGCCTTTGTCTCCTTACTGGCGATGTTTACACACTGCACCAGGTACAACATTTTTTAAACCGAGTCGACCTAAGGGAGGCCCAGGACCGGTTCAGATAATTATCACTGGTGGTGTTGGTGGCCGCGGGTGGGAATCGAACTCGGGTCGCCGGGTTTGTAGCGCAGCGCAATAACCCCTGCGCCACCACTCCCCACCCACACGCAGACAGCCACACTCACAGCTGCACCAACACACACACGCAACAGAGACTCCACAGACAGACAGACGCGTACCCACAACACCACCCTCTGCTAGGCCAGTAGACGCTAGCGTCCCGGTCATCCTTCTCACGTACGTACGTACGTAGAACTTCATTCGCACCACCGTACGTAGCTCACCGTGCTAATCGGAGGTGCGTTGTGGAAGGAACGCTAAACACGAAGAGCAGTTTTAAAGAAATGTGTTTCCCCCACCGTCCGCCGTCCTTGTCCCTGTGCTCGGCGTGAGCAGGACGAGGCGAAGCTCCTGCCGCCGTTCGTTTTGGCTGAAGCGGAGCAGCGGGAGAAGAGGTGAGGGGGGGGGGGGGTGGTGGCGGTGGTAACGGTGCGCGCACCGCCCCAGCGATGGCGAACTCCACCGTAGACTTGCGCTTGGCGCTGTTGGCGTCGCGGGACCAAGAGTCCGTTTGGGGTTCCTCGATGAGCAGAGCGGCACTCTCTCCCCCACCCCCCCCCCCCCCCCTGCGGTAGAGAACGTCCCGCGGAAGCGGATATCACAGAGCTACCTCTGGTCCGAAGACAAAGATCCCCCGTGTAGCCTTTAACACAGTTAGGGCAAGTGCTGTCAGTAAAGGCCGACACGGCACACGAGGGCGTGGGTGGCCAGCACCACGCCCGGCCGCCTTTGTCTCCCTCGTTGCGATGTTTACTACACACCGCACCGGGTACTCATTTGAGGCTGAGTCGACCTAGGGGAGGCCCAGGACCGGTTTAGATCGTCGTCACCGGTGTTGACCGCGAGCGGAAACCGAACTCGGGTCGCCGGGTTCGCAGCGCTAACAAGTACGCCTCCGCCCCTCAACAACAACCGCCATTGGCCACTAAGTGGCGGTGACGTCACCACGGCGCTTGTGCCAGGCCACGTGCACGTTAAGGCCATGTGAAGTGTCGAACGCTCGCTGGCAGGTTGTGGGACAGACCCTGCAGGTGCCATGGGTCGACTGAGATGAGTGGCCGGTGCACCACCTGTGCCCCCTACTGTGCCAACTCGCCGTCTTAGCCACCTCCAGCGAAAACGGAGGGCAAGAGGAGCGACGCTCACAACGACGAGCGGAGCGCCGGGTGGCCAAAACGCAGAAAAAATTGGCAAAGTGGGGAGCACAGCTGGTGCGTATACCCAGTCATCTCAGTCAACCCATGGCACCGAGGTCTGTTCCGTGACCTCCCGTCAGCGAGCCTTCTGACACTTCACATGGCCTTAAAGTGCACCTAGCATGACACAATCACCGTGGTGACATCACCGCCACCGAGTAGTGAGAACGATGACGGGGCGCTAGCGTCTACCGGCCTAGCGGAAGGCGGTTGTGGGTACGCGTCTGTCTGTCTGTGTTGGTTGTGGTGGCGATGATGGTGGCGGCGGTGGTGATGGTTATTGGTGATGGGTGCTGTTTTTCAGGCGTCTCCTTAAGGCACAGATCCAGGAGTTTTTGCTGGAAGACGACGATGGTGGCGTTGATGAGGACGAGACCCTGTGATCCATCACACAGAGACCCTCGTGATGTCAATGATGAGCTATGAGGGCTGGGGGGGGGGGGGGTTGCCCCAGATAAACATCGACACAGATGATTATTTTTATTATTATTGTTACGCATGGTTACCCAGGCGAGAGTGTCACGGAGGAGGGTACTGCATTAGGTTGGGGGTGTGAATTTATTGCTGTTTGTAACCTCAATTGGGTAAGTATGCAAATAACCGTTCGGCTTTGGGATGCTTTGGCTGATAGCGGTTACGTTGCGCGGTTCATTTTAACTACGGGAGGAAACCGGAGAGCCCGGAGAAAACCCGTTTAGAGCAGCGGGAGAGAGTACGCACAACTCCCCCGTGTCGCCTGTAACAGACTGTTGGGGCAAGTGCTGTTAGCGAGCATCTATGAAGGCCGGAACGGCACACGTGGGGGTGGCCAACAACCACGCCCGGTTGCCTGTTGTGACGTGTAAACATCCCCAGTGGCGATGTTTACACATCACAACGGGTACTCATTTGAGGATGAGACGACCTCAGGGAGGCACAGGACCCGTTCAGATAATCTTTCACTGATGTTGGCCGTGAGCGGGAATCGAACTCGGAATCGCCGGGTTCGTAGCGTGGCGCGCTAACCGCTGCACTACTGCTCCTCTACACATACACACTCTCTCACTCGCTCACACTCGCCCGCTCACACTCGCCCGCTCACACTCGCCCGCTCACACTCGCCCGCTCACACTCACCCCCCTCCCCGCATCCTGTCTGATTGACGGCCCTGCTTGCAGCTTTGCACGCATGTGGTCAAAATCACTTTTATTTCATACATTGACAGACGAACGGAAACGCGCACACATAATAACAGTAACCAACACTGTTTTTATCGCTACACACGCACATACGGGGCTATTCACAGTCGGCAAGGCGACGGTCCGACCCCACGCGCCAGAGCGTCCGTATCAGTCGGGGAATTTGTACAGGGAACCGCGGGACGCGTGGATCCGACGCCAACGCACACCAAAGTCAGCTGTTCGTGCTCAACACTTGTGTTCAGGAAGGGTCCTGACCTTGATTGTGGGGAGCGGTGGTGGAGCGGTTAGCGCTGCGCTACGAAACCCAGCGACCTGCGTTTGATTCCCACTCACAGCCACCAACACCAGTGACGATTATTTGAAACGGTCCTGGGCCTCCCCTAGGTTGACTCTGCCTCAAATGAGTACCTGGTGCAATGTGTAAACATCGCCACTGGGGAAACATAGGCGCCCGGGCATTGTGCTGGCCACCCACCTCCTGGTGTGCCATGCCGGCCTTCATAGGTGCTGCTCGCTAACAGCACTTCCCCCAACATTCTGTTAAGCCTATAAGGGGGAACAGTCTTGATCTCGATAGAATAATTTGTAGGTAATATTTCAGCACATGTCCGATGTTGTTTTGGTCATTACCGCTTACATTGAATGGGGTTTTAGCTATGGGGAGGAGACCCCCAAAGGAAATCCATGCAGGACGGAGAGAGAGAGAACACACAAACTCCACACAGGTGGCCGAGTTGGGAATCGAACCCAGGTCCCTTAGAGGTCAGCCTGCGCACCAGATGAACCCGCCTGCGTGCCTTTGATTGGTCGCTGAGCTTGGCGAAGGGACGCACTCCCGCGTGAGCGAGCAAACTCAAGACTCCTGAGACTCCGCCTGTGTTGCTCCGGGCGTAAGGTTCCCACGCAGCCTCTGCAGGAGGCTGAGGGAACCCAGGAAAAATGGGCGGATGCCGTTCACCTCCATCACCGTGAGGTTGTCCAGCTGCCGGCGATTGAGAGAAGTGGGGGAGGGTCAATCAGCCAGTGGAGCGGTCAGCCAGTTGAACGACCAGCTGATCGATCGGCAAGTTCAACAGATTGCCATTGCGAAAACACTAGACAGACCTCGCATGTAACCTATAGACTGGCTGCTCAATCAGCCGGTTTAACAGCAAGCTGAACGAACAGCTGGACAATACAGCTGACTGCATGGACAGCAGGCAGGCCTGCTGGCGAGGGAGACCCACCTGCGCGTGGCTCGCCTGCTGAGACACGAAGCCGTCGGCCGAGAGACGCAGCTTGGCCGTGCGCGTGTCCCACAGGTCACGCAACAGCGCCCGGATCTCGTCGGCACGCGGGACATCGTCAGCAGCTCTGAACACGCGCGGGGGGGGGGGGGGGTGGGCACACAATAAGTCATCGGTCGGTGAGCCTCGCCGTTGTTGGCTGGGGTAGGGTGGTGCGTACACTTGTGGCCTCTGATGTTTGTGGATTCTCTCCACCCCCCCCCCCCTGTTCTGCGTGGGTTTCCTCCCACAGCAAAACAAGCACACTGCAATGCAACCGGTATTAGGCCCAAACCACATCCCGAAATGCGAAGCAAATTACCTGCAAATTACTCCATTGGGGATGGCACACTGCAGTAGCAACGTCAACCCCCCCCTTGTTACCCTACAGCATAAACCTGACAGGACCCTCTCTGGATAAGAGTTACGCTTCAGTCACAAGGCCACTTGGAACTGAGACTCCTATCGTGATCTCTAGAATTTCTCACCTGCTTTAACAAAGCAAACTCACATGCTGGGGACTAATCGAGGCTTTCCTCTATTCAGCGCGTGCTCTTTTAATGGACTTGCCTTCGTCACGGTGTTACTGTTACGTCTTACATACGCGTAATTAAAAAAAATAAACTATTTGGAAAAGGTGGGCAATGAGCTGTTTCCCCATAGCAGAAGACATCCCCCATATAGCCTGTAACAGGCTGTTGGGGCAAGTGCTGTTATCAAATAGCACCTATGAAGGCTGCACCGTGGCACACGAGGGAGTGGGTGGCCAGCACTATGCCCGGCAGCCTTTGTCTCCCCAGTGCTAGCCATGTTTTTACACAGCAGGTACTCAATTGAGGCCACGTTGACCTAGGAGTAATCGTCACCGGTGTTGTCCGTGAGTGCGAATTGAACTCGGCTCGCCGGGGTTCGCAGCGTTAACCACTGCGCTACCACGTCACTGCCACGTCACCGCCTTGTCACCCAACCACTAACGGTGGCGGTGGCTGAAGTACTCACACGTTGAGCAGCAGCTTGGAGAGCTCCATGTAGTGGGGGCTGGGCATGGGGGTGAAGGTCTGGGCTGCCCGCTCCTCCTCCCGCAGCTGCTCCAGGCGGTCTGCAAAAATAACATGGACTAAATTGAGGCCGAGTGCATAGGGCAAGTGCATGGAGAAATGTGGGGCTTGCAGAGGCACGGGATGAATCAGTGGATTCATCCCACACAGATTAACATAGGACTCCTAAGACCATAGACTCGAACAGTAACCCACAGACTCGCATAGATTAACATGGAATTACATAGTACCCACAGACTAACATGGAATTACATAAGACCCACATACTCGAATAGTACCTATAGACAAACATAGGACCCACAGACTAGTAAGATTCATGGACTCAAAATAGTAGCCATGGACGAAGATGACATTACATGGGACCCACAGACGAGACGAAACTCGAAAGACCTCGTGTCGGCTCCTCCCGCCCGCGCTCCATACCTACACTCATCCACTCCGGGGCTTGGATCCTGCACTTCTGCCGCTGCTTGAGGTTGATGGCCAGCCAGAGGGGCACCCGCACGGGCAGCCCCGGGTCGAAGGGTCCCAGGTCGCCCTGGCGATTCAAAGTGAACACACATTGCCATTGCAAAGACGAGATAATAGACTGGCATCGGGCCCACAGACTTGAATGGGAGCCGTAGACTTAACATGGATTACATAGGAGCCATATAACCCATAGACTAAATAGGGCTTCATAGAGTCGCATAGGAGCCATATACTTAACATGGGATTAAAAAGGGAGCCATTTAACCCATAGACTGGCATAGAGGTTCGTTGACTCGCACTGGAGCCATAGAAAACATAGGAATAAACAGAACACATAGAATGGCATAGGGCTTCATAGATTCACACAGGCGCCATAGACTTAACATGGGATTACATAGGAGCCATAGAACCCATAGACTGGCATAGGGATTCATAGACTCGCATCGGAGACATCTAACAGTGGATTAAACATAACCCATAGACTCGCACAGGGTTCATAGAGTCAAATGAATCGCTGACATTCACCCGTAATGTGCCCCAAATCTCGGAAGCTAAGCAGACTCAGACCCACAGAGAGCCCGGCTTGTGCTAAGGTAGACGAGCCCCGTGAACGGAACAGGTGCTATAGACTATGGTGCGACTACCTGGTGGATAGAATCAGAATATTTATATATCCAGTAGGGGCAGATCAGAACGTTACAACAACAAACGATACAAACACGAATCGAGTGCAAAGTATAGGTAAGGTAAACAAATCACTGAAACTATATATAAATAAACTAAGATAGATTTTATCAGATAAAGTCCACTGAGCTATTAGCTTATGTTTCAGAAGCGACCTGGCCACGAATGATAGCTCAACGAAATGGATTATCATCACGTGGAAACTTAAGCAGTAGCCAAATACTCTAAACCCGTGTTTCTGCAGACTCGTAGAGACTCAGACCCACAGAGACCCATACTCATAGCCAGAGATGCATCGAACAATACTCACACTCAGAGACACAGAGACCCATACTCATTGAGACCCACAGAGACCCATACTCATAGAGACCCACAGAGAGGTACAGACCCACAGAGACCCATACTCATGGAGACCCATACTCATTAGAGACCCAGAGACGCATAGACCCACAGAGACCCATACTCAGACTAACAGAGACGCATAGACCCACAGAGAGGTATAGACACACAGAGACCCATACTCATGGAGACCCATACTCATTAGAGACCCAGAGACGCATAGATCCAGAGACCCATACTCATTAAGACCCACAGACACCCATACCAAAACTAAAATATATTTTTTATTTTACCAGGTAAGGCCCACTGAGCTATTAGCTTCTCTTTCAGAAGCGACCTGGTCACAAGGGATAGCGCCCAACGAAGTGGTTTATCATCGGTGGACATTTATAGCGGCCAAATAATTTAACAATCTAAGGCAGAGGGCACCGCACCTTACTCCCGAATCATGCGCTGCCCTTTCTATTTGTTGCTGCCCGCTTGGCGTTTTGAGTCCGTGCTCGGTAACCCTTTGAATCGTCTAGATTGAGAAATAATGTATTTATAACCGCCTCTTGTTGCGTTTAGTTGAGCACGTAGTAGGATTTCGCGACTAATATCCATGACGCAGGTGTCTTGGGTTTGATCGCGTAAATGTATGTGTCGTTAAACCCGCCACCACCCGACACAGCTAATTAGTAAGGGTTGTCACGTAAACAGAACGAGTAAAATCGTTACTAGAATCTGGCTGTCGCCTGATGAAGCTAGTTGTAACTACTGGCGAAACGTCGTACTTGGATTGTAAATGTTGTGGCTTGGCTCTCCAACACACCGGAGTGCTGTACTAGTATACTACACTATATACTACACACTAGTGCTGTACTAGTATATTACACTATACACTACACTATACACTACACACCGGAGTGCTGTACTAGTATACTACACTATACACTACACACTAGTGCTGTACTAGTATACTACACTATACACTAGTGCTGTACTAGTATACTACACTATACACTACACACTAGTGCTGTACTAGTATACTACACTATACACTACACACCGGAGTGCTGTACTAGTATACTACACTATCCACTACACACTAGTGCTGTACTAGTATACTACACTACACACTAGGGCTGTACTAGTATATTACACTATACACTACTATACACTACACTACTGTACACTACACTATACACTAGTGCTGTACTAGTATACTACACTATACTATACACTAGTGCTGTACTAGTATACTACACTATACACTACACTATACACTACTGCTGTACTAGTGACGAATTGTCCACGTTCTGTTTACGTGACAACCCCTTACTAGTTGGCTGTGTCGGGTGGTGGCGGCTTTAACGACACAACATGTATATATTTATACGCGATCTAACCCAAACAAACCTCTATTATGGGCTCACTGTCTGTGCGGAGTGCTGGATGGTTACGACACATTGTATACTTAACGCGACCGAACCCAAAACACAAGACCTATTATTATGAACAGCATTGGTCGCGAAAGCCGACTGCGTGTTAAACCGCACAAACTGCACACTGCTAGGGCTTCTGCACAGGAACAAGCGTGGTGAAGTATGGTCAAAATAACTCCCCCCCCCCCGCGGCGGGGGAGGGAGTGAGGGGAGGGATCGTCTCGACATCCAGCAGTGAACGCTGTACACGGGGGGCCCGGCTCAGGCCGCGAAGCCTTACGGCTTTCCTAAGCCGGGGCCGCCGCGTCGGACGATTCCTAGGCGCGCTTACGACGACCCCGCTCGCCCGCAAACGCGCGAGACCGGCTCACCCCGATGAGGTAAACTTTGTCCAGGGAGAAGTTGGGAATGATCGTGACCGTCTCCTCCTCCGCCAGAAATTCCACCTCCGCTGGGTCCATAGACTCGGCCATCGCGACTTTAATAAATTAAAACATTTTTAAACTAATATATCTTTTTTATGTACAGCTACCGTAGTACGCATTTATCTCCCTCACGCTTCAAGTTCCCGCGCAATTTCACCACCCACGCGAGGGTCCCGATGACACGCTGAATCGATTCTGCAATAACACGAACGGAATCGATTTCAGCACGAGCGTAGCTGCTAACGAGGGAGGTTTGGCGATTGAAATCGGGATCGTCGATTTCATTTGGAATCGATTGCCTCAAAAGATGGGGGAGGTGGGGGGGAAGGGAAAGCTGCTCCCCTATTGGTCCAGCCCCTCAAGGCTGGGCGAGGCCAAGCCAGCTCTAGCCTCGCCCATTCAAGTGGACGCTACCACTTGAGCATCACCAGCAAGGGGTGTTGGGTGTTTTTTTATGAATGGATGGAAACGTTTTTTTGAATTAAGCCTTTCAAAACGGCCTGTTTTTAGCCGATGCAATTTACGAAAAATATAACTTCCGCGATTTAAATAACGCGCGTAGAAAAAAGGCGCTCATAATCCTTCATGACGTCTCCGATTAGCACATTTATCTACGTAAGGGGTGCGAAATAAGTTTAATATACGGTACAAACAAGTTGTTCGGTAATGGTTTGATCCAACAGCTGTTTAAAAGAGCGCGGGAAAGCACAATGGGTAGATGGTAGCACCGAGGCGAGTGGAGTTCAACCCCCATCACTACCCCTGCCCCTATCACTGCCCCTGCTACTACACCCTGTCCCTATCACTGCCCCTGCTACTACACCCTGCTCCCTATCACTGCCCCTGCTACTGCCCCCTGCCCCGACCCACCCAGCTACGACCAGACCTAGCCCAGTGTGGAGGCCTTCATCCAGCAGTGGACAGACCATGGCTGCTGATGAGGATGGCAGCTGGGGAGGCCTTCATCCAGCGGTGAATAGACGACCATGGCTGCCGATGCTGATGACCACGTGCAACGTGCGGTGCCACATGTCGCGACGCTTCGCCCGGCCTGCAGGGATCGTGCCGTCGGCTGGCGGGGTTGAAGGTTCACAAAGGGACGCGGAGTCAGTGGCGGTCGTCTGAATGGTTTATTTTATTGTTTAGCCGCGAGACGGCGAATCGTTGAAGTCAACGGGTGATTCGTCATCGCTTGAGGCGGTGCGTTCGCAAGGTAATGGGCCACGCTTACGATACAGGGGCTCTTACACTACTTACGAACATTCGACTTACGAACTTTCAGAGGTACGAACAGACCCTGTCCGTCGTATGTCCAGTTGCCTGTTCCGACCGAGAGTCGTAAGTTCAACCGCCGCGAAATAGATGGTGGTGGTGGTGGTGGCATCTACATCTGCAGAACGTGAAGAGCCAGTGGCATCTACATCTGCAGAACGTGAAGAACCAATGGCACCTACATCTGCAGAACGTAAAGAACCAGTGGCATCTATATCTACAGAACGTGAAGAACCAGTGGCAACTACAGCGACATAACGTGAAGAACCAGTGGCATCTACATCTACAGAACGTGAAGAGCCAGTGGCATCTGCAGAACGTGAAGAACCAGTGGCATCTACATCTGCAGAACATGAAGTACCAGTGGCATCTACATCTGCAGAACGTGAAGAACCAATGGCACTTACATCTACATCTACAGAACGTGAAGAACCAGTGGCGCCTACATCTACAGAACGTGAAGAACCAGTGGCATCTACATCTACAGAACGTGAAGAACCAGTGGCGCCTACATCTACAGAACGTGAAGAACCAGTGGCATCTACATCTAAAGAACGTGAAGAACCAGTGGCATCTACATCTAAAGAACGTGAAGAACCAGTGGCATCTACATCTGCAGAACGTGAATAACTAGTGGCCTCTACATCTACAGAACCTGAGGACACCAGTGGCATCTACATCTGCAGTAGATTATACAACTTTTAAAGCCATTCCATCGTGTTTAGTGTACACGCCGTACAACATGTTTTTAATCTGCAGGAGTAAAGTTGAACTTACGAACAAATCGATTTACAAACCTAACTCGTTTGTAAATAAAGGAGTCCCTGAACTACAATGTGCGTATGTATGCTGTGCGTTTATTGAACTTCCTTCGCACCGTACGTAGCCAACCGCGCTGATCGGAGGTGCGGGAGAAGGACAACAAACTACTAAACACAACAAGGAGTTTGTGTCCAGTTGGCGACATCACTCCCCTCTCCAATATTTGCGAGTGATGGATTCAGCGGTCGATTGAACGCAGCGTTGTTGCGAGCGTAGCTGCCTCTTGTGGCCGTGAGCTGGTCTCGCGGTGAACGCCGATTGGCACACGACGCACGTCAGGTGGTTTTCCACTGGCACATCTGAGCCGAGCCAGCGTGAGGCCAGCACGGTACGGGTGGTTTTCCACTGGCACATCTGAGCCGAGCCAGCGTGAGGCCAGCACGGTACGGGTAGTTTTCCACTGGCACATCTGAGCCGAACCAGCGTGAGGCCAGCACGTTACGGGTGGTTTTCCACTGGCACATATGAGCCGAGGCAGCGTGAGGCCAGCACGTTACGGGTGGTTTTCCACTGGCACATCTGAGCCAAGCCAGCGTGAGGCCAGCACGGTACGGGTGGTTTTCCACTGGCACATCTGAGCCGAGCCAGCGTGAGGCCAGCACGTTACGGGTAGTTTTCCACTGGCACATATGAGCGGAGCCAGCGTGAGGCCAGCACGGTACGGGTCGTTTTCCACTGGCACATCTGAGCCGAGCCAGTGTGAGGCCAGCACGGTACGGGTGGTTTTCCACCGGCACACGGCCCCAACAGTGCTAGCGTCGTCGCGCGCGTGACTGTCCGTGGATCGGCTTGGCTCCCGCGGTGAAAAAGAGCAACCTGGGCCGTGCCGGGGGCTGGCTCGGCACGGCTCAGATGGATGTGCCCCCGGTCGAAAACAATAAACAAAACACACCAGAGGCATTGGATTTGATGTGAGGGGCTCCCAGATGAAGCAGGAATTCTGAGATCATTGCACAGGGGCCCCCGTGGAGCCACCGAGGGCCCCCGTGGAGCCACCGAGGGCCCCCGTGGAGCCACCGAGGGCCCCCGTGGAGCCACCGAGGGCCCCCGACGTCTCCGAACACCCCCCCACCCCCTCACCCCCCCCCCCCCCGCCCGCCCATCCAATTCCCACGGAGCCGCTGGGAGCCGCTCATTTGCGGTGGGCCTTGATGAAGTTGATGAGGCCGTTGGTGGAGGAGTCGTGACCCGTGGCCGGCTGGGCCGTCGTCAGCTCCGGCTCGATCACCTTGGCCAGCGGCTTCCCCAGCTCCACCCTGGGGGGGGGGGGGGTGTGGGGAGGGAGGGGGGGTGTGGGGAGGGAGGGGGGGGGTGTGGGGAGGGAGGGGGGGGTGTGGGGAGGGAGGGAGGGGTGTGGGGGTTAGTGCTGCGCTACGAACCCGGCGATCCGGGATTCGCACCGGTGACGATTATCTGAACCGGTTTTCTGGGCACGTGCGTGTGTGTGCTCGATTCCCGCTCACGGCCAACACCGGTGACGATTATCTGAACCGGTCCTGGGCCTCCCCTAGGTCGACTCAGCCTCAAAATGAGTACACAGACAGACGTACGAACTCACCCCCACTGATCGAAGCTGTTGATGTCCCAGATGATGCCTTGAACGAAGATCTTGTGCTCATACATGGCTGAGGAACAGTGAGAAAGCACCGTCATGATTATCGTCATCACCATCGTTGTCGTCATCATCGCCGTCATCATCATTTTCATCATCATCATCGTCGTCGTCATTATCATCGTTATCATCGTTGTCGTCGTCAGCATTATCATTGTGATCATTTTCATCATAATCGTTGTCGTCATTATCGTCATTGTTATCATCATCGTTGTTGTCATCATCATTATCATTGTCATCATCATCATCATCATCGTCGTCATCATCATTGTCATCACCATCATCGTCGTCGCCATCATCATTATCGTCATCATTTTCATCATCATCGTCGTCGTCATTATCATCATCGTTATCATCATCGTTGTCATCGTCATCATTGTCATCATCATCATCGTCGTCATCATCCTTATAATTGTCATCATCATCATCGTCGTCGTCATTATCATCATCGTTATCATCATCGTTGTCGTCATCATCGTCGTCATCATCCTTATCATTGTCATCATCATCATCGTCGTCGCCATCATCATCATCATCGTCATCATTATCTTCAGCATCACCCAAATGTTGAGGAGACCTCTAGCTTGCTATGGCCGCTGGTCACGTGTCTCCTCCGCTCAACCGGCGAGCCAGAAGATATTCACCGAACTAATCGCTGCGCCACCACCCACCGCATCATGGCAGCGACAAACGTCATCATCGGATTCATGATCGGCATCACAATCAGCATCACCAGCTTCATCATTATCAACGGTACCAGATTCATCGTAATCACCAGGTTCATCAGCATCACCAGAATCATCATCACCATCATCACGATATTCATCAGCATCACCAAAATCATCATCACCATCATCACGATATTCATCAGCATCACCAGAATCATCATCATCACAATGTTCATCAGCATCACCAGAATCATCATCACCATCATCACGATATTCATCAGCATCACGAGAATCATCATCAACAGTACCAGATTAATTGTCATCACCAGGTTCATCCACATCACGATATTCATCAGCATCACCAGAATCATCATCACCTTCATCACGATATTCATCAGCATCACCAGAATCATCATCACCATCATCACGATATTCATCAGCATCACCAGAATCATCATCAACAGTACCAGATTAATTGTCATCACCAGGTTCATCCACATCACGATATTCATCAGCGTCACCAGAATCATCACCACCATCATCACGATATTCATCAGCATCACCAGAATCATCATCAACAGTACCAGATTAATTGTCATCACCAGGTTCATCCACATCACGATATTCATCAGCGTCACCAGAATCATCACCACCATCATCACGATATTCATCAGCATCACCAGAATCATCATCAACAGTACCAGATTAATTGTCATCACCAGGTTCATCCACATCATGATATTCATCAGCGTCACCAGAATCATCACCACCATCATTACGATATTCATCAACATCACCAGAATCATCATCAACAGTACCAGATTAATTGTCATCACCAGGTTCATCCACATCACGATATTCATCAGCATCACCAGAATCATCACCATCATCACGATATTCATCAGCATCACCAGAATCATCATCAACAGTACCAGATTAATTGTCATCACCAGGTTCATCCACATCACGATATTCATCAGCGTCACCAGAATCATCATCACCATCATCACGATATTCATCAGCATCACCAGAATCATCATCATCATCACAATGTTCATCAGCATCACCAGAATCATCATCACCATCATCACGATATTCATCAGCATCACGAGAATCATCATCAACAGTACCAGATTAATTGTCATCACCAGGTTCACCCACATCACGATATTCATCAGCATCACCAGAATCATCATCACCTTCATCACGATATTCATCAGCATCACCAGAATCATCATCACGATATTCATCAGCATCACCAGAATCATCATCACCATCATCACGATATTCATCAGCGTCACCAGAATCATCATCATCATCATCATAATGTTCATCAGCATCACCAGAATCAACCTGGCGGCACTCACCAATGAGGACACCCAGCATGTATGGGGTGAGCTTAGAGAACACGATGGAATTAGTCGGGCAGTTTCCCACGAACACCTGCGCACACACACAAAGACACACACACACACAAAGACACACACACACACAAAGACAAAGGTCCCCCGTGTAGCCTTAACAGACTCTCTCTCTCTTTAGTGCATGGCACGTACGTGCAAATCACACGTCCAACTTTGAGTCTGTGAGCCACGCGATAGTTCCAGGAGTAGCACGGCTAATGCTGCTCAGGATGGCTCATAGGCAGGCCAGTCTAAATGTTTCTAACCGGCGAAGATGTTCCATTAGGGGGGTCCACGTTTCGCAAGCGTATAGAAGGAAGGGAATGACCGTGGCCGAGAAGACCTGAAGCTTCATGCGGAGCGACAGACCAAGTAGCTTCCACACAGCGTTACGCAATCGATGAAAAGATATTGCCGCTCGACTGATTCGGAGTGAGACCTCTGCTGTCAAACCGGAGCCGGTCATGAGTACACTGCCCAGGTATGGGAAACTCTCCAGTCTCTCCACAACTGCCCTATCACCAATTGGGAGTTGTGGGGGCGGAGTGTCCGATGGTACAAAATACCCAGGCAGGTGCTTAGTTTTGGTGGGGCTGATGGTAAGGCCGCACCTCTTAGTGGCAAGCTCCAAGTTCAGCAGCAGCGCCTCCAACTCCTCCTCTGACTGAGCAGCAATTACCAGATCATCGGCATACATAACGTGGTTGACCAACAGGGAGCCATCCCTTGACCGCACCCGGGCATCGATCAGCCAACCATTGTATCTGTACCAGATGGGAATTCCTCCGGTACAGCCATCGAAGGCTTCATGAACTACGTGCTCGAAAAATATGTTAAATAATGTGGGAGCCAGAGGACATCCCTGTCACACCCCAAGGTGAACAGAGAATGGCTCCAACTCCCAGCCACGTAGTTTTACCCGGGCCTACTCACCATCAAGAAGGTCCTTAATGATCGTGAGCAGAGGGTCAGGGACTCCATAAGCATGAAGAACAACCCACAGTCCAGGCCTACTGATGGTATCATAGGCCTTGACCAGGTCAATAAAGCAGAGATGTAGGTTTTGTTGGAATTCCCGACACCTCTGCTGTAGCAGACGGACAGAAAATATGGCATCTGTGCAGGACCGCCATTTCCTGAAACTGCATTGGGGCTCCGCAAGCCTCTCCTCAGCGTGCCTAGCAAGGCAATGTTAAATAATCCTTGCCAGGACCTTTCCCGGCACACTGAGGAGTGAGATGCCCCTGTAGTTGTTACAGTCTGTGCGGTCCACCTTCTTAAAGAGGGGGACCACCAGGGCATCCTCCCAATCCGATGGAACCCGTCCAGTGGTCCAGACTGTTGTTATGATGTCATGTAGGGCAGTCTGTGCACAAACGCCACCCTCCCTCAGCATTTCGCTTGGTCTCAGACTCCGGATCGCCTTCAGTACTTCCTCAACAGATGGCACCTCAGCCAGCCACTCACAGGGGGTGACTTCTTCCAATATTTGAGGCACCGCAGCCTCAGCAGGGTCATCCCCACTTTGTGCCACGATGTTTTCCTGGCTGAGGGATTTTCCCTCCCCTAGGACCTCACAGAAATGCTCAGCAAATCTGCAAACCTGTTCCTGGGGGTCGGAGATTGGATCGCCGTTTTTTCCTCTAATGATGGTCATAGGTACACACACACACAGGTACACACGTACACAGGTACACATGTACACAGGTACACAACAACAACTGCCATTCGCCACTAAGTGGCGGTGACGTCACCACGACGCTTGTGCCAGGCCATGTGCACACACACACATGTACACACAAAGATCAAAGATCCCCCGTATAACCTTAACAGACTGTAGGGGCAAGTGCTGTTAGCGAGCACCTATGAAGGCCGGAACGGTACACGAGGGGGTGGGTGGCCAGCACCACGCCCGACCGCCTTTGTCTCCCCAGTGGCAATGTTTTTATCCACCGCACCAGGTACTCATTTGAGGCTGAGTCGACCTAGGGGAGGCCCAGGACCGGTTCAGATAATCGTCACTGGTGTTGGCCGTGAGCAGGAATCGAACCCGGGTCGCCAGGTTCATAGCGCAGCGCGCTAACCGCTGCTACACTACCGCTCCCCACGTACACACGCACACACACGTACACACACACACCGCGTCTTCGGCGTTGTTCCACGTGAGGACGCGCGGCGACAGCGCGGTGACGTTCCAGCATCGGTAACGCCGCGGGGGGCCACGATAATAAACGCACAGAATAGCCAGGTGGCCATGGGCCCTTTCTACCGTGGGGCCATGAGGTGTCGGGGTCGTCACAATCGGATTCCAAGGCCCATTTTTTCCCACCACCCCCACATGTGACTTCAGATTTTAATTCCGCTAGCGAGTCGCAGCGCCCGCCAAGGGGTGGCCACGGCACACTAGGGGTGGCTAGCACCACACCCGGCCGCCTTTGTCTCCCCAGTGGCGACGTTTAGTACGCGCCGCACACCAGGTACTCATTTGAGGCTTAGTCGACCTAGCGGAGGCCGAGGACCGGTTCAGATAATTGTCACTAGTGGTGTTGGCCGTGAGCGGAAATCGAACCCGGATCGCCGGGTTCATAGCGCAGCGTAGCGCTAACCGCTACACTACCGCTCCCCACCAGACAGAGACACACACTGACACAGAGACACACTGACACAGACACACGGACTCACAGACAATCACACAGAGACACACGCTGACACAGACAAACGGACTTACAAGTCAAAGATCCCCCATATAGCCTTAACCGACTGTAGGGGCAAGTGCTGTTAGCGAGCACCTATGAAGGCCAGAACGGTACACGAGGGGGTGGGTGGCCAACACCACGCCCGGCCGCCTTTGTCTCCCCAGTGGCAATGTTTACACACCGCACCAGGTACTCATTTGATGCTGAGTCGACCTATCGGAGGCCCAGGACCGGTTCAGATAATTGTCACTGGTGTTGGCCGTGAGCGGAAATTGAACCCGGATCGCCGGGTTCATAGCGCAGCGTAGCGCTAACCGCTACACTACCGCTCCCCACCAGACAGAGACACACACTGACACAGAGACACACTGACACAGACACACGGACTCACAGACAAACACACAGAGACACACGCTGACAAAGACACACGGACTCACAAGACAAAGATCCCCCATATAGCCTTAACAGACTGTAGGGGCAAGTGCTGTTAGCGAGTAGCAGCACCTATGAAGGCCGGAACGGTACACGAGGGGGTGGGTGGCCAGCACCACGCCCGACCGCCTTTGTCTCCCCAGTGGCGATGTTTACTACACACCGCACCAGTCCACCTTCTGCCACGTACCTAGTGCTGGATTAAGCTAGTGCGGGGCCTGTAGCATATGTCATAAAGGGGCCCGATATAAAAAAAAAACGTAAATATTAAAACACACAAAAATGTAACTTGCATAGTAAAGAAATTGTATTTTTTTCATTTTCTATGCAGCCAGATAATACGACAAATCGCTAACCTCAACCACCCGGTCGTTCACAAAAGTTGAAGGCAGTATAGTACTACAGTAATAGAGCAAGTGCAAAATCACTGAACCGGAATTAATAGCTCGAAAGCGCGGTGCCCTTGAAAGCGCACGGCCCATAGGATATGCTACTTTTGCCACGTACCTTGTGAGGAAGAATGTTGTGGAGAGCCTCGCCAGTAAGGCCCGAGGCCTCGAGTTCAGCCTTGGCCTCGGCTGAAGTCTTCCCCCTCATCAGCGCCTCGGTCTGGGCCAGGAAGTTAGCGATGAGGACCTGGGAACGACGCGCGCACGGGAGGACGTTGTCGTCGTCATCATCGTCGTCGTTAATGTCGACCACGGCCACGATCAATCCACTGCTGGATTAAGATCAATGTAATGGTGTTGGTGATGTCTCTGCTCCACGTGCTCCTCAGTGTAATCATCGCCGCGGTCTATCAACTGCTGGATGAAGATCATCGCGATGGTGGCGGTGATGTCTCTACCCCGCGTGCGAGTCCTCTACTCCTCCACCCCCGACGGCCGAGCCGCGTCCTTCTCGGCGTGAAGTACGCGGGAACGGCGACCGCGTGGCCGCAGGAGCGACAGGGGAGGGACGTGGGGGCGAGCGAGACCCCCAGGGGCAGAGCGAGCGCTCGACCCCTTGAGGCCTGGCCGTGGGGGGTCGAACGCTCGGGGCTTTATCCACTTATCAGTGCCCTCTCCACCTTCTCACAGACCAATTCAGGCCTTATTGGTCACCCCGTCCCCCTTATAACTCTCAACGTCCATCCTACAAAGTCCCATCACTGGGGAGAAACACAACACAAATAGACATCTTTTTTTAAACATTATTTTGCCCGCATTGAAACGGCTGTACGCCGTATGGACCTCTCAGAGCTCAATTTCCCCTGCACAAGAATAGGGTGTGAACCGTGTGGGTTGACAGGGTATGGGGGCTGGAGGTTCTCGGGAGGTCAGAGGGCGCGACCCCAAGGTACCGTGTGGTGGAGACCGCCGCGGACCGGGTTCTGGGTTTGAGCCGGGATGAGGAAGTCGCACGGCACGAGGCGCGTTCCTGGCAACGACACCGCACCCCGGAGTTAGCGTGCGTGTGTGTGTGTGCGTGCGTGTGTGTGTGTGGGTGAGTGTGTGTGTGTGCGTGTGTGAGTGTGCGTACTTCACGCCGGCAAAACAACCCCCTACCTCCTCGCGGTGCCGGACGGGCAACTCTGTCGTGGACAGCGCTGTGGGGGGAGATCCAATTTTGATTGGCTCCTCCCCTCATGGCATATGTGTCCACCACAGGGGCTAAACGGGGGCTCTGGACGGGCGCGAGGGGCTGGTAACCCCTCCACCTTCAATTAATTACCACGAAACTACGAATTAAACTGAAATATGTAACAACTAAGCTTGTGCCAGAGGCCCCGGGGGGCCAGGCGTCTATGACGTCTCCTGGCCAAACCCCAATTGGCGGAGCCAGGAGATTGAATACCTACCCTCGGGGCTACTCCAGAAACAACGAAAAGCCACTACGGTTGGCCACGTGGAATGTTCGAACGCTCACTGCAGAGGAGAGGCTGCCACTCCTCTGTCGGGAGCTGGACCGGTACCGCCTGGATCTATGCGGCATTCAGGAGGTCCGGTGGACCGGCTCTGGCTCCTGCCACCATGAGGGGTGGACAGTCCTCTACTCGGGGCAGCAGTCTGCCAAACAACAGGGTGTGGGTCTTCTTTTGAACAAAAGAATGAAGGGGGCGTGGGAGCGTGGCGGTGAGGTGTGGGAAGCTGTAAGCCCCAGGCTACTTTGGGCTCGCCTTCCCATCAACCGGAGGCGAGGAATGGTGGTCGTGGTTACTTATGCCCCCACTGAAGATGAACATCCGTGGAGGGATGCAGGCAAAGCCGATGAGTCAGATGCCTTCTATGACCTCCTGTCACAGGTGCTGGCTAAAGTGGCCCCTCGGGATAGAGTCATCATGTTGGGTGACTTCAATGCCCGAGTTGGTCATGATACTGGCACCTGGTCTGGAGTGATTGGAGGGCATGGGCCAGATCAGCTCAATAACAACGGTAGAAGGCTGCTAGATTTTTGTGCAGCCCATGGGCTTGTAATTACCAACACGCTGTTCCGGCATCGGCGCATCCACACAACATCATGGATGCATGCCGGGTCCAAGCAAGAACATCTGCTGGACTACATAGTGACGGACCAGCGAATGCGAGCCCATGTCCTTGACACCAGGACCTACCGTGGAGCTGATCTGCCCTCTGACCATCGACTAGTCATCTGTAAGATGCGCCTGCCATTCTTCCACTCCGGTGGTGGGTGTACACCCAGGACCCCATTCCAACCTAAAGTGGCCTGGTCTCAGTTATCTGATGAAAGTTGCAAGCGAGAATTTCATCATCGCTTGCGGCTGGGATTGGCATCGTCCCCGACTCCTCCTGATGTCGAGGGTAAATGGGCGAGGTTTAGGACTGTGACTCATGCAGCTGCAATGGCTGCTTTGGGTACGCGGTCCAGACCTCCCCAGACACCCTGGATGACAGAGGAGTTGTTCAGGATGGTTGAGAAAAAGCGACAGGCCCACTGTCATCGGCTACAGAATCCCACGTCAGAGAATGAGGAGGCTTACCGCAGCCTTCGCTCGGAGGTTCGGAGAGCCGTGAGGCGCTGCAAGGATGGGTGGTGGTCGCGGGTTGCTGAGGAGATGGAGTCTGCCTCAGTGGCCCGTGATCACAAATCTCTATTTAACTCCATCAAAAAAGTAACCTGCAGCGCCACACCTATTACCATCATTAGGGGAAAAAACGGTGATCCAATTTCCGACCCCCAGGAACAGGTTCGCAGATTTGCTGAGCATTTCTGTGAGGTCCTGGGGGAGGGAAAATCCCTCAGCCAGGAAAACATCGTGGCACAAAGTGAGGATGACCCTGCTGAGGCTGCGGTGCCTCAAATATTGGATGAAGTCACCCCCTGTGAGTGGCTGGCTGAGGTGCCAGCTGCTGATGAAGTATTGAAGGCGATCCGGAGTCTGAGACCAGGAAAGGCAGCGGGCAGAGATGATCTCCCAAGCGAAATGCTGAGGGAGGGTGGCGTTTGTGCACAGACTGCCCTATATGACATCATAACAACAGTCTGGACCACTGGACGGGTTCCGCAGGATTGGAAGGATGCCCTGGTGGTCCCCCTTTTTAAGAAGGGGGACCGCACAGACTGTAACAACTACAGGGGCATCTCACTCCTCAGTGTGCCGGGAAAGGTCCTGGCAAGGATTATTCAGCATCGCCTTGCCAGGCACGCTGAGGAGAGGCTTGCGGAGCCCCAATGCGGTTTCAGGAAAGGGCGGTCCTGCACAGATGCCATATTTTCTGTCCATCTGCTACAGCAGAGGTGTAGGGAATTCCAACAAGACCTACACCTCTGCTTTATTGACCTGGTCAAGGCCTATGATACCATCAGTAGGCCTGGGCTCTGGGTCGTTCTTCGTGCTTTTGGAGTACCTGACCCTATGCTCACGATCATTAAGGACCTTCATGATGGTGAGCAGGCACGGGTAAAACTACGTGGCCGGGAGTCAGAGCCATTCCCTGTACACCTTGGGGTGCGACAGGGATGTCCTCTGGCTCCCACATTATTTAACATCTATTTTGACCACGTAGTTCGTGAAGCCTTCAATAGCTGTACCGGGGGAATCTCCATATGGTACAGATATAATGGGAGGCTAATCGATGCCCGGGTGCGGTCAAGGGATGGCTCCCTATTGCTCAACCACGTTATGTATGCTGATGACTTGGTAATAGCTGCTCAGTCAGAGGAGGAGTTGGAGACGCTGCTGCTGAGACTGGAGCGTGCCACTAAGAGGTGGGGCCTTACCATCAGCCCCACCAAAACTAAGCACCTGCCTGGGTATTTTGTACCATCGGACACTCCACCCCCACAACTCCCAATCGGTGATGGGCAGTTGTGGAGAGAGTGGAGAGTTTCCCATACCTGGGCAGTGTGCTTATGACTGGCTCCAGTTTAACAGCAGAGGTCTCACTCCGAATCAGTCGAGCGGCAATATCTTTTCATCGGTTGCGTAACGCTGTGTGGAAGCTACCTGGTCTGTCGCTCCGCACTAAGCTTTAGGTCTTCTCGGCCACGGTCATTCCCTCCCTTCTCTACGCTTGCGAAACGTGGACCCCCCTAGTGGAACATCTTCGCCGGTTAGAAACATTTAGGCTGGCCTGCCTACGATCCATCCTGGGTTTAACCAGACTGGATTGTGTGAGGAGCTCACAAATCCTTGAAAGATCTGGGCAGGGTCCCATCGGTGAGCTCCTCCGGCAGGCAAGGCTGCGATGGCTGGGTCATGTAGCCCGCATGCCCAGCCACCGCATGCCGAAACAGCTTTTGTTTGGCCGGATTGAGGGGGCTAAGCGGGCGCGGCACGGGCTAGAGAAGAGATGGAGTGATGTGGTACAGGAGGACGTGGAGCTGAGTGGACTTGCCGATGACTGGTACCAGCGGTGTGAAGATCGGCCTCTGTGGAGGAGGCTCGTGAAGGATGCTACTGGGCAGTTGGAGGCAGTCGCCCTCCAACAACAACGGAGGGCGGAGGAGCGACGCTCACAACAGCGAGCGGAGCGCCGGGTGGCTAAAGCACAGCAGGTTGGCACAGTAGGGGGCACAGGTGGTGCATCGGCCAGTCATCTCAGTCAGTCGACCCGTGGCACCTGGGTCTGCCCCGTGACCTCCTGCCAGCGGGCGTTCGACACTTCACGTGGCCTCAGGGTGCACATAGCCTGGCACAAGCGTCGTGGTGACGTCACCGCCACTTAGTGGCGAATGGCGGTTGTTGTTGTTGCGTGTGTGCATGTGTGTGTGCGTGCGTGCGTGCGTGTGTGTGTGCGCGTGTGTGTGTGCGTGTGTGCGCGCGCGCGTGTGCGTGCGTGTGCGTGCGTGTGTGTGTGTGTGCATGCGTGTGTGTGTGGGTGTGTGTGCGTGCGTGTGTGTGCGTACGTGTGTGTGTGCATGTGTGTGGGTGCGTGTGTGTGGGTGCGTGTGCGTGCGTGCGTGTGTGTGGGTGTGTGTGGGTGCGTGTGTGTGCGTGCGTGCGTGCGTGTGTGTGGGTGTGTGTGGGTGCGTGTGTGTGCGTGTGTGGGTGCGTGTGTGTGCGTGCGTGCGTGTGTGGGTGTGTGTGCGTGTGTGTGCGTGTGCGTACGTGTGTGTGTGCATGTGTGTGGGTGCGTGTGTGTGGGTTCGTGTGCGTGCGTGTGTGTGGGTGTGTGTGGGTGCGTGTGCGTGCGTGTGTGTGGGTGTGTGTGGGTGCGTGCGTGTGTGTGGGTGTGTGTGGGTGCGTGTGCGTGCGTGTGTGTGGGTGTGTGTGGGTGCGTGTGTGTGGGTGTTGGGTAGCGGTGGTGCAGCGGTTAGCGCTACGCTGCGCTATGAACCTGGCGACCAGAGTTCGATTCCCGCTCACGGCCAACCGGTGACGATTATCTGAACCGGTCCTGGGCCTCCCCTAGGTCGACTCAGCCTCAAATGAATACCTGGTGTGATATGTAAACATCGCCACTGGGGAGACAAAGGCGGCCGGGCGTGGTGTTGGCCACCCACCCCCTCATGTGCCGTGCCGGCCTTCGTAGGTGCTCGCTAACAGCACTTGCCCCTACAGTCTGTTAAGGCTATACGGTGAGATCTTTGTCTTTGTTTGTATGTGCGCGTGCGTGCGTGCATGGGTGCATGCGCAGACGAGTGAGTAAACGAGCGAGTGAGGAGTGAGCGTGCGAGCGGGCAATCCTGCGAGTGAATAACTGATTGTGCCTGTGAGTGAGCGAGCGGTTGAGCGTGCGAGTGAGCAAGTCCGCGAGCGAGCGATCGAGCGAGTCAGCGGGTGGGCAATTGAGCGCGTGAGTGAGCGAGTCAGTGAGCGAGCGTGTGAGCCATCGAGCGAATCTGCGGTTGAGCGAGTCTGCGAGCGGGCAAATGAGCGCGTGCTTGAGCGAGCGAGCGAGCGAGCGGTCGGGCGTGGCGAGCGTGGCGCTCACCCTGGTGTATGAGCTGGTAGAAGGCGTGCTGCCCGTTGGTCCCCGGCTCTCCCCACACGATGGGCCCCGTGTGGTAGTCCACGTTCTTGCCGGAGCGCGTCACCGACTTCCCGTTCGACTCCATGTCCCCCTGCGCACAAAGACAAAGATCCCCGCCCGTACAGCCTCCCACGGACTCCTGGGGCAAGTGCTGTCACAGCAAGCAGCGCCAATGATCCTCTAGGCTGCCCTCTAGGTCGACCTCTCGCCCGGCACGTCATGTCGCCCGTCAGCCGTGAGCCAGCGCGTGGCGTGGCGGTGAGCGCATCGCCGCGCTACGAACCGATGCTGCGCCTCCCCTAGGTCGACTCAGCCTCGAACGAGTACCTGGTGCGGTGTGTAGTAAACATCGCCACTGGGGAGACAAAGGCGGCCGGGCGTGGTGCTGGCCACCAGCTCCTCTCGTGTGCCACAGTGCCGGCCTTCACAGGTGCTGCTACTCGCTAACAGCGCTTGCCCCAGCAGTCTGTCGCAGGCTTGTGTACGTGTGAGCGTGCGTGAGCTAGAGTGTGAGCGTGAGCGTCTTCTCAGTCGGTCAACCCCATGGCACCTGTTGGGTCTGTCACGTGACCTCCTGCCAGCGGGCGTTCGACACTTCACGTGGCCTTAAAGTGCACCTAGCCTGGCACAGGTGGCGTGGTGACGTCACTGCCACTTGGCGGTTGTCGTTGTTGAGCGAGCGTGTGTGAGTGTGCGAGTGTGTAAGTGTGAGAGTGTGAGCGTGCGAGTGTGTGAGTGTGAGCGTGTGTGAGTGTGAGCGTGTGAGCGTGCGCGTGTGTGAGCGTGTGAGTGTGAGTGTACGAGTGTGTGAGTGTGAGCGTGCGGTTGTGAGCGTGCGCGTGTGTGAGTGTGAGCGTGCGGGTGTGAGCGTGTGTGAGTGTGTGAGCGTGTGTGAGTGTGTGAGCGTGTGCGTGTGTGAGTGTGTGAGCGTGCGCGTGTGTGAGTGTGAGCGTGCGAGTGTGTGAGTGTGAGCGTGCGTGTGTGTGAGCGTGTGAGTCTGAGAGTGTGAGCGTGTGAGCATGCGCGTGTGTGAGCGTGCGCGTGTGAGCGTGTGAGTGTGTGAGTGTGAGCGTGTGAGCATGCGCGTGTGTGAGTGTGAGTGTGTGTGAGTGTGAGAGTGTGAGTGTGCGAGTGTGTGAGTGTGAGCGTGTGAGCGTGCGCGTGTGTGAGTGTGAGCGTGTAAGTGTGTGAGTGTGAGTGTGTGAGTGTGAGCGTGCGAGGGTGTGAGCGTGTGAGTCTGAGAGTGTGAGCGTGTGAGCATGCGCGTGTGTGAGCGTGCGCGTGTGAGCGTGTGAGTGTGTGAGTATGAGCGTGTGAGCATGCGCGTGTGTGAGTGTGAGTGTGTGTGAGTGTGAGAGTGTGAGTGTGAGCGTGTGAGCATGCGCGTGTGTGAGTGTGAGCGTGTGTGAGTGTGAGAGTGTGAGTGTGCGAGTGTGTGAGTGTGAGCGTGTGAGCGTGCGCGTGTGTGAGTGTGAGCGTGTAAGTGTGTGAGTGTGAGTGTGTGAGTGTGAGCGTGCGAGTGTGAGTGTGTGAGCGTGCGCGTGTGTGAGTGTGAGCGTGCGTGTGTGCGAGCGTGCGAGCGTGCGTGTGTGAGTGCGAGCGTGCGTGTGTGTGACTGCGAGCGTGCGTGTGTGTGACTGTGAGCGTGCGTGTGTGTGATTGTGAGCGTGCGTGTGTGTGACTGCGAGCGTGCGTGTGTGTGTGAGTGCGAGCGTGCGTGTGTGTGACTGTGAGCGTGCGTGTGTGTGACTGCGAGCGAGCGTGCGTGTGTGTGAGTGCGAGCGTGCGTGTGTGTGACTGCGAGCGAGCGTGCGTGTGTGTGAGTGCGAGCGTGCGTGTGTGTGACTGCGAGCGTGCGTGTGTGTTCGCGTGCGAGCGTGCGTGTGTGTGACTGCGAGCGTGCGCGTGTGTGTGTGAGTGCGAGCGTGCGTGTGTGTGACTGTGAGCGTGCGTGTGTGTGACTGCGAGCGAGCGTGCGTGTGTGTGAGTGCGAGCGTGCGTGTGTGTGACTGCGAGCGAGCGTGCGTGTGTGTGAGTGCGAGCGTGCGTGTGTGTGACTGCGAGCGTGCGTGTGTGTTCGCGTGCGAGCGTGCGTGTGTGTGACTGCGAGCGTGCGCGTGTGTGTGTGAGTGCGAGCGTGCGCGAGCGTGCGTTCACCTGCTGGAAGTAGGCAGTGAAGCGGTGCATGTACTGGTCGTAGGGCAGGATGGCGTGGGTCTCGGCGCGGTACACGTTGCTATACCACGTGCCAAGCAGTGCCAGCAGCACTGGCACGTTGCGCTCCAGCGGAGCCTCCTGGAAGTGCTTGTCCTGGGCAAGACGACGGCAAGTGTTGTTGTTGTTGTTGTGTTGTTGTTGTGTTGTTGTGTTGTGTTGTTGTTGTGTTGTTGTGTTGTGTTGTTGTTGTGTTGTTGTGTTGTTGTTGTGTTGTTGTGTTGTTGTGTTGTTGTGTTGTTGTTGTTGTGGTGTTGTTGTTGTGTTGTTGTTGTTGTGTTGTGTTGTTGTTGTGTTGTGTTGTTGTGTTTGTTGTTGTGTTGTTGTTGTGTTGTTGTTGTGTTGTTGCTGTGTTGTTGTTGTGTTGTTGTGTTGTTGTTGTGTTGTTGTTGTGTTGTTGTTGTTGTTGTTGTTGTTGTGTTGTTGTGTTGTTGTTGTGTTGTTGTTATTGTTTTGGGGTGTTGTGTTGTTGTTGTTGTGTTGTTGTGTTGTTGTTGTGTTGTTGTTGTGTTGTTGTGTTGTTGTTGTGTTGTTGTTGTGTTGTTGTGTTGTTCTTGTGTTGTTGTTGTGTTGTTGTTGTGTTGTTGTTGTGTTGTTGTGTTGTTGTTGTTGTGGTGTTGTTGTTGTGTTGTTGTTGTTGTGTTGTGTTGTTGTTGTGTTGTGGTGTTGTTGTGTTGTTGTTGTTGTGTTTGTAGCGGGCGACGTGGGTGGCGGGAACTCACCAGCCAGTGGGCACCAGCCAGCAGCCTCTCGAAGTTGTCGAAGCCTGTCACGGGGGGGGGGGGGGTCAGGTGGTGAGTGGAGGGGGGGGGGGTCACGTGGTGAGTGGGGGGGGGGTCAGGTGGTGAGTGGAGGGGGGGGTCAGGTGGTGAGTGGGGGGGGGTCAGGTGGTGAGTGGGGGGGGGTCAGGTGGTGAGTGGGAGGGTGGTCAGGTGGATGGTGAGTGGGGGGGGTCAGGTGGTGAGTGGGGGGGGGGGTCACGTGGTGAGTGGGGGGGGGTCAGGTGGTGAGTGGTGAGGGTCCAGTTCGTGGTGAGGGTCTGGTGAGTTTATGAGTGGTGAGTGGTGAGGGTCTGGTGAGTTTATGAGTGGTGAGTGGTGAGGGTCTGGTGAGGCTCACCGATGTGCAGAGCGATGGAGAGACCGATGGCTGACCACAGTGAGTATCGCCCGCCCACCCACTGCACAAAGACAGAGACAAAGATCCCCCATGTAGCCCACACACGCTGTTGTGGCAAGTGCTGTTAGCGAGCAGCACCTATGAAGGCCGGCATGGCACACGAGGGGGTGGGTGGCCAGCACCACGCCCGGCCGCCTTTGTCTCCCCAGTAATGATGTATAATGTACACCACCGCACCAGGCACTCATTTAAGGCCGAGTCAACCTAGGGGAGGCCCAGGACCGGTTCAGATATTCGCCACAGTTATTGTCCAGAGACTCACACAGAGACTCACCCAGAGACACACTGACACACACAGAGATCCAGAGACTCACCCAGAGACACACCCAGAGACCCAGAGACACCCAGAGACACACCCAGAGACTCACCAAGAGAATCACCCAGAGACTCACTGACACACACAGAGACCCAGAGACACACCCAGAGACTCACTGACACACACAGAGACCCAGAGACACCCAGAGACACACCTAGAGACTCACCCAGAGACACACCAACAGACTCACCCAGAGACTCACCCAGAGACTCACCCAGAGACTCACTGACACACACAGAGACCCAGAGACTCACCCAGAGACTCACCCAGAGACTCGCCGACACACACTGAGACCCAGAAACACCCAGAGACACACCCAGAGACTCACCCAGAGACACACCCAGAGACACACCCAGAGACTCACCCAGAGACTCACCCAGAGACTCACCGACACACACAGAGACCCAGAGACTCACCCAAAGACTCACCCAGAGACCCAGAGACACACCCAGAGACACACCAATAGACACACCCAGAGACTCACCAATAGACACACTCAGAGACACACCCAGAGACTCACCCAGAGACACACCCAGAGACCCAGAGACACACCCAGAGACTCACCCAGAGACCCAGAGACACACCCAGAAACAGCCAGAGACACACCCAGAGACTCACCCAGAGACACACCCAGAGACACACCCAGAGACTCACCCAGAGACACACCCAGAGACACACCCAGAGACTCACCCAGAGACTCACCCAGAGACTCACCGACACACACAGAGACCCAGAGACTCACCCAGAGACTCACCCAGAGACTCACCCAGAGACTCACCGACACACACAGAGACCCAGAGACTCACCCAAAGACTCACCCAGAGACCCAGAGACACACCCAGAGACACACCAATAGACACACCCAGAGACTCACCAATAGACACACTCAGAGACACACCCAGAGACTCACCCAGAGACACACCCAGAGACCCAGAGACACACCCAGAGACTCACCCAGAGACTCAGCCAGAGACTCACCCAGAGACACACCCAGAGACTCACCGACACACACAGAGACCCAGAGACTCACCCAGAGACTCACCCAGAGACCCAGAGACACACCCAGAGACACACGAATAGACACACCCAGAGACTCACCAATAGACACACTCAGAGACACACCCAGAGACTCACCCAGAGACACACCCAGAGACACACCCAGAGACACACCCAGAGACTCACCCAGGAACTCACCCAGAGACTCACCCAGAGACTCACCCAGAGACACACCAATAGACACACCCAGAGACACACCCAGAGACTCACCCAGAGACTCACCGACACACACAGAGACCCAGAGACTCACCCAGAGACTCACCCAGAGACCCAGAGACACACCAATAGACACACCCAGAGACTCACCAATAGACACACCCAGAGACTCACCAATAGACACACTCAGAGACACACCCAGAGACTCACCCAGAGACACACCCAGAGACTCACCCAGAGACTCACCCAGAGACTCACCCAGAGACTCACCAATAGACACACTCAGAGACACACCCAGAGACTCACCCAGAGACACACCCAGAGACACACCCAGAGACTCACCCAGAGACTCACCCAGAGACTCACCGACACACACAGAGACCCAGAGACTCACCCAGAGACTCACCCAGAGACTCACCCAGAGACTCACCGACACACACAGAGACCCAGAGACTCACCCAGAGACTCACCCAGAGACCCAGAGACACACCCAGAGACACACCAATAGACACACCCAGAGACTCACCAATAGACACACTCAGAGACACACCCAGAGACTCACCCAGAGACACACCCAGAGACACACCCAGAGACACACCCAGAGACTCACCCAGAGACTCAGCCAGAGACTCACCCAGAGACTCACCCAGAGACACACCAATAGACACACCCAGAGACACACCCAGAGACTCACCCAGAGACTCACCGACACACACACAGACCCAGAGACTCACCCAGAGACTCACCCAGAGACCCAGAGACACACCAATAGACACACCCAGAGACTCACCAATAGACACACCCAGAGACTCACCAATAGACACACTCAGAGACACACCCAGAGACTCACCCAGAGACACACCCAGAGACTCACCCAGAGACTCACCCAGAGACTCACCCAGAGACTCACCAATAGACACACTCAGAGACACACCCAGAGACTCACCCAGAGACACACCCAGAGACTCACCCAGAGACTCACCCAGAGACTCACCAATAGACACACCCAGAGACACACCCAGAGACACACCCAGAGACTCACCCAGAGACTCACCCAGAGACTCACCCAGAGACTCACCAATAGACACACTCAGAGACACACCCAGAGACTCACCCAGAGACACACCCAGAGACACACCCAGAGACTCACCCAGAGACTCACCCAGAGACTCACCGACACACACAGAGACCCAGAGACTCACCCAGAGACTCACCCAGAGACTCACCCAGAGACTCACCGACACACACAGAGACCCAGAGACTCACCCAAAGACTCACCCAGAGACCCAGAGACACACCCAGAGACACACCAATAGACACACCCAGAGACTCACCAATAGACACACTCAGAGACACACCCAGAGACTCACCCAAAGACACACCCAGAGACCCAGAGACACACCCAGAGACTCACCCAGAGACTCAGCCAGAGACTCACCCAGAGACACACCCAGAGACTCACCGACACACACAGAGACCCAGAGACTCACCCAGAGACTCACCCAGAGACCCAGAGACACACCCAGAGACACACGAATAGACACACCCAGAGACTCACCAATAGACACACTCAGAGACACACCCAGAGACTCACCCAGAGACACACCCAGAGACACACCCAGAGACACACCCAGAGACTCACCCAGAGACTCACCCAGAGACTCACCCAGAGACTCACCCAGAGACACACCAATAGACACACCCAGAGACACACCCAGAGACTCACCCAGAGACTCACCGACACACACAGAGACCCAGAGACTCACCCAGAGACTCACCCAGAGACCCAGAGACACACCAATAGACACACCCAGAGACTCACCAATAGACACACCCAGAGACTCACCAATAGACACACTCAGAGACACACCCAGAGACTCACCCAGAGACACACCCAGAGACTCACCCAGAGACTCACCCAGAGACTCACCCAGAGACTCACCAATAGACACACTCAGAGACACACCCAGAGACTCACCCAGAGACACACCCAGAGACTCACCCAGAGACTCACCCAGAGACTCACCAATAGACACACCCAGAGACACACCCAGAGACTCACCCAGAGACTCACCCAGAGACACACCCAGAGACTCACCCAGAGACACACCCAGAGACTCACCCAGAGACTCACCAATAGACACAACCGTGAATCCAAGGCGCTACGCGTGTGTGCGTACTCACGTCCCAGAACTCAAACATGTTGGCCGTGTCGATCCCAAACGCCTGCACCTTGGGCTGTTTGACAACGGGCGCACACGGAGAGAAAGGCAAGCCGCGGTGTCAAGGTGATGTCAAGGTCATCGTCTCAAGGTGACCTCGTTCGAGTGCCAAGGTGACCTCGTGGCACCTGAGTTCGAGTGTCAAGGTGACCTCGTGTGACCTGAGTTCAAGTGTCAAGGTGACCTCGTGTGACCTGATTTCGAGTGTCAAAGTTACCTCGTGCGACCTGAGTTCAAGTGTCAAGGTGACCTCGTGTGACCTGAGTTCGAGGGGGGTGGGGTGGGGGCGGGGGTGGGGGTGGGAGGGAGGGGGCAGGTTGGGAATCAGGGGTTGGGGCGGGGTGGGGGTGGTGGTGGTGGGGTGTGGGGGTGGGGGTGGGGCCAGGGGTGTGGGGGTGGGGCCAGGGGTGTGGGTGTGGGGGTGGGGCCAGGGGTGTGGGGGTGGGGCCAGGGGTGGGAGGGTGGGGCCAGGGGTGGGGGTTGGTTGCGTGGCCGGCACTCACCCCGTTCGTGGAGAGTGCCACGAAATGCTTGGCGACAGCGGAAGCCTGGAAACAAAACAAAAGAGACGGGCGGCGTGGTTACGAATGGCATGGTTACGAACGGCGTGGTTACGAATGGCGTGGTTACTGGTGACGTGGTTACGGGCGCCGTGGTTACGGGCACCGTGGTTACGGGCACCGTGGTTACGGGCGGCGTGGTTACGGGCACCATGGTTACGGGCGGCGTGGTTACGGGCGCCATGGTTACGGGCGGCATGGTTACGGGCGGCGTGGTTACGGGCGGCGTGGTTACGGGCGCCATGGTTACGGGCGGCATGGTTACGGGCGCCATGGTTGCGGGCGGCATGGTTACGGGCGGCGTGGTTACGGGCGACGTGGTTACGGGCGCCATGGTTACGGGCGGCATGGTTACGGGCGCCATGGTTACGGGCGGCATGGTTACGGGCGGCGTGGTTACGGGCAGCGTGGTTACGGGCGCCATGGTTACGGGCGGCATGGTTACGGGCGGCGTGGTTACGGGTGGCGTGGTTATGCGTGGCGTGGTTACGGGAGACGCGCGGTTACGGGTGATGTGCGTGTCAATAACTTCCCACGGAAGCAGATATTACAGAGCTACTTCTGAGATCGCCTTCTACTTGAAGTGACACTCTGGTCCACACAGATCAATCCACGGAAGCCGACAGTGTCGAAGACTCACTGGCAGGAGGTCACGGGACAGGCCCAGCTAATGCAAGTTGACCGAGTGCCAACTCGCTGTGATTTAGCCGCCCGGAGCTCCGCTCGTTGTTGTGAGCATCGCTCATCTGCCCTCCGTTGTTGCTGGAGGGCGACTGCCTCCAACTGCCCAGCAGCAGCAGCGTCCTTCACGAGCCTCCTCCTCCTCCACAGAGGCCGATCTTGACACTGCTGGTACCGCTCATCGGCAAGTCCACTCAGCTCCACATCCTCCTGTACTACATCACTCCATCTCTTCTCTAGCCCGTGTCGTGCCCATTTAGTTGGGTCTATGTGGCCAAACCTAAGCTGCTTTGGCATGCGGTGGCTGGGCACGCGGTGGCTGGGCATGTGGGCTCCGTGACCCAGCCAACGCATGGACACACAGACAGTATGGACACAAACACACAGGCACATGGATGCACAGACACACGGACACACACGGACACACACGGACAGGCACAGCCACACACGGACGAATACATGGACAGACACACAGCCACACACGGTCACACACGGATACACACAGACGAACACACGGACAGACACACGGACAGACACACAGCCACACACAGACGAACACACGGATAGACACATGGACAGACACACAGCCACACACGGACGAATACACGGACAGACACACAGCCACACACGGTCACACATGGATACACACAGACGAACACACGGATAGACACACGGACAGACACACAGCCACACACAGACGAACACACGGACAGACACACGGACAGACACACAGCCACACACAGACGAACACACGGACCGACACACAGCCACACACAGACGAACACACGGACAGACACATGGACAGACACACAGCCACACACGGACAGACACACGAACAGACACATGGACAGCCACACACGGACGAATACACGGACAGACACACAGCCACACACGGTCACACACGAATACACACACGAATACACACACACGAAAACACACAGATGAACACACGGACGGACACTCAGACACACACGGTCACACACGGATACACACAGACGAACAAACAGACGAACACACGGACGGACACACGGACAGACACACGGACGGACACTCAGACACACGGACAGACACACGGACGGACACTCAGACACATGGATGCTGTACTCTCACATCTTTTGCTTTCTCCAGGAACCAGGCTTTTGCCGACTCAGCGTTGGTGATGGTCTCCTGCGTGGTGAACGTCTAAACACGTCCACATCAACATCAACATCGGAAACATCGTCAACATCGTCAACATCAACATCATCGTCGTCAACATCAACATCGTCAACATCAACATCATCGTCGTCAACATCAACATCGTCAACATCAACATCATCGTCGTGAACATCAACATCGTCAACATCGTCAACATCGTCAACATCAACATCATCGTCGTCAACATCAACATCGTCAACATCAACATCATCGTCGTCAACATCAACATCGTCAACATCAACATCATCGTCGTCAACATCAACATCGTCAACATCAACATCATCGTCGTCAACATCGTCAACATCAACATCATCGTCGTCAACATCAACATCGTCAACATTATCGTCGTCAACATCAACATCGTCAACAACGTCAACATCATCGTCGTCAACATCAACATCGTCAACATCGTCAACATCAACATCGTCAACATCAACATCGTCAACATCAAAATCATCGTCAACATCAACAACATCAACAACATCAACATCGTCAGCATCAACATCGTCAACATCGTCAACATCAACATCGTCAACATCATCGTCAACATCATCGTCAACATCAACATCATCGCAACATCGTCAAGATCATCGCAACATCGTCAACATCAACATCGTCAACATCAACACCGTCAACATCAACATCATCGCAACATCGTCAACACCGTCGTCATCGCCAACATCATCGTCGACATCATCGTCAACGTCATCATAAACATCACCGCCACTGCAGACACCACCACACCCACCTGCGTGTGTCACACCAACCCCCCCCCACGTCTCGAACATTCACAATGGCCGGGACGCCGGGTAGTTTAGAAGCCTTGATGAAGAGGGCGGCGATGAAGAGGGTGGTGTGAGTGGCTCACGATGGATAGCCGTGTACCTTGGAGGTGATGATGAACAGGGTGGTGATGAAGAGGGCGGTGTGAGTGGCTCACGATGGCCGGGTACCTTGGAGGTGATGATGAAGAGGGTGATGAAGAGGGCGATGATGAAGAGGGTGGCGATGAAGAGGGTGGTGTGAGTGGCTCACGATGGATTGCCTTGTACCTTGGAGGCGATGATGAACAGGGTGGTGATGAAGAGGGCGGCGATGAAGAGGGTGGTGATGAAGAGGGCGGTGTGAGTGGCTCACGATGGATGGCCGTGTACCTTGGAGGCGATGATGAACAGGGTGGTGATGAAGAGGGCGGTGTGAGTGGCTCACGATGGCCAGGTACCTTGGAGGCGATGATGAACAGGGTGGTGTCGGGGTGCAGGCCGGCCAGCGTCTTGGCGAGGTGCGTGCCGTCGATATTGGAGATGAACGAGACGCTGGGACCCCCCACGGAGTAGGGCTTCAGGGCCTCCGTCACCATCAGGGGGCCCTGCGCACGTGGCCAAAGAGATAAAGGTAAAGGCGCCACCCCCTCCCCGCCCGTGTAGCCCACGCGGGCCGCTTGGGCCAAGTGCTGCCGGCGCAGCGTGCTTACGAAGCGGAGTGGTGTGGCTGGATGATGATGATGATGATGCGTGGGTTGTAGATGATTGTGATGTTGATGATGATGAACGTGTGATGTCGATGATGGTAGCGTGATGATGTTGATGAGTTTGCGATGTAAATTACGATGGTGCTCATATGATGATGATAATGAGTGTGATGATGTTGATGCTGATAAGTGTGATGATGATGCTGCTGCTGCTGATGATGAGTGTGTAATGTTAATGATGGTGTTAATGACGGTGAGTCTATGATGATGATTATGAGTGTGATGATGATGCTGCTCCTGCTGATGATGATGAGCGTGATGATGTTAATGCTGATAAGTGTAATGATGATGCTGATGATGAGTGTGATGCTGCTGCTGCTGCTGATGATTATAATGAGTGTGATCATGTTGATGCTGATAGGTGTCAAGATGATGCTGCTGCTGCTGCTGATGATGATGATGCGTGTGTGGAGGGGTGAATCTCACCAGGTCCGATCCTCCGATGCCAATGTTCACCACGTGAGTCATGGGCTTCCCTGTGTAGCCCAGCCACTCGCCAGAGCGCACGCGCTGCACAAAGACAAAGGTTCCCCATATAGCCTCGACCGACTGCTGCGGGCAAGTGCTGTTAGCGAGTAGCTATGCACTGTATGTCAAACTTCTTTCGCACCGTACGTAGCCAACAACAACCTAAACACAGAAATGAGTTCGTCAAATGTAGATGACGACTTAAGAGTGCACAGCTTCTGTGGCTTCCTGATATCGGAAGGAAGAGCGCGTTCCAGACGGCCGCGGAAGCGCATCCCAAAGCGCCGCGCAACGACGCAGTGACCCCGTCGCGTCATGCGGTGACCCCATCGCGTCACGCGGTGACCCCGTCGCGTCACACGGTGACCCCGTCGCGTCACGCGGTGACCCCGTCGCGTCACGCGGTGACCCCCGCGTCACGCGGTGACCCCGTCGCGTCACGCGGTGACCCCGTTGCGTCACGCGGTGACCCCGTCACGTCATGCGGTGACCCCGTCGCGTCTTGCGGTGACCCCGTCGCGTCATGCGGTGACCCCGTCGCATCATGCGGTGACCCCGTCGCGTCTTGCGGTGACCCCGTCGCGTCTTGCGGGACCCCGTCGCGACGACGTGCCGCGGGGTTGTGTGTGTGTACCTGTGTACGTGTGTGTACGTACGCGTGTGTGTACGTACGCGTGTGTGTACGTACGCGTGTGTGTGTGTACACGTGTGTGTGTACGTGTGTGTGTGTGTACGTGTGTGCGTACCTGTGTATGTGTGTGTACGTGTGTGTACCTGTGTACGTGTGTGTGTACACGTGTGTGTACGTGTGTGTACCTGTGTACGTGTGTGTACCTGTGTACGTGTGTGTACCTGTGTACGTGTGTGTACGTACGTGTGTGTGTGTATGCGTGTGTGTGTGTATGTGTTTGTGTGTACATGTGTGTGCGTGTGTGTACGCGTGTGTGTGTACGTGTGTGTGTACACGTGTGTGTGTGTACGCGTGTGCGTGTGTACACGTGTGTGTGTACGCGTGTGTGTGTGTGTGTACGCGTGTGTGTGTGTGTACACGTGTGTGTGTACACGTGTGCGTGTGTACGCGTGTGCGTCGTGTGCCACGCCGGCCTTCACAGGCGCTGCTCCTCGCTAAACAGCACTTGCCCCAACAGTCCGTCAAGGCTACACGGGGGATCTTTCTCTTCCGTGTGTGTACCCACGTGGCAGAAGGCCTTCATCTTCTCGAGCACGGCCGTCACTCCGGGCATCACGTCCTTCCCCTCCAGCATCACCGGCTGCCCCGAGCGGTTCCTCAGCGCCACGTGCAGCACCGCACGGTGCTGCTCAGCGCACACACCAAAGACAAAAGTGCCGCCCACCGTGTAGCCTTCACCGAGACTGCTGGGGCGAGCCGAAGGCCGCCGGGCACTGCGGCGCACGACGAATTCGGCGCGGCCAGCGCCGACCACGCCCCGGCCGCCTTTGTCTCCCCCGGCGGTTAATGTTTACCGCGCACCGCGCCCGCCGCTCAGCGGGGGTTTCTCCTGCGGTAGGCTTTGCTGGGGCTCCATCCGCTCACTTCAACCGCATTCTGAACGACTTTGCTCGGCGTCCCAGCCGGTGAAGGCGTTGGCAGTGGTCGAAGTGGGGATGACGCCGCTGGCGTGACGGACCGGTCTCTCCGAGTCAGCGTCGGAGCGCCTGCATGGCACCGTTGGGAATTCTGCTCCGACACGTTGGATCATCCCCAGTGCCGGATGGAGCGAGGCGCGGGGCCTGCAGTGTGATGATGTTAATAAAGGGGGCCCTAAATTATATATTTTTTTTAAAACACGTAAATATTAAAACACGCGCATCTTTTAACTTGCGCAGTAAAGTTATTGTATTTGTTTTCAGTTGCTATACAGCCGGATAATACGGCAAATCGATAACCTTAAACACTCATTCGTTCGTAAAAGTCAAAGGCGGTGTAGTACTATAGTAGTAGAGCAAGTGCAGAATCACTGAACCGGAGTTGATAGCTTGAAAGCATTTATGTAGCTACTACATATGTAGCTACTACTGCATATGTAGCTACTACATATGTAGCTACTACATATGTAGCTACTACTGCATATGTAGCTACTACTGCATATGTAGCTACTACACATGTAGCTACTACACATGCAGCTACTACACATGCAGCTACTACACATGCAGCTGCTACACATGCAGCTACTACTACACATGTAGCTACTACACATGCAGCTACTACACATGCAGCTACTACATATGTAGCTACTACACATGTAGCAACTACATATGTAGCTACTACACATGCAGCTACTACACATGTAGCTACTACATATGTAGCGACTACATATGTAGCTACTACACATGCAGCTACTACTACATATGTAGCTGCTACACATGCAGCTACTACACATGTAGCTACTACATATGTAGCTACTACACATGTAGCTACTACACATGTAGCTACTACACATGCAGCTACTACACATGCAGCTACTACACATGTAGCTACTACACATGCAGCTGCTACACATGTAGCTGCTACACATGTAGCTACTACACATGTAGCTACTACATATGCAGTTACTACACATGCAGCTACTACACATGCAGCTGCTACACATGTAGCTACTACACATGTAGCTACTACATATGCAGCTACTACACATGTAGCTACTACATATGCAGCTACTACATATCTAGCTACTACATATGTAGTTAGCTACTTTTGCTACGAGGATAATCCGGCACTCCCCTTCATTGGCTACCGGATCAAATTCCGGGTGGTGTTTAAGGTACCGCTATTGACCTGCAAGGCTTTTAAGGGGCTCACCGCCCCACATTACTTGCAGGAACTAATACATTTATATATTCCATCGAGTTCCTTAAGATCTGTTTAACACGTGGTAGGCTTTCGTAACCAATATCGTCCATAATAGAGGTTATTTTGGGTTAAATCGCGTAAATATATAAATGTTGTGTCGTTAAACCCGCCACCACCCGACACAGCCAACTAGTGAGGGTTGTCACGTAAACAGAACGTGGCCAATTCGTCACGAGTACAGCACTAGTGTATAGTGTAGTGTATAGTGTAGTGTATAGTGTAGTGTGTAGTGTATAGTGTAGTGTATAGTAGTGTATAGTGTAGTGTATAGTGTAGTAGTAGTGTATAGTGTAGTGTATAGTAGTGTATAGTGTAGTATACTAGTACAGCACACCGGTTGTGTGTTGGAGAGCCAAGCCACAACATTTACGGCCAATCTGGCTGTCGCCTGATGGAGCTGGTTGTAATTACCAGCGAAACGTCGTACTCAGATTGTAAATGTTGTGGCTTGGCTCTCCAACACACACCGGTGTGGTGCTGTACTAGTATACTACACTATACACTACTATACACTACTATACACTATACACTACTATACACTACACTACTATACACTACACTACTATACACTACACTATACACTACACACTAGTGCTGTACTAGTATACTACACTATACACTACACACTAGTGCTGTACTAGTATATCACACTATGCACTACTATACACTACACTACTGTACACTACACTATACAATACTATACACTACACTATACACTACACTATACACTACACTATACACAATGCACTACTATACACTACACTATACACTACACACTAGTGCTGTACTAGTGACGAATTGTGCACGTTCTGTTTACGTGACAACCCTTACCTAGTTGGCTGTGTCGGGTGGTGGCGGGTTTAACGACACAACATTTACATATTTACGCGATCCCACCTGTATTATGGTCCTTAAGATCTTCTGATCTCCAACTGCTCAGCTACTCCCCGGATCTGCGGGTTGCGCTCTTTTGCCGATCCGTGCTTCTGTTCGCGTGGCAGCCACAAGCCGTGGAACGCCGTGCCACTTGACATCAGGGCAAATCAGAGTCGCTAGATAAATCTAAGTCCGCTTCGCAAACCCATGTCTTTAAACTGAGCCTACACTCTCTCGTGTGGTCAGTTGGCTCTGTTGTTTTTTTAATTTCCCGCTGTCCCATGCATTTGCGCACTGGGATCCTCGGATGGAATGCCGCAATTTTACATTTTTATTGTTCTTATTTATGGCCCAGACGACCTGGGGATGGATCAGGTCCGGTCTCAGATAATCGTCACCGGCGTGGTCGTTGAGCGGGGAATCAAACTCGGGCCGCCGGGTTCGTGGCGCAGCCCGGTAACCGCTGCACCACTAAGTGGCGGTGACGTCACCACAGCGCCTGCGCCAGGCTAGGTGCACTTTGAGGCTGTCACGTGAAGTGTCGAAGGCTCGCTGCTGGCAGGAGGTCACAAAACACAGCCAGGTGCCCATTGGTTGGCTGACTGAGATGAGTGGTAGATGCACCACCAGCAGTGTACCCCCTACTGTGGCAGGCTAGGTGCAGGAGGAGGTCTCTGGACAGACCCAGCAGGTGCCATTGGTTGACCGACTGAGATGACCGGTAGATGCACCACCAGCAGTGGACCCCCTACTGTGCCAACTTGCTGCATTTTAGCCGCCCGGCGCTCCGCTCGTTGTTGTGAGCTATCGCTCCTCCGCCCTCCGCTGTTGCTGGAGGGCGACTGCCTCCAAATCCCTGGCAACATCCTCCGTGAACCTCCTCCACTCATCACACGTACAACAAAAACTCAACGTTTTATTTTACCAGGTGAGGCCCCACTGAGCCACGTGGCTCTCTTCCAGAAGCGACCTGGCCACAAATGACAGCTCAACGAAGTGGCTCATCGCGTGGAAATAATATCGCAGACAAATACTGATTTTAAACGTGGAGGGAAAGACCCGGAGGACCCGGAGAAAAGTCCACGCGACCACGGGGAGAGAGAGAGAGAGACACGCAAACTCCAGATATACAGCAGCAGGCGTCATGGTGGGGATCGAACCCACGACCTCCTGTATACCAGGCGAGGTAGTCAACATCTCCTAGCCACTGTGATGATGATGATGAGAGAGAGACACGCAAACTCCAAATATACAGCAGCAACAGGCGTCATGGTGGGGATGGAACCCACGACCTCCTGCATACCAGGTGAGGTAGTCAACATCTCCTAGCCACCGTGATGATGAGAGAGAGACACGCAAACCTCCAAATATACAGCAGGCGTCATGGTGGGGATGGAACCCACGACCTCCTGCACACCAGGTGAGGTAGTCAACATCTCCTAGCCACTGTGATGATGATGAGAGAGAGACACACAAACTCCAAATATACAGCAGCAGGCGTCAGGGTCTGGATGGAACCCACGACCTCCTGCACACCAGGTGAGGTAGTCAACATCTCCTAGCCACCGTGGTGCCCAAAGCGGCACTCGTTTTCACGGCGACGCAAACACCAGTGTCAAGTGTTGCCAACACCGTCCCGGGCAGTTTGGCCCAGACGCCGCTCATCCCTCACCTCGGTGAAGTTGATTTTCTCGCCAGAGAACATCTGCTGACGGGCCTTCTCCACGCCACGTGCCTTCGCCTGCCATGGTGGGGGGGGGGGGGGGGCACGGGAGGTGAGAGGGTAACAAGAGAGAGAATGAGTGAGTGACTGATTGAGTCAATGAATGGGTGAATGAATGAGTGAATAAATAGGTGAATGAATAGGTGAATTAATGAGTGAATGAATGGGTGAAAGAATTGGTGAATGAATGAGTTAATAGGTGAATAAATGGGTGAATTAATGAGTGAATAAATGGGTGAAACAATTGGTGAATGCATGGGTAAATGAATGGGTGAATGAATGGGTGAATGAATGGGTGAAATAATTGGTGAATGAATGGGTGAATGGGTGAATGAATGGGTGAATTAATGAGTAAATGAATGGGTGAAAGAATTGGTGAATGAATGAGTGAATAGGTGAATGAATGGGTGAATTAATGAGTGAATGAATGGGTGATAGAATTGGTGAATGAATGGGTGAATGAATGGGTGAATTAATGAGTGAATAAATGGGTGAAATAATTGGTGAATGAATGAGTGAATGAATAGGTGAATGAATGGCTGAAATAATTGGTGAACGAATGAGTGGATGAATAGGTGACTTAATGGATGAGTGAATAAATGAGTGAATGAATGGGTGAATGAATGGGTGAAAGAATTGGTGAATGTATGAGTGAATGAATGGGTGAATGAACGAGTGAATGAACGAGTGAACGAATGGGCGAATGAATGGGCGAACGAGTGCGAGCAGCTGCCACGTGGGTAGCCACCGTCCCCGCTGGCTACGAGCTATCGACGGGTGGAGGAGGAGGAGGAGCAGGAGGAGGAGGAGGAGCAGGAGGAGGAGGAGGAGCAGGAGGAGGAGGAGGAGCAGGAGGAGGAGGAGGCTTTGCCACGCGTCGGGGCGAGTGCCGTTAGCGAGGGGCAGCGCCTACCTAGGGCGGCCGGCACGGCACGCGAAGGGCAGGGGGGGAGGGCAGGGGGAGGGGGGGGGCAGCAGCACTATGGCCCCCTGGGGTCTGAATTGCCACAGTTCCGTTCACGCGACAAGCATTGGCAATCGGCCGTGTCAGGCGGTGGCGGGTTTTGCGCCACGTGCATTCATGCGATCTAACCCCGAACTAGTAATAAAAAAAAGCCCCTGTACTTATTTATTGTAGGGTGGTGCGAGTTGCAATAGTGATCGAGCCTCGTCAAGAAACACTACGCCCCGCGCCACCTATGGAAGGCCGAGCACTGTGGCACACGAGGGGGTGGGTGGCCAGCATCACGCCCGGCCGTCTTCGTCTCTCCCCAGTAGCGATGTTTACAACACACCGCACCAGGCACTCATTTGAGGCCGAGTCGACCAGCACACGTAGTGTGTTGTGTTGGTGCGGTGACCAATTGACCCAAAGACTGGCTGAGTTGCCCGCAGGCTGATGGACTGGGTGCTGATGGATTGACTAATTGGCTGATAGACTGACCGATGGACCGGCTGATGGACTGGTTGATGCATTGGCTGATGGACTGACTGATGGACTGACTGAAGGACTGACTGATGGACTGACTGATGGACTGGCTGATGGATTAGCTAACGGACTTACTGATTAACTGGTGGATGGAATGGCTGATGGACTGGTTGATGGACTGACTGAAGGACTGCCTTATGGACTGACTGATGGACTGACTGATGGACTGGCTGATGGATTGACTGAAGGACTGCCTGATGGACTGACTGATGGACTGGCTGATGGATCGGCTGATGGACTGGCTGATGAACTGGCTAATGGACTGACTCATGGACTGGCTGATGGACTGGCTGATGGACTGGCTGATGGACTGACTGATGGACTGACTGATGGACTGGCTGATGGACTAACTTATGGACTGGGTGATGGACTGGCTGATGGACTGACTGATGGACTGGCTGATGGACTGACTGATGGACTGGCTAGTGGACCGGCTGATGGACCGGCAGTGCAGTGTCTCTCTGCAGGTGTTGGCGATGTCCTTACCATATCCACGAGCATCTTCATCACCTCTTCATTGATGAGGTTCTTAGAGTAGTCAAAGAGGAGCTCCCCATCCTCGGTCTTCAGCACCGTGCTACACAAAGACAAAGGTCGCCCGGGTAGTCTTGAGCAGACTGTTGGGGCAAGAGCCGTCCGCGAGCAGCGCCTACGAATGGACTGACTGATGGACTGGCTGATGGACTGGCTGATGGGACTGGCAGATTGACTGGCTGATGGACTGACTGATGGACTGGCTGATGGACTGGCTGATGGGACTGGCAGATTGACTGGCTGATGGACTGACTGATGGACTGGCTGATGGACTGGCAGATGGACTGGCTGATGGACTGGCTGATGGACTGGCTGATTGACTGGCTGATGGACTGACTGATGGACTGGCTGATGGACTGGCAGATGGACTGGCTGATGGACTGGCTGATGGACTGGCTGATGGACTGGCAGATGGACTGGCTGATGGACTGGCAGATGGACTGGCTGATGGACTGGCTGATGGACTGGCTGATGGACTGGCTGATGGGCTGGCTGATGGACTGGCAGATGGACTGGCTGATGGACTGGCAGATGGACTGGCTGATGGACTGGCTGATGGACTGGCTGATGGACTGGATGATGGGCTGGCTGATTGACTGGCAGATGGACTGGCTGATGGACTGGCAGATGGCCTGGCTGATGGCCTTGCACACACACACAGAGCCGTTCGCGAGCGGCGCCTACGAAGGCCGGAATGGCGCATGCTGTGAGGGGCCGCGCCCCGGCCGCCTTTGTCTTCCCAGTGGTGACGCTTTTAACACACCGTACCAGGGACTAATTTATGGCCGAGTCGACCTGGGGGAGGCCCAGAACCTACTTTAGATTTTCATCACTGATGTTGGCCGTGAGTGGGAATCTTACTCGGGTTCATAGCGCAGCGCGCTAACCGCTATACCACCGCTCCCCACACACTGACACCCACAGAGAGACACAGACACACACAGACACAGAGACACACACAGACACAGAGACACACACAGATATACACACAGGCACAGAGACACACAAGAGATACACACAGACACAGGGACACACACAGAGACACACAGAGACACACACAGAGACATACACAGACACACAGAGACACACAGAGACACACAGAGACGCAGACAGAGACACACAGACACACAGAGACATACAGAGACACACAGACACACAGAGACACACACACAGAGACACACAGAGACGCACACAGAGACACACACAGACACACACACACAGACATACAGAGACACTACAACAGCAATTGCCACTCATTGCCAGTGATGTTACCGCAGTGCCTGTGCCAGGCTAGGTGCACCTTGAAGCTATCACGTGAACTGTTGAAGGTTCTCTGCTTGCAGGAGATCACTGTACAGTACCAGGAGTTATAGATGTATTGGCGTGCCAGGCTAGGTGCACCTCGAGGCTATCACGTGAAGTGTCGAAGGCTCGCTGCTGGCAAGTGACGGGTTAACACATTCTCCTGCGGAAGGAGCTGGTAGGAACGTTGGGTTGCTCGGTCAATGGCCAGGGTCAACGGCGGCACCACGTGGTGTACTACGCAAATATGCCCGACTGTGAGGACGGGCACAAGCTGGCGTGAGTAGGTGAAACGTTGAGTTTTATAAGGGCACCACGGGGTGACCAGCCCCTCCCCACCCAGCCCCTCCCCACCCACCCTCCACCCAGCCCCTCCCCTCCCACCCCTCCCCTCCCCACCTAGCCCCTCCCCACCCTCCCCTCCCCACCCAGCCCCTCCCCACCCTCCCCACCCAGCCCCTCCCCACCCACCCCTCCCCACCCTCCCCACCCAGCCCCTCCCCACCCTCCCCTCCCCACCTAGCCCCTCCCCACCCTCCCCTCCCCACCCAGCCCCTCCCCACCCTCCCCTCCCCACCCTCCCTACCCAGCCCCTCCCCACCCTCCCCTCTCCACCCAGCCCCACCCAGCCCCTCCCCACCCACCCTCCACCCAGCCCCTCCCCACCCTCCCAACCCACCCAGCCCCTCCCCACCCTCCACCCAGCCCCTCCCCACCCTCCCCTCCCCACCCAGCCCCACCCCTCCAATTTTTGGATGCACGACGGACGTACAGACACAATAATCCCCTGTGGGCTGGTGGTGTAGTAACCTGGAGGTTCCTACCAGTAACAGCCCGAGATGACTCCCCTGTGTGTGTGTGTTTATACATACAGACATTGCACACACACACAGACACACCCAGACGCGCACACCCACACAGACACCCTTACATAGGCATTGAGCGCAGTTTCAAGTGTCTGGCCCTCTATATATACACACACACACATATTATATTATCTTGTAAGGGTCACCAACCCCACACACACACACGGTCAGAAATAGCCGCGTTAATAATTAAATAACTCGCCCAAAGGTTGGGCACCCAAATTAGCTCGGCCCCTAAGTCAGCAGCCTCCCCAGCGGGTCTAGGGTTCTTGCAGACACCCCGCAGGCAGAAAAAAACACAGCCTGCAACAACCTGCTAACAGCCTGCTACAGCCTGCGACAGCCTGCAACAGCCTGCTAACAGCCTGCTACAGCCTGCAACAGCCTGCAATAGCCTGCTAACAGCCTGCTACAGCCTGCGACAGCCTGCAACAGCCTGCTAACAGCCTGCTACAGCCTGCAACAGCCTGCAATAGCCTGCTAACAGCCTGCTACAGCCTGCAATAGCCTGCTAACAGCCTGCAACAGCCTGCTAACAGCCTGTTACAGCCTGCAACAGCCTGCTACAGCATGCAACAGCCTACAACAGCCTGCTACAGCCTGCAACAGCCTGCAAGCGGGGCAAGCGCCGTTCATAAAGTGCCGAGCGGCACCGGCGATGGTCGGCGGAGCGGCACGCGACGGGGTGGGTGGCCAGCACCAAGCCCGGCCGCCTTTGTCTCCCCAGTGGCGATGTTTACACTCGGGGCCAGGTTACTCGTTTTGAGGCTGAGACGACCTAAGGGAGACCCAGGGAACGGTTCGGATAATCGTCGCTCACAGACATTGCACACACACACAGACATTGCGCACACACACACACACAGACATTGCACACACACAGACACTGCACACACACACACATTGCACACACACACACACATTGCATACACACACACATTGCACACACACAGACATTGCACGCACACACACACACAGTCATTGCACACACACACACAGACATTGCACACACACACACATTGCACACACACACATTGCACACACACACAGACATTGCACACACACACAGAGACATTACACACACACACACATTGCACACACAGAGACACTGCACACACACACACACTGCACACACACACACTGCACACACAGACATTGCACACACACACACAGACATCGCACACACACACTGCACACACACACATTGCACACACACACATTGCACACACACACACACACAGACATTGCACACACACACACAGACATCGCACACACACACACATTGCACACACACACACAGACATTGCACACAGACATTGCACACACACACACAGACATTACACACACACACATTGCACACACACACACACAGACATTACACACACACACACACAGACATTGCACACACACACAGACATTGCACACAGACATTGCACACACACACAGACATTGCACACACACAGACACACAGACATTGCACACACACAGACATTGCACACACACAGACATTGCACACACACACACATTACACACACACACATTGCACACACACAGACACACAGACACACAGACATTGCACACACACAGACATTGCACACACACAGACATTGCACACACACAGACATTGCACACAAACACGACATTGCACACACACACAGACATTACACACACACACATTGCACACACACACACACGACATTGCACACACACACACACATTGCACACACACAGACATTGCACACACACACACAGACATTGCACACACACACAGATATTGCACACACACACACAGACATTGCACACACACACACAGACACTGCACACACAGACAGACATTGCGCGCACGCACACACACACACAAATTGCACACAGACATTGCACACACACAGATATTGCACATACACACAGTCATTGCACACACACACACATATTGCACACACACACACAGACATTACACACACACACATTGCACACACACACAGACATTACACACACACACACATTGCACACACACACAGACATTACAAACACACACATTGCACACACACACAGACATTACACACACACACACATTGCACACACACACAGACATTGCACACAGACATTGCACACACACACACAGACATTGCACACACACACACAGACATTGCACACACACACACACAGACATTGCACACAGACATTGCACACACACACACACAGACATTGCACACACACACACACACAGACATTGCACACACACATTGCACACACACACAGACATTGCACACACACACAGAAATTGCACACACACACACAGACATTGCACACACACACACATTGCACACACACACAGACATTGCACACACACACAGACATGGCACACACACACACAAATCAACACACCGCACACAGACATTACATGCACACCGATAGACACACACCACACACTGCACACAGACACCACGCCCCAATTCTCTTCGATTTCCACTCCACCTTTCTCTCTCTCGCCGCAGTTTCAGCCGGCGGTCGCCGAGAAGCTCGGCCACTTCACCTTACACAGCCTCCCCCACCCCACCCCGCCTGGCTCGACCCCAAGTGCTCATCTCCTCACCTCGTTGCCACCCTTCCTCCTCCTCCTCATCCTCCTCCTCCTGCTGCTGCTGCTGCTCACCTGAACTTGTCGAAGCGCTTGGGGTCGTCGTGAAAGAGCGAGCGCATGTGCAGGGCGGAGGCGTTTGCCGCGTGCCACTCGCACAGCTTCTTGAACGTCGGCTCGGCGCTCAGGGCTGGAAGGACCATGGCGCTGGTGGTCGTGGTGGTGCTGCTGCTGCTGGTGGTGGTCGTGGTGGTCGTGGTGGTTGGTAGTCGTGGGCTCCTCGAGACGTCTCCCTTGCCCCTGGGGGGGGGGGGGGGTGGTGCAGTGGGGTGTGCTGGCGCTCTCTCCGATGGATTTCGAGTCTCCCGGGAATCAACCTCCTTGAGAGAGTCTCGTTAAGAGCCTCGCGAAAAGTCTCCCCGGTCTTTAAAGTTACAAAAATAAAGTCTCCCGAAAAACGTACCCGGGAAAAATCACTCCCCCGGGCGTCTCGATCAAAAAGTGCCCTGGAGTGTTTCGGTGAGAGCCCTCCGGGGTTCAACTCGGATCTCCCGCGAGTCTGCTAGAGTCGCCCTCCCCGCACACCGCCCGCTTAACGTCACCCGGGATTCTACCACCACCACCACCACCCACTCACCACCCTCGCCGTCTCCCGTTTTCTCTGCACGCAGCGGGGTCCGCAGACTTCGGTGTCCGCCACGAGTCGCGTGTCCCGGTCACTCGAGCGGCAGGCAGGGTGGGTGGAGCGAGAGGTGGAGCGAGAGGTGGAGCGAGAGGTGGAGCGAGAGGTGGAGCGGAGCGAGCGGGCGCTCAACAGCAGCCGGTTTAGGGTTATCTCGCCGCACTGGGATCTGCAGAGAACCTTTTTATAGCCGCGGAGAGCGGCGGCCGGGAGGGGGGGGGGGGGGTAGTGGCGTTGAAATATTTGGGGCAGACATTGCTGACGGGGAGCAATGGATCAGCGTTCACGTCGCCGACCGCGACAGTTGCCAGGTTCCGCCCCTGACGAGCAGACGGAATCCGAAAGAGCTGCTTCGGGAGAAGAGCCTCAAAGAATCCTCGTCGACGTCACCAAAAGCCGAGAGGAAAGCGCACCAAGATCACATCGCGGTCGGGCCGGCAGCCCTCCGGATCCTCCGCCGCAATGTCGGAGGGCGCTGTCGGCATCCGAGCGGAGCGTCGCTCAAGTGGCCGCCGGCTGAAACACTGCGCTGACATCGCACGCCTGCAGGAAGCCCCCACAACTGGCGACGGAAGAGACCGGGCCGCCACCGCCGCCTAAACGCCAAGAGCTTCCGAACCGACAGCTGCCGCAAGCGAACAGCCACCTCCCCAAGACACGCTGTGCGAGCTGGGAACAGCAAGTCCGGGCCAACCCTCCCACACCCAGCCATCCATGTAAGGGGACTAACAGCCAGGGATGAACGATTTGGGGAAAGTATCTAAGCTCTTTGGTCCTTTCGGTAAAATCACGGAGGAAAAAAAAAATCTATAATTGCCATTTTTCCGACGGATGTTGCGATTGCGATTTTACTTGCGATTAAAAGTCGAGCTTCAGTTAAATATTCGCTGTGTAATCGATTTAAACCACGTCATGGAGCATTACCACACGATGCCATCAAAGTATGAACCGCTCTATATAATCTCAGGCAAAAATGAGAACTTAAAAGATATATAATTTCTTCCAACATGTATTTATTATAAAATGTTTTCATTTAAATAGAACCATAGAACAATTGTTAAGTTAAAGAAAGTTATAAATGAAAACAATTCCAATAATAGGGACTTTTCAAATCGCCAAAATTTTCATCCTTTGCCATTTAACAATCGCATTGTTTCAAATTGCGATTTCGATTTGAAACCGATTAATCGTTCAGCTCTACTAACAGCCACCCACCATTGAGACTGGCGGTTACCCAGCGCCAGGCAGCGACAGGGAGGCACCTGCAGACTGGACACCGGAAAACGGCGCTCACACGCGGCCCCCAAACAACGACGAGACACATTCCACTCGGCCGGATTGCACAGGGCCACCTAACTACTCACTTGACCTGTGCTGGGTCAGCTCTCTCAATGCAAGGCCCCGTTCCCAGTGCCGAACGAAGCGAGTGCGGGACCCGCAGCATGGCGTTTTTAAGGGGCCCTAAATCATTCACGCGCGTACGATATTAAAACACGCATTTGTAACTTGCGCAGGAAAGCAATTGTATTTTTTTTTCATTTGCTATACAACCGGGTAATACGACAAATCTCTAACCTTAAACACCCAGTCGTTTGTAAAAGTCGAAGGCGGTGTAGCGCTGTAGTGACAGAGCAAGTTGCGGAGTCACTGAACCGCATTTGAATAGCTCGAACGCGTTCAGTGCTGGGCCCTTGAAAGTGCGTGGGGCACCGTAGCATTTGTAGCGACTTCTGCTACGAGGATCATCCGGCAGTGCCCATTCCCCCTGCACAGGAGGCCTTGTCCCAGGCGATTTACTGCACCGTCAACAAGTCAGTCCCCGGGCGAGGCGGTCAAGTCGGTCGGTCAGCTCGTGGTTCAGTCGCGTTGAGCAGGCAAGCAGGCGCTCTGGAAGCCTCAGTCGGTGGGGGCAGCACGATGGCCGACTGGCAGCGCCGGCAGTCCCTTGGGTCGACCGCTCAACCGCGCCAACGCTGTTCCGGTCGCCTTGAGACGTCGACAACGGGGGAGGGGGGGGTCCATCGCACGGTGCAAGGCGATCGCGTCGCTCCTTTAGCAATATAGACACACGTGGTACACGTGGTACACGTGGTACACGTGGTACACGTGGTACACGCGCGCGTGTGTGTTAGTGTGTAGCGCGTGCGTATTGGTGCGTGCTGGCGTGCGTAGTTGCGTGCGTATGCGTGTAGGTGTGCGTGCGGTGCGTAGTAAACATCGCCGCTGGTGAGGCAAAGCGCGGCCGCGCGTGGCGCTGGCCACCCACCCCCCTCTTGTGCCGTGCCGGCCTTCGTAGGCGCCGCTCGCTAACAGCCACTTGCCCCAACAGTCTGTTTAGGCTACACGGGGAGGGGGGGGGGTGGTTGTCGTCGTGTCCCCGCGGCGTGCCCACCCCCGCCCCCTGCTGCTACTCCTCCTCCTCCGCGCCGTCAAACTCCCGCCTCAAGAACGCGGCCAGGCGCCCCACGTTCTCCCCGGTCTTCGCCGACACGCCGACGACGACCGCGGCGGCGGCGGCGCCGCCGCCGCCGCCGCCCTCCTCGTCCGCCGCCAGCTCGTCGGCGAGCCGCGTCAGCGCGTCCCGGGCCCCCGGCAGGTCGAGCTTGGCCCCGACGACGGCGTGCGGAGCCAGCGCCAGCGAGGGTTCGTGGAGGGCGAGCTCGCGACGGAGCTCGAAGAGGCGGCGGGCGGGGGCGGCGGCGGACAGGTCGACGACGCAGAGCAGTGCCCGGCAGCGCTCCACGTGGCGCAGGAAGGAGAGGCCCAGGCCGCGGCCCACGTGCGCCCCCACCACGATGCCGGGGATGTCGGCCACTGTTGGTGTGGCCGGGGGTGGTGGTGGTGGTGGTGGTGGGGAGGGAGGGAGGGAGGGAGGGAGAGAGAGAGAGAGGGTGGCGGTTGTAGGAAATATTCCGTGCGTTTTTAACGCTGTAGTAATCGTGCAATGTTATAATGTTATCATGGTAAACTCGGGGGGGGTCAAAGTGCTTTACAGGTGGTGGTGGTGATGATGATGGTGGAGGTGGTGGAGGTGATGATGATGGTGTAGGAGGTGGTGGTAGAGATGGTAGTAGTGGAGGTAGTGGTGGTAGTGGTGGTGGTGGAGGTGATGATGGTGGTGATGATGATGGTGGAGGAGGTGGTGGTGAAGCTGGTGGTGGTAGTGGTGGTGGTAGTGGTGGAAGTGTTGGTGGAGGTGGTGATGATGGTGGTGGAGATGGTAGTGGTGGAGGTAGTGGTGGTCGAGGTGTTGGTGGTAGTCCGGCAAAAACAACCCCCTACCTCCTCGTGGTGCCGGACGGCAACGCTGTGGTGGGCAGTGCCGTGGGGGGGAGGGCCAATTCTGATTGGCTCCTCCCCTCATGGCGTCTGTGACCACCACAGCGGCCAGATGGTGGCTCTGGATGGGTGCGAGGGGCTGGTAACCCCTCCACCTTCAATTGACTACCACTAAACTACAATGTAAAACATTTATTAAGCTTGTGCCGGAGGCCCCGGGGGGACAGGCATCTATGACGTCTCCTGGCCAAACCCCATTTGGCGGAGCCAGGAGACTGAATCCTTACCCTCGGGGCTCCTCCAGAAACAACAAAAAGCCACTACGGATAGCCACGTGGAATGTTCGAACGCTCACTGCGGAGGAGAGGCTGCCACTCCTCTGTCGGGAACTGGAACGGTACCGCATGGATCTCTGTGGTATTCAGGAGATCCGGTGGACTGGTTCTGGCCCCTGCCACCATGAGGGGTGGACATTCCTCTACTCGAGGAAGCAGACTGCCAAACAACAGGGTGTGGCTCTTCTTCTGAACAAAAGAATGAAGGGGGCATGGGAGCGTGGCGGTGAGGTGTGAGAAGCTGTAAGCCCCAGGCTACTTTGGGCTCGCCTTCCCATCAACCGGAGGCGAGGAGTGGTGATCGTGGTTACTTATGCCCCCACTGAAGACGAACATCCGTGGAGGGATGCAGGCAAGGCCGATGAATCAAATGCCTTCTATGACCTCCTGTCACAGGTGCTGGCTAAAGTGGCCCCTCGGGATAGAGTCATCTTGTTGGGTGGCTTCAATGCCCGATTTGGTCATGATGCTGGCACCTGGTCTGGAGTGATTGGAAGACACTGGCTAGATCAGCTCAATAACAATGGTAGGAGGCTGCTAGATTTTTGTGCAGCCCATGGGCTTGTAATTACCAACACGCTGTTCCGGCATCGGTGCATCCACACAACATCATGGATGCATGCCGGGTCCAAGCAAGAACATCTGCTGGACTACAGAGTGATGGAACAGCAGATGCGGGCCCATGTCCTTGACACCAGAACCTACCGTGGAGCTGATCTGCCCACTGACTATCGACTTGTCATCTGTAAGATGTGCCTGCCATTCTTCCATTCCTGTGGTGGGTGTACACCCAGGACCCCATCATTCAAACCCATAGTGGCATGGTCTCAGCTAGCTGATGAAAGTTGCAAGCGAGAATTTCATCATCGCTTGCGGCTGGGGTTGGCATCATCCCCCACTCCTCCTGATGTTGAGGGGAAATGGGCGAGGTTTAGGACTGTGGTTCATGCAGCTGCAATGGCTGTTTTAGGTAGACGGTCCAGACCTCCCCAGAGACCCTGGCTGACAGAGGAGGTATTCAGGCTAGCTGAGAAAAAGCGACAGGCCCACTCTCATCGTCTACAGCATCCCATGTCAGAGAATGAGGAGGATATGGAGCTGAGTGCACTTGCCGATGACTGGTACCAGCGGTGTCAAGATCGGCCTCTGTGGAGGAGGCTCGTGAAGGACGCTACAGGGAGGGCGGAGGAGCGACGCTCACAACAACGAGCAGTTGGCACAGTAGGGGGCACAGGTGGTGCATCAGCCAGTCATTTCAGTCAGTCGACCCGTGGCACCTGCTGGGTCTGCCCCATGACCTCCTGCCAGCGGGCGTTCGACACTTCACGTGGCCTCAACGTGCACCTAGCCTGGCGCAAGCGTCGTGGTGACGTCACCGCCACTCAGTGGCGAATGCCGGTTTTTGTTGCTGTCGGTGGCGGTGGTGGTGGTGGTGGTGAGCGTGACCGGCGATCTGCGTGTAGTCGCGGTATTCCACGATGCCGACGTGCGGGTGGAGCGTGGTGAAGGGGTAGTCGCCCACCGCCGGGCGAGCGTTGGTCAGAGCCCTCAGCAGGGACGACTTCCCAGCATTCGGGAAACCCACCTGGGGGTGGGGGGGCAAGTGGACAAAGACAAAGGTCCCCCGTATAGCCTCCAGCAGACTGTGGGAGCAAGTGCGGTGAGAGCGAGTAGCGCCTGTCAAGGCCGGCACGCCACACGGAGGGGGTGGGTACCCACAGACTCACACAGAGACCCCAGACTCACACAGAGACCCCAGACTCACACAGAGACACACAGACTCACACAGAGACACACAGACTCACACAGAGACCCACAGACTCACACAGAGACCCACAGACTCACAAAGAGACCCACAGACTCACACAGAGACCCACAGACTCACACAGAGACCCCCAGACTCACACAGAGATACACAGATTCACACAGAGACCTACGGATTCACACAGAGTCCCACAGACTCACACAGAGACCCACAGACTCACACAGAGACCCACAGACTGGCTGAGAGACCCCAGACTCACACAGAGACCCACAGACTCACACAGAGACCCCCAGACTCACACAGAGATCCACAGATTCACACAGAGACCTACGGACTCACACAGAGTCCCACAGACTGGCTGAAAGACCCCAGACTCACACAGAGACCCACAGACTGGCCGAGAGACCCATAGATGTGCCCTCACGGTCTCCCCCCAACTTGTGAGCTTAGGTCTTCTCTTCCCCCTTGGTCGCCGGACGCGGTGAGACTCACCAGGCCAAAGTGAGCCATGGTTCTGATTTCCAGTTTCAGGGTCCTCTCTTCTCCCTCCGTTCCCTGCACAGGCACACATGGGGGCGATGTTTTCAGCGAGCGCCTCTCCGGCGGGGAGCGGCTTGGCGCTCAGCGGCCCGCGGCAGTCCCGAGGTCGCCGGTTCGCCCTTCCGGGAAGGGGAGGGCCCAAACGGCGGCGCAGGTTTCCCCAAATAGTTCCCTGAACCCACCGGTCGCCTCCGCCGACCCACCCAGAGCGGCGCTGCTCGGCGAGTGCTCGCGCGGCCGTTCGGCGAGTCCTCGCGCGACGCGCTGCTGCTAAAGCGGCCGCGTCTCTTTTTGGGAAAGACTCTTCGCGCGACGTGGCACGGGTGCCGTCACGACGCGGGTTTCTTGAGCGGTCGACGGCGAACTACTTTCTTGAGCTGCGTGGCCGAGCGGTATACGGTGATACAGTACGCGCAGTGATCAGAATCAGAAAGGGTTTTATTCGCCATGTAAGTTCACACCGACACGGAATTTACTTTGGCAGGATGGTGCATACATTCAACATATAGGAATCTAAAATCTTAAATAAGTTTTAAACAAGTCTTACTATAATAAGGGTTAAAAGTCTAACACCAAGGGGCTGAAGTATATAAAATTAAATAAATATCGAATATAAAATAGCTTTAAGATATGGTACGCATTGGCGTAGCCTCAACCTCGGTTCACTGTCCCGCCGTCTCACCGCGCGTGCGCGTTTGCGGGCGCCCTTCATGTTCGCGTGCGTGCAAGTGTCCGTGTGTACGTGCATGTGTACGCGTGTGTGTGTATGTGTGTGTGTAGTGGGGAGCGATAGTGTAGCGGTTAGCGCTGTGCTACACTATGAACCCGGCGACCCGAGTTTGATTCCCGCTTACGACCAACACCAGTGATGATCATCTGAACTGGTCCTGGGCACCCCCCAAGGTCGATTCAGCCTCAAATGAGTACCTGGTGCGGTGCGTAAAAACATCACCACTGGGGAGACAAAGGCGGCCGGGCGTGTGCCGTTCTGGCCTTTCTAGGTGCTCGCTAACAGCACCTGCCGCTCGAGTCTGTCAAGGCTGAACGCGGGATCTTTGTCTTTGTGCGTGTACGTGCGTGCATGTACGTGCGTGCGTGCGTGTACGTGCGTGTACGTGCGTGCGTGTGTGTACGTGCGTGTACGTGCGTGCGTGCGTGCGTTCACCTTCTCCGCGGTGGTGGGTGCCCGGTTGTCGTTAGTGAGGAAGCTGTGGTTCCCACGCCCCCCAACTCCCCCCCGCGCCACCACCACCTCCTCCCCCTGCTCGTTGAGGTCGGCCACCAAGGAGCCGGCCTCGCGCACCACGGTGCCCACCGGCACCTACACACGGGCAAAGGTCAGCCGTGCCGCCCACGCACGCTGTCGGGGCGAGCGCCATCGGCGAGCGGCACCCGTGGTCGGGGGTGTGTGGCCAGAACCCCGACCCGGGGCGACACGTGCTGACCGAGCGGCACTCGCTTGAGGCCGAGTCGACCTAGAACAAGCCCGAGGCTGTTCAGATGTTGTTGGCGGGAATTGAACTCGGGTCACCGGTGTTCGTGGCGCAGCGCGCTAACCACTGCAACACCGCTCCCCCCGCCCCCCCCCCCCCCCCCCCCCCAAGCGGTGACGTCACCACGCCGCCTGTGCCAGGCTAGGTGCACTTTGAGGCCATGTGAAGTGTCGAACGCCCGCTGGCAGCGCGCTAGCCGCTACACTACCGCTCCCCACATTATAGACACACACACATGACAGACACATGACAGACACACACACACACGACACACACACACACACGACGCAACACATACACATACACACGACACACACACACGACACACACATACGACACACACACACACGACACAACACATACACACACACACGACACACACACGACACACACACACAACACACACACACGACACACACACGACACACACACACACAACACACACACACGACACACACACGACACACACACGACACAACACATACACACGACACACACACACACGACACAACACACACACACGACACACACACGACACACACACACAACACGACACACACACGACACACACACACGACACACACACACGACACACACACACGACACACACACGACACAACACACACACACAACACACACACGACACACACACACGACACAACACACACGACACACACACACGACACACACACACGACACACACGACACACACACACAACACACACACACAACACACACACACACGACACACACACGACACACACACACGACACACACACACGACACACACACGACACAACACACACACACACGACACACACACACACGACACACACACACGACACACACACGACACACACACACGACACACACGACACACACACACGACACGACACACACACACGACACACACACACGACACACACACACACATGACACACACAACACACACACGACACACACACGACACAACACATACACACGACACAACACACACACACGACACACACACACGACACACACACACGACACACACACACAACACACACACACGACACACACACGACACACACACAACACACACACACACGACACACACACACGACACACACACGACACAACACATACACACGACACAACACACACACACGACACACACACACGACACACACACGACACACACACGACACAACACACACACACGACACACACACACGACACACACACGACACACACACGACACAACACACACACACGACACACACACACAACACACACACACGACACACACACACGACACAACACACACACACACACACACGACACAACACACACACACACGACACAACACACACACACGACACACACACACGACACACACACACGACACACACACGACACAACACACACACACGACACACACACAACACACACACACGACACAACACACACACACGACACACATACGACACACACACGACACACACACACGACATACACACGGCACACACACGACACACACACACACGACACACACACACGACACACACACACGACACACACACACATGACAGACACACACACATGACAGACACACACACGACACACACACACGACAGACACGCACACGATGTTCAACACCAAATGTAAACCTTTTGCAAGGAAGCAAGTTGCTGCATTAACCGCACGCTGCAGCGCTTGCGGTGTGAACATGCAAACAAACACACGCTCCGCTCATCATTCTCTCGCGTTGTCTTTGACACCCATTGGCCCACACCAGACACAGTGGCAGCCTTCTTTGCGGCCTGGTCTCACCACCAAGTTCTAGATTTGAAGCTTTCGTGACCGCAAGGATCCATACTCTTTGGTTCTATTCGGTAAAGTCACGTAGGTAAAAAATAAAATAAAACGACAAAAATCACGACGTTTCGGCCACAACACAAGCGGCCTTCATCAGGTGAAGGGACCAGACTGTCTCTAGGACAGCGCTGGAGTGAACACAGCCAAGCTCAGACCGCGACCTTTAAGCTGTGTGAGAGTAATTAAGGTGCCTTGACAAAGGAATTAGCATAAAAATTTGCATTTTAATAGGCGGACTTAGCATGATGAAAGGTGGGGAGGGGGTCGACCTGTGCAGGCCGGCGAGGGGGCACGGTAGCATCCACATGATGGTGGTGTGAAAAGGGGATTTTAAGCTGCGAAAGTTTGGGGTACCACTACTTGAAAAATATACTGTACCATTGAAAAATTAGTTGAACGTTTGGTTCGATTTAGAACATCTTTCCAATGGTTGCTTAATTTGAAACCACCAAGTGTCGGACGAAAAAGCGAACGGCTCAAAGACGATATTGATTTGAAGCTTTCGTGACTGCGGGAATCCACATTCTTTGATTCGTTCGGTAAAGTCATGACGTAGGTAGAAATATAAAATATCACGTATCTAGCTACGTGACTTTACCGAAAGAACCATAGTGCAAAGACAATGCACGTATCAGAGCTTTTATAACTCGGGGCGAGCAGACGTATATAAAGACAATGCAAGTAAAGTCACGTAGAAGGGAAACAATAAAATAACAAATGCCAAATCGCTCTCCGTGGTGCTAACGTTAGGGAAAAAAAACGCCACTTTTTTCAAATGTTCTTGCTGTGGTTTTCACACCTGACGATGACTGCTTCTTGTGTTGCAGTCGAAACGTCGTGAGAATTTTATTGTTTTATATTTTTTGTTATTATTTTATTGCTTCCCTTCTACGTGGTGACTTTACCGAAAGAACCAAGAATATGAATCCCTGCAGTCACGAAAGCTTTAAATCAAAATACAATGCAAGTCTATTATTATAATTATTATCAGAGCGTGTCTGTTCGCGTGTTCGCCATAAGTAACGTGTGTGGTTAGCGCAGACTTCATTCCTTGCAAAAAGGTTTCGGTTAGGTGTTTGAACATCTTGACACACAAAGGGTAAAACCTATTGTTATTTGTATTACACGCTTTTATTTAACTCACTCTGTCTGTTGTCGTCGTTGTTGTTGTGGTCGTTGTATCGACTGAAAACTTGGTATACTCATGTCATACTGATGACAATACTATATTCTATCATTAAAAATAAAAAGATATATTTTTAAACAGTATGTTTTTTACATGTTATGTTTCGGCTTGGCTCTAATTGTCCACGCTCAACTCACGTTGGCTGTAAATCACCACGGCCCCCTTACGTCCTGGCAAGCTTCGTGTTCAAAAAATATTACTTATTAATACTTTGATACTGGCAAAAAGGTCCTGTGATAGATACGGACAACACACACGACAGACAGACGCACACACACATAGACACACACACTACGTGACACACGTGACACAGACACACACACATAGACACACATACAGACAGACACACACACATAGACAAACACACACTACGTGACACACGTGACACAGACAGACACACACACAGACAGACACACACACACATAGACAAACACACACTACGTGACACACGTGACACAGACAGACACACACACATAGACACACACACACATAGACACACACACACACAGACACACACACAGACAGACACACACACAGACAGACACACACACACACTACGTGACACACGTGACACAGACAGACACACACACACACATAGACAAACACACACTACGTGACACACAGACACTCACACACTCACACACACACACAGACACACACACAGACAGACACACACACACATAGACACACACACACTACGAGACACAGACACTCACTCACACACATACACACACACAGACACACACACACAGACAGACACACACACATAGACACACACACACTACGTGACACACGTGACACAAACAGACAGACACACACACACACATACACACAGACAGACACAAACACATAGACACACACACACTACGGGACACACGTGACACAGACACACACACATAGACAAACACACACTACGAGACACACAGACACTCACACACACACATAGACACACTACGTGACACACGTGACACAGACAGACACACACACACACAGACGGACGCACTGAGGGACGCACGCCAAACAGACGCACGACAGACAGAAGCAGACGCACGTGGAGGAACTTGTCTTTGCCATTGCGTCCGAAGCATTTATCCGAGGCCCCCGACGTCCCATCGTGTCCACGGTAGAGACGGGACACCCCAGACAGGGAGCGAACCATTCTGTCCGCTGGTACAAAGACAACAGGACACAAGCACTCCATCAACAGTTTCCCATTTCACCAGGTAAGGCACCGCTGAGCTGAGCGTAGTGGCCTTATCATCGCGTGGACGTTTATAGCAACCAAATAACTCAGAATTCCTTACGGGTGAGTAAACATGCTAAGTGGCTGATTACTGATCTATGAAATAATTGCAATACCCCCCCCCCCACCTCCGCCTCCGATCTCGAATCCTGATGGTGTTCAACAACGATAAGGTCGTCCTGCTGCACTATTTAAGATGGAAAGAAAGGGGGATGGCTTCACTGGTCTGGCAAATCGCCCGAAGATGCCGGATGTAATTACCAGCGAAACGTCGGGACTACTCAAAACTGTAAATGTTGTGGATTTACTCTTCAGCACACCGGTGGGCTAAAGTAGTGAACTATTTTGCCTTTTGTCAACGTGACACTTTTTTTACTGATTGGCCGTGTCGGGTGGTGGAGGGTTGTGACACATTTAAAAAAAAAACGCGATCCAACCCAAAAACCTTTATTATGAACTACTGTAGCGTTTGTGCGCGTCCAAGGACCGGTGTATATTGCAGTAAATCTGAAATATTCAGTAGAAAAATTATACACAGTAAAACCTTGGATGGCGCAGCACAATTCGTTCCGGAGACGCGTTTGTAATCCAAAGCACTCGTATATCAAAGCACTCGTTTATCAGTCGTGATCACGTGATGCTCGTCAGCGTGTCTACGTACACTGCTCGTATTTCAAGACCCTCGCTCGTATATCAGTCGTGTGATCACGTGACGCTCGGCAGACAAAGCGTGTACTGTACGTACTGCTCGTATTGCAAGACCCTCGCTCGTTTATCAAATCAATATTTATATAACAATTTTTGCTCGTCTTGCAAAACACTCGCAGACCAAGTTACTCGCAATCCAAGGTTTTAACCGTATGTTTTTAAATTTAACTTCATTATCTGTTATTTTGATTTTCTATCTACGTGATTTTACCGAAAGAACCAACAATATGAATTCCTGCAGTCACGAAATTTTTAAGTCAAAATAGAAAAATTGTTCAGCTCATGATTATTAATGGGGGGGGGGGTTACCCCATGTGGAGTGACGTCACCCCCTCATGGTTATTGTGGAGGGGTGCAGCATGTGGAGTGACGTCACCCCCTCATGATTATTAATGAGGGGAAGGGTGCGGCATGTGGAGTGACGTCACCCCCTCATGGTTATTGTGGAGGGGTGCAGCATGTGCAGTGACGTCACCTCCTCATGGTTATTGTGGAGGGGTGCGGCATGTGGAGTGACGTCACCCCCTCATGGTTATTGTGGAGGGGTGCTAGTCATGTGGAGTGACGTCACCCCCTCATGGTTATTGTGGAGGGGTGTGTCATGTGGAGTGACGTCACCCCCTCATGGTTATTAATGAGGGGAGGGGTGCGGCATGTAGAGTGTACGACCTGAGTTTGTGTCAATTACCACGCGGTCATGAATATTAATGAAGGGGGGGGGGGGCCCTTTTGCAGTGACGTCACACAAGGATGTGGCACTGTGCTGCGTAGATTGATTTTTTACCGTCGCTTTCCGTAAAGAAACGTCGTCATATTTGACGCGACTTAGCGTAATATATTATTTAATTCCGCTCGACCTTCCTCCGCGTTAGTGTAAAAATCCACTCGGTCATGATTATTTTATTATTAATGACCGGGGGGGGGTGTGGCATGTACAGTGACGTCACGTGCGCTACACACATTTCTGGGCTATTATAGTAGTAATATAATAATACTGGTCGCGTAAGCCGACATGTTAACCTGATAACAATATATGCATATTACTGCAGCAGGCATCGGGGTCGGGATTGAACCCACGAACCTCCTGCATACCAGGCGAGGTAGTTAACATCTCCTAGCCACACAATAAATATTGGTGGGGGGGTGTGGGGGGGTTGAGGGGGTAGGGTGGGGGGTGCCTACCGACCATGATGACGTCGCCCCCCCTTCCCCCATTGCCACCGTCGGGACCCCCAAACTCCTTGCGGGGCTCGCTGTGGAAGGCGCACATTCCGTCGCCCCCGCGGCCCCCCGAGACTTTCACCGTTCGCTCATCCACAAACCACCGCGCCTGGCAAGGACAAAGACAAAGATCCCACACCCCACGGTGTAGCCTTAACAGACCGTCGGGGCAAGTGCTGCTAGCGAGCAGCAGTGCTTGCGAAGGCCGCCGATGTTTACCACACAGCGCACCGGGTACTAATTTGAGGCCTGGTCGACCTAGGCGAGGCCCGGGATCGGTTCAGATAATCGTCACTGGTGTTGGTGGCCGTGGGCGGGAATCGAACCCGGGTCTCTGCCGAGTTCGTAGCGCTAACCGCTGCACCACCGCTCCTGGCAAGGACACAAGACGCGCACGCGCGCAGAACCACCACCACCATCATTATCAACGGTCGAGCGAGCAAAGTGCTCCGAATAAATGAGTTTGTCAATCTTGATGATATAAAAGTGCGTAGCTCCAATGGCTTCCCGATGTCCGAAGAGCGCGTTCCAGACGGCCGCAGAGGCGGTGACCGCTGCCTTTGTTCGACGGCTGAGACAAAAGCCGCCGCCGCCGCCGCTGCGAGGGTGACCGGAGTTTGCGTGACGATGGTTTACGTTCCTTGACAAGATCAGCAAGGTATTGTGGTTCATTTGGCCCCATGATGCAGCTGCTCAACCCGCGCTATAAATTCTCTGACACGTGTGGCATTGCCTTTGTGCTGTTCACTTTTTGGCGTTGTTCTCTGGTCTGTGACACTGGTGGTGAGGCCAGGCCATGAAGAAAGCTGTCTCTGGTGTCGGCCAATCGGTGTCAAAGACAATGCGAGTCTATTATTCTATATTTGAAGTTTTCGTGACTGCAAGGATCCATATTCTTTGGTTCTTTCGGTAAAGTCACATAGGTGGGAAAAATAATTTTTAAAAAAATTCTTTTTTATTTAAATCACGACGTTTCGATTGCAACACAAGCAATCGTCATCAGGTGCGACAACCACAGCAATAAATATTTTTTCCTGAAGTAAAAAGTAAAAAATATTTCTTGCTGTGGTTGTCGCACCTGATGACGATTGCTTGTGTTGCAATCGAAACGTCGTGATTTAAAAAAAAAAACATTCCACCTCCGTGACTTTACCGAAAGAGCCCAAGACTATGCGAGTATATCACTACCAGAGCGTGTTTGTTTGAATGTTCACCACAAAGTACCGCGTGTGCTTAATGCAGCAACTTGATTCCTTGTAAAAGACACCTCAACACAACTCCTGTTTGAGTGCCAGAAAGGGTTAAAAACCTCTTCTTATTTTCCATACTGTCAGGGCTCCATGTCTCCTCCTACTTACTTCCGTCTCTCAGCGTAACTCCAAGAACGGGAGAAGACATTTTTCTTTTTACAGATTCCCAATCGATTTTTTTTTTTTTAACGGGGTAAGCCGACGGCAACGGTACGGGCGCCGATTCGGCGGCTTTGTGCAGGCCTCCGGCGCCCGACTCGGGCCGTACGAGATCCGAAAACGCCACGCGGTGCGGGCTGCCAACGGCGGGTACCGACGGCAATCGCCGCGGGCGACTTCAACGCCGACTCCCGTCGCCGCACCCGCCGATTTTTAACCCACGTAGCACCAATTTTAACGAGGGGCTGTGTTGTTGTTGTTGTTGCTGTTGTCTTGGCGTCGTCTAAATAAAAGTATAGAAGGGTGCTTCAAAACAATGTCACCACTTATATCGGACTATCGTTTTTAATGGAAATAATACACTGTAACATGATGACAGATGTATGTTAATATTTTTTTTTTTAAGTCAAGGAGTCTCCCACTTGTTCGCCGTCGTTGTCAACACGTGGCCTGGAATCTTCTTCAGGTCGTCTCCAGAGCTCGGAGGCAACACATTTTCTCATGGTGTCGTCCGCAAATTCTCGGAAGTGTTAACATTTTTTTGAATCACCCTCTATACTCTTTGGTTCTATTCGGTAAAGTCACGTAGGTAAAAAAATAAAACAACAAAAATCACGACGTTTCGGCCACAACACAAGCGGCCTTCATCAGGTGAAGGGATCAGGCTGTTTCGAGGACAGCGCTGGAGTGAAACACAGTCACGCTCAGACCGCGACCTTTAAGCTGTGTGCGAGGAAACAAGGTGCCTTGACAAAGGAATTAGCATAAAAAATAGCATTTGATTGGCCGACTTAGCATGATGACCGGTGTAGAGGTGGTGTACATGCGGGTGAACATGCCGGTTGGCGCGGGGGGGGACGGGGGAGTTTACCTATTGATGGTGTGAAAATGGAATTTTTTAAGAGCTGCGAAAGTTTGGGGTACCACTACTTGAAAAATATACCGTACCATTGAAAATTAGTTTAATGTTTGGATCGATTTAGAACATCTTTCCAATGGTTGCTTAATGTGAAACCATCTTCTCGGTTGAAATTGTGTCTGTGTTTGTAGATCTGAATTGCCTCGTGAACAAATCTCTGATAGAAACCCGTGGGTTTGCAAAGAACCTTGGTATCGAAGAAAATTATATCGTGATCACCCACAGCGTTGTAACAGTGATCAGCTACGGCAGATGAATTCGTTCTGCCGTGTTTCAAATCTGATTTGTGCTCGCGAATTCGGTCAGAGACATGTCGCTTTGTCTCCCCGATATAGCAATCACCGCAGGTGACTTTACCGAATAGAACCAAAGAGTATGGATCCTTGCAGTCACGAAAGCTTCAAATCTAGCACCCTCCATACTTTATTTAGATTTATTTTCAGTGACCTGCTCACCTTTCCTACACTTTGCACCGCTCATGTTTTTAGTATTGTTTTTCTGACCCCACGTGCCCCTACTGGACACCTGTAAAAGTAAAAAAAAAATTTTACAAATAAAAATCAAGAGCTTCACAGCTCATCGGATTCCTCCTGCAGTTGAAACAAATATCCCGATTCTGATTGGAATATTTATTACCGACTCCCCGCCCTGCGTCGTTCCTCACCAGCTGCTTCTCCGTCATCTGCCTCCTCTCCCGCCTGTGCCTCTGCCCCCGGGACTTCGCCGTCTCGCACAGGGCCTTGCGGGTCACGCCGAGGGAGGCCCGCAGAGTCAGGAGGGCCCTGTGGGCCGAGCGCTGGGCCCAGCCACGGCCCGCCACTGCCGAGAGGCACGGGGAGCAGACCCTGGCAGCCATGCGGGGCCCCGGGGTGGCCGCGTGCGTGCGTGTTTGTGCGTGTGTGTGTGCGTGTTTGTGCGTGCGTGTTTGTGCGTGTGTGTTTGTGCGTGTGTGTTTGTGCGTGCGTGTTTGTGCGTTTGCGTGCGTGCGTGCGCTTGTGTACGCGTGCGTGTGTTTTGCACGCGAGCGTGTGCGTACGTGTGTTTTGTGCGCGCGTCCGCGTGTGTTTGCAGAGAACGTCTGTGCTGACTAACAGCGCTTGCTATCTAAGAGCACCTAAGGCTGTACACGGGTGATCTTTGTTGCTCGTGTCGGTTCGATGGAGTCAGGGGACGGCGGATGAGTGAGATGCTCCACCCCCCTCCCCCCCGATATCCGGATGACTTGAGCACCAACTCCCCGATATCCGGAATCCCTGCGATGCACGGAGTTTTGCTAAAGCCCGCAACGACAGCAAAAAACAACGGCAAGACGCGAGAAACGTTTGGTTGGCAATCGTCGTCGTCATTGTCATCGTCATCATTCGTGATAATCGAGTACGTTTGGTACGAGAGCCAAGCCACAAATGTCGTGGCCACAATGTTGTGGCTTGGCTCTCCAACGCACCGCTGTGGTGCTGTGCCAGTAACGAATCGGCCACGTTCTGCTTAAGTGGCAAACCTTGCTAATTGGCTGTGTCGGGTGGTGGCGGGTTTCACGACACATATATTGACGCGATCTAACGCAAAAAAAAACACATTCATTATGGATGATATTGGTTTGGAAAGCCGACTACGTGTTAAACTGAGCATCGTCATCGTCACGTGGAAATTTAGAGCAGCAGCCAAATACTCTCTAAACGCGTGGTGACGCTGATTCTAAATGTGGCGGGGGAAAACCTGGGGGACCCGGGGGAAAATCCACGCAACAAAGGGGACGGCGAGACAAGCAAACTCCAAATATACAGCAGGAGTGAGGGTCGGGATCGAACCCACGACCTCCTGTATACCAGGCGAGGTAGTTAACATCTCCTAGCCACCGTGATGATGATGATGAGAGACACGCAGACTCCAAATATACAGCAGCAGTCAGCGTCGGGATCGAACCCACGACCTCCTGCATACCAGGCGAGGTAGTTAACATCCTCCTAGCCACCGTGATGATGATGAGAGAGAGACACGCAAACTCCAAATATACAGCAGCAGTCAGCGTCGAGATCGAACCCACGACCTCCTGCATACCAGGCGAGGTAGTTAACATCTCATAGCAGTCCTCTTCACACGGAGTGACTGGCTGTCCCTACCGCGTTACTACAGCGGACTGTTGCTGTTCCTGTTGTGGTCGCACGCGTTGGGGGTGACGGAACGTTCCTGCTGTTGCGCTTTGGCTGTCCTCCAATCGCTGGGCTGGACCAAGGCTGATGATGCTGCTGCTGATGATGTTGTTGTTGATGCTGCTGCTGATGATGCTGCTGAAGTGATCAGAGCTGTCGTCAAATGATGATCTACGTTGTCCTATGCAGCTGAAGCGAGGCAACGGCGTTTACCCATTTCTCGTCTCGTGTACCAAATAAAGTGACAACACCGACATCACCCACCCACTCTTACTCACCCACCCACTCACTCACCCACCGACTCACCCACCCACCCACCAACTCTTACTCACCCACTCACCCACCAACTCTTACTCACCTACCCATTCAGCCACCAACTCTTACTCACCCACCCACTCACCCACCCACTCACCCATCCACCCACTCACCCACCAACTCTTACTCACCCACCCACTCACCCACCAACTCTTACTCACCCACCCACTCACCCACCAACTCTTACTCACTCACCCACTCACCCACCAACTCTTACTCACCCACCCACTCACCCACCAACTCTTACTCACCCACCCACTCACCCACCAACTCTTACTCACCCACCCACTCACCCACCAACTCTTACTCACCCACCCACTCACCCACCAACTCTTACTCACTCACCCACCAACTCTTACTCACCCACCCACTCACCCACCCACTCTTACTCATCCACTCACCCACCAACTCTTACTCACCTACTCACCCGCCCACCCACTCACTCACCCACCCACCCACATCTCCCAAGAAGGAGACCACAAGCACGCCGTTTGTCCCTGCGTGGGGAAGAGTAGACCAAGCACCACTGCGAGAGCCGAGCGGCCTCTAGCGGAGGAGGCCCAATTCCGCCTGTAGGCCTCAACAGCACGCCGTGCACGGTGGCCTTAAGCATGAAGTCACAGCTAAAGTACAGCTCCAGCCGGAGAAATGCTTCACACGTGCTCATCACGCCTCGACTCGTGCGAGAATAATGGATCGTAAATAGTTTCGATAATGAACAACCACAACGATGAATAATAATCATAATCATCTCACCTTCACGAGCCAAACGTGAACGGCTAGCGACGGATGCGTGGGAAAGTCGTAGGGCGAGAATCGATTGTCACAAGTTTGGTGCGGAATCGATTCGATGATCGATTCCAACCTCACACCCGACCCCCACCCTCCTAGTGAGTCTTTGGGTCTCTGTGTGAGTGAGTCTGTGGGTCTCTGTGTGATGAGTCTGTGGGTCTCTGTGTGAGTCTGTGGGCCTCTGTGTGAGTCTGTGGATCTCTGTGTGAGTCTGTGGATTTCTGTGTGAGTCTGTGGATTTCTGTGTGAGTCTGTGGATCTCTGTGTGAGTCTGTGGATCTCTGTGTGAGTCTGTGGATTTCTGTGTGAGTCTGTGGGCCTCTGTGTGAGTCTGTGGATCTCTGTGTGAGTCTGTGGGTCTCTGTGTGAGTCTGTGGATCTCTGTGTGAGTCTGTGGATTTCTGTGTGAGTCTGTGGGCCTCTGTGTGAGTCTGTGGATCTCTGTGTGAGTCTGTGGGTCTCTGTGTGAGTCTGTGGATCTCTGTGTGAGTCTGTGGGCCTCTGTGTGAGTGAGTGTATGAGTCTCTGTATGATGAGTCTATGGGTCTCTGTGTGAGTGAGTATATGGGTCTCTGTGTGAGTGAGTCTATGGGTCTCTGTGTGAGTGAGTCTATGGTTCTCTGTGTGAGTGAATCTATGGGTCTCTGTGTGAGGGCGTCTGTGGGATCTTTGTGTGCTTGAGTCTATGGGTCTCTGTGTGAGTGAGTATATGGGTCTCTGTGTGAGTGAGTCTGTGGGTTTCTGTGTGAGTGAGTCTATGGGTCTCTGTGTGATGAGTATATGGGTCTCTGTGTGATGCGTCTGTGGGTCTCTGTGTGAGTCAATGGGTCTCTGTGTGAGTGAGTCTATAGGTCTCTGTGTGAGTGAGTCTATAGGTCTCTGTGCGAGTGAGTCTATGGGTCTCTGTGTGAGTGAGTCTATGGGTCTATGTGTGAGTGAGTCTATGGGTCTCTGTGTGTGTGAGTCTTTGGTCTCTGTGTGAGTGAGTTTATGGGTCTCTGTATGACTGAGTCTATGGGTCTCTGTGTGAGTGAGTCTATGGGTCTCTGTATGCGTGAGTCTTTTGGTCTCTGTGTGAGTGAGTGTATAGGTATCTGTGTGAGTGAGTCTATGGGTCTCTGTGTGTGTGAGTCTTTGGGTCTCTGAGTGAGTGAGTTTATGGGTCTCTGTGTAAGTGAGTCTATGGGTCTCTGTGTGCGTGAGTCTTTGGGTCTCTGTGTGAGTCTATGGGTCTCTGTGTGGTGAGTCTATGGGTCTCTGTGTGAGTCTATGGGTCTCTGTGTGAGTCTATGGGTCTCTGTGCGAGTGAGTCTATGGGTCTCTGTGTGAGTCTATGGGTCTCTGTGTGAGTGAGTCTATGGGTCTCTGTGTGAGTGAGTCTATGTGTCTCTGTGTGATGAGTCTATGGGTCTCTGTGTGAGTCTATGGGTCTCTGTGTGAGTGAGTCTATGTGTCTCTGTGTGAGTGAGTCTATGGGTCTCTGTGTGAGTGAGTCTATGGGTCTCTGTGTGAGTCTATGGGACTCTGTGTGAGTCTATGGGTCTCTGTGTGAGGGAGTCTGTGGGATCTTTGTGTGCTTGAGTCTGTGGGTCTCTGTGTGAGTGAGTCTATGGGTCTCTGTGTGAGTCTATGGGTCTCTGTGTGAGTGAGTCTATGGGTCTCTGTGTGAGTGAGTCTATGTGTCTCTGTGTGATGAGTCTATGGGTCTCTGTGTGAGTCTATGGGTCTCTGTGTGAGTGAGTCTATGTGTCTCTGTGTGAGTGAGTCTATGGGTCTCTGTGTGAGTGAGTCTATGGGTCTCTGTGTGAGTCTATGGGACTCTGTGTGAGTCTATGGGTCTCTGTGTGAGGGAGTCTGTGGGATCTTTGTGTGCTTGAGTCTGTGGGTCTCTGTGTGAGTGAGTCTATGGGTCTCTGTGTGAGTCTATGGGTCTCTGTGTGAGTGAGTCTATGGGTCTCTGTGTGAGTGAGTCTATGGGTCTCTGTGTGAGTGAGTCTATGGGTCTATGTGTGAGTGAGTCTATGAGTCTCTGTGTGTGTGAGTCTTTGGTCTCTGTGTGAGTGAGTTTATGGGTCTCTGTATGACTGAGTCTATGGGTCTCTGTGTGAGTGAGTCTATGGGTCTCTGTATGCGTGAGTCTTTTGGTCTCTGTGTGAGTGAGTGTATAGGTATCTGTGTGAGTGAGTCTATGGGTCTCTGTGTGTGTGAGTCTTTGGGTCTCTGAGTGAGTGAGTTTATGGGTCTCTGTGTAAGTGAGTCTATGGGTCTCTGTGTGCGTGAGTCTTTGGGTCTCTGTGTGAGTCTATGGGTCTCTGTGTGGTGAGTCTATGGGTCTCTGTGTGAGTCTATGGGTCTCTGTGTGAGTCTATGGGTCTCTGTGCGAGTGAGTCTATGGGTCTCTGTGTGAGTCTATGGGTCTCTGTGTGAGTGAGTCTATGGGTCTCTGTGTGAGTGAGTCTATGTGTCTCTGTGTGATGAGTCTATGGGTCTCTGTGTGAGTCTATGGGTCTCTGTGTGAGTGAGTCTATGTGTCTCTGTGTGAGTGAGTCTATGGGTCTCTGTGTGAGTGAGTCTATGGGTCTCTGTGTGAGTCTATGGGACTCTGTGTGAGTCTATGGGTCTCTGTGTGAGGGAGTCTGTGGGATCTTTGTGTGCTTGAGTCTGTGGGTCTCTGTGTGAGTGAGTCTATGGGTCTTTGTGTGAGTCTATGGGTCTCTGTGTGAGTGAGTCTATGGGTCTCTGTGTGAGTGAGTCTATGGGTCTCTGTGTTGTAAGTCTATAGGTCTCTGTGTGAGTGAGTCTATGGGTCTCTGTGTGAGTCTATGGGTCTCTACCAGTGCCAGATTAACCTAGTGTGGGGCCTGTAGCATGATGTTATAAAGGGGCCCTCAATTTTTTTTTAAACACGTAAATATTAAAAACACGCATTTTTTTACTTGCACAGTAAAGTAATTGTATTTTTTCATTTGCAATACAGCCGAATAATAGGAAAAATCGCTAACCTCAAACACCCATTCGTTCGTAAAAGTCGAAGGCGGTGTAGTACTATAGCAATAGAGCAAAGTGCAGAATCACTGCACTAAGTGCGGGGCCCGTAGCTGCTACATTTGTGGACACTTTTACCAATGTAGTAGATTGCCCCTAGATTGTGTTCATTATTATTGTTGTTGTTGTCACGGCCTTGTGCCCCTTTACCGCCGGACATCGTCGACGCAAGAACCTTCCGCACCTCGCGGGGCAATGCTCATGCGCCCCGACTCAACAATTCGCCATCGTCACAGCGACATCCACCACCACTGTGGCCACTCCTCTCCGCCGATAACAAATTGTCCCGCGGACGTTCGTTTTTGGTGTGTGACTCCACTTTGAGTGGCCGTTGATTTTGACTGCGCGGGGGTTCAAATCCGCCACCACCACCAACAACAACAACCAACAACCACCAACAACAACAACCACCAACAACAACCACCACCTCCACAAAGCCCAGCCATGACGGCCCGATACGACCGCGCCATCACCGTCTTCTCGCCCGACGGCCACCTCTTCCAGGTGGAATACGCCCAGGAGGCCGTGAAGAAAGGCTCCACGGCAGTACGTATCCCTCTCTCTTCCATTCGAGCTAGAACCGAGATGTTTGTGTGTGTTTTTTAAGTTTTGTTAATTCATTCAGATGGACGTGTTGCGGCCTATGCTCGGGCCTACTCGAAGCCCACGGCGTTGCCTAGAACCCGCGCCGTCGGTGGCCGCTGAGCGGCCGGGCGCGGCTTCTAGGCGAGGGTCGGTCCCGTTTTTTTTGCACTGTCATGTGGCCAAACGCTTAACAATGATTATTGTTTTAAAAAAAGAATATATAAAACGTTGCTTTCTCGTGCCGATGAAAGTTAACGCGCGGCTCACTCTGCTTTTTGTAAGATATCACGACGGCGCACTCGCGGAATATTAAAGTCTGCCCATTCAACTTGCCGGCCATGCGGGCGCACGACACGGGGACACGGAGTGGTCATCCAGCAGTGGATTTGGCAGGAGGGCTTTACGTTATTGTTGTTATTATTATAGTTATTGTTGGTATTATAGTTATTGTTGGCATTATAATTGTTATTGTTTTTATACTTGGAGTCCTGTGGACTTACACAGAGATCCATAAACATCCATAGACTCGCATAGAGTGACTTTACATACTGAAAGGCTCGCATAGAGACCAGTAGACTCACATAGAGACCAGTAGACTCACATAGAGACCCATAGAGACCAGTAGACTCACATAGAGACCAGTATACTCACATAGAGACCAGTAGACTCACAGAGAGACCCACAGAGACCCGTAGACTCACATAGAGACCCATAGAGACCAGTAGACTCACATAGAGACCCATAGAGACCAGTAGACTCACATAGATACCCATAGAGACCAGTAGACTCACATAGATACCCATAGAGACCAGTAGACTCACATAGATACTCATAGAGACCAGTAGACTCATATAGATACCCATAGAGACCAGTAGACACATAGATACCCATAGAGACCAGTAGACTCATATAGAGACCAGTAGACTCACATTGAGACCAGTAGACTCGCATAGATACCCATAGAGACCAGTAGACTCGCATAGATACCCATTGAGACCAGTAGACTCACAGAGATACCCATAGATTCGCATAGAGACCAGTAGACTCAAATAGATACCCATAGTTTTGCATAGAGACCTGTAGACTCACAGAGATACCCATAGATTCGCATAGAGACCAGTAGGCTCACATAGATACCCATAGACTCGCATAGTGACCCGCAGACTCACAGAGATACCCATATATTCGCATAGAGACTAATAGACTCACATAGATACACATAGAGACCCATATATTCGCATAGAGACCAGTAGACTCACATAGATACCCATAGAGACCAGTAGACTCACATAGATTACCCATAGAGACCAGTAGACTCACATAGATACCCATTGAGACCAGTAGACTCACAGAGATACCCATAGATTCGCATAGAGACCAGTAGACTCACATAGATACCCATAGACTCGCATAGAGACCCGCAGACTCGCATAGATACCCATAGATTCGCTTTGAGACCAGTAGACTCACATAGAGACCCATAGTTTTGCATAGAGACCCGTAGACTCACAGAGATACCCATAGATTCGCATAGAGACCCATAGACTCGCATCGCGACCCATATACTCGTATGGAGACTATAATACCATAGACTCACTTAGAGATTTGCTTAGAGACCCATGGACTCGCATATAGACTCATTAAGAGAACTATAGGTTCGCCTAGTTACCCATAGACTCGTACGGAGACTATACCACCGACTCGCATTTACTATACCAACAACTCGCATCAAGACCATACCATAGACTCGCACAGAGACTCATTTAGATACCCATAGACTCGCCTAGATACACATTGACTCGCATCGAGACCGTGTAATCAATATAATTAATATTGCCACTGAATCGCCAATTTAAATATCGGGGCGGCTTAGAAGGTGGGGTGCAGCTTGGATCGTGATTGAATGGGGGAGTGTTGTGCACTCAACAGGTACTATAGGCCTCCGTCTGCCTACTTTGTGGGCAGTACAGATTGTTGTACAGTACTTCTATGCTCGCACGTCTTCAATAGCTTCCCCGCATTCAAGCAAGCGGCAATGACCAGCGCGGTGAAGTATGGTCATTCCCACCCCTCCGCACAACGTACATTATTTCACTCGTTTCTATATTTAACGTCCTGATCACAAAACCTCCTTAAATTAACAAAGATTCCATCGTATAGACGTAACAGACTGTTGGGGCAAGTGCTGTTAGTGAGCAGCAGTGCCTATGATGGCTGACACGGGACACACGAGTGGGTTGGGTGGCCAGCACCAGGCCCGGCCGCCTTTGTCTCCCCTGTGGCGATGTTTATTACACACCGCACCAGGTACTCATTTCACACTGAGTCGGCCTAGGTGAGGCCCAGGACCGGTTCAGATAATCGTCACTGGTGGTGGCCGTGGACGGGAATCGAACTCGGGTCCCCGGGTTCGTAGCGCAGCGTAGCGCTAACCGCTACACCACCGCTACAGACACACGCGCACTCGCATTCAAAGGCAAATATCACCTTCGTAACCATGAACAGACAGTTGGGGCATTTCTGCTCGCGAGCACTGGGTGGGTGAGTTGGTGGGGGGGGGGGGGGGGGGGCGCGCGGTGTGGCCAATGCCCGTGATAACTCGTTCACCTGCGTTTCCTACCTGTGCTCCGGCTGTCCCAACCCCAGGTGGGCATCCGAGGGCTGGACATCGTGGTGCTGGCCGTTGAGAAGAAATCTGTGGCCAAGCTCCAGGAGGAGAGGACGGTCCGCAAGATCTGTGCCCTCGATGACCACGTCTGCATGGCCTTCGCCGGTGCGAGCGGGGGGCGGGGGGAGATGTCGGAGGGGTGGGGGGCAGGCGGGTGTCAGCGGTTGCTCTGGTGGAGGTGGAAAATGTTGGGGCCTTGGAGAGGGTGGCGACAGTCGTGGAGTGCAATGTTAACTACCTCGCCTGGTTTACAGGAGGTTGTGGGTTCGATCCCAAGCTTGACTGTTGCCTGTTGTATATTTGGAGTTTGCGTGTCACTCTCTCTTCCCGTGGTCGTGTGGATTTTATCGCCGGGTACTCCGGTAATTCCCTCCACATTTAGAAACGTGCATTTAGAATCTTTGCTATAAATGTTCACGTAACAAGCCACTTCGTTGAGATATTTGTGGCCAGGTCGCTTCTGAAAAAAGCTATATAGCTCATTGAGCCTTACCTGATAAAGTCACGTATGTCGAAATAAAATAGAAATAATAAAAAAATAAAAATGTAGAAAATATAAAATGTATTTTAAAATTAAAATTATTTTTATTTCTACATACATGACTTTACCGAAAGAACCAATGAGTATAGTAATTCCTGCAGTCACGAAAGCTTCAATCCTAGATTACCTGGTAAAGTATTTTTTTTTAGTTTAGTGTCAGCGGTTTGCGCGCTGCGCTACGAACTAGTGACGATTATCTAAACGGGTAAGATGACTCGGTGTTAGACGAGTACCTGGTGCTGTGTGTAAGCATTGCCACTGGGAAGACAAAGGCGGTCGGGCGTGGTGATGGCCACCCACCCCCTCGTGTGCCATGCCGACCTTGATAGCTGCTGCTTGCTAACAGCACTTGCTCCTACAGTCTGTTAAGGCTATACAGGGGATCCTAGTCTTTTTTTGTCCATGAAATACCGCGGCTTATTGAGCAATGGAGTGTCCCAGTACACCCGTTTTCTTACCGAAACTCCGTTATTTCCACGAAGACTACGTTTAGCAATCTACATCTTGTGGTGTAGTGTGGTTATTGTCTTTGTTATGCAGATAAACCGGTACGTGAGCCGTCGCGACCCCTCCGATCCACATTGTTGCTCACCGCAGAGAACCGTCGCGACCACGACCGCCGCAACTCTACGATAGCTGGCGACAAACCGTTGCCACGCGCCCCCTCGCGCGCATGGCCGTGTGGGAGGCCTCGGTACCGGCAAAGTTATTGCCCCTAATTTTTCCTTCGTGTTTCCGTTCCGATGACGCACACGTACGACGATGCACACGTACGTGGACATTTCCGGCAGTCAAATACCCTTAAACGCACGTTTATGAACGTGGAGGGAAATACCGGAGAACCCAGGGAAAAAAAATCCACACGACCGCCGGAAGAGAGAGACCACGCAAACCCCAAATATACGTGACGTACAGAGTACGTACGTCACCGGACGTGTGCGTCATCACGACTAAATTCCGGAAGGGAAGACTCGTGCCGTCAAAGCACGTACGGAACAGGAAAGGGTTAAGGCTGAAAGCGTCAACGCATGGAGCTCTCTTGTCTTGGTCTGTCCGTGCGTCCGTGCCGCAGGTTTGACGGCAGACGCGCGGATCGTGATCAACCGAGCCCGCGTCGAGTGCCAGAGTCACAAGCTGACGGTGGAGGACCCCGTCACGGTTGAGTACATCACCCGCTACATCGCGGGCCTCAAGCAGGTAAAAGGCGCAGCTGTTGCGGTGTGCCGCTTTGCGCCGCTGCCGGCGGGGAAGGGCCTCCCCGGGGCTCGATGGCCCCTCCGGTGAGCCCCTCTCCAGGGTATTTGGGCCCGCTCGAAAACTATAAACGAAAAGCTGCTGTTGATTTTAGCAGGTGAGGCCCACTGAGCCACGTGGCTCTTTTTGAGAAGCGACCTGGCCATCGCGAACGACAGCCCAGCCAGACGTGGCCCATCGTCACCGCCGTGCGGGAATTCGCAGCGGCCATGTACTCTTAAAACGCGTGGTGACGTCGGTTCTAAATGTGGAGGGGGAAAACCGGAGGACCCGGAGAAAAATCCACGCAGTGACGACGGGGGGGGCGGGGGGGGCCGGGGGGGAGAGAGAGAGAGAGAGACGCGCACACTCCAAATATACAGCCGGCGTCAGGGTCGGGATGGAAACCACGAGCAGGCGAGGTAGTGAACATCTCACCACCCACTCTTTACCCCACCACACGTGACCTGGTGGAACCCACGTTACTCGAAATATGCCGTCGATGCCTCCCCAACACCCCTCCCCCTACCCTGTCAATGTCTCCCCCCCCCACACCTCCCCGTCACCCCCCCCCCACCTCAGCGCTACACACAGAGCAATGGGCGCCGCCCGTTTTGGGATCTCGGCTCTGCTCGTGGGGTTCGATCAAGACGGGATTCCTCGGCTCTACCAGACCGACCCGTCCGGCACCTACCACGCGTGGAAGGTCTCGTGCGCACCAACACCGCCGCTAGGCCAGGCGCGAAGCGGTTGTCGGAAGGCTCGCTCGCTGACGCAGGAGGTCACGCACAAAGACAAAGGTCCCCCGTGTAGCCTTAACGGACTGTCGGGGCAAGTGCTGTTGGCGAGCAGCACCTGTGAAGGCCGGAACGACGGTACACGAGGGGGGTGGGTGGCCAGCAACCACGCCCGGCCGCCTTTGTCTCTTCCCCAGTGGCGATGTTTACACAGCGCGCTCGGTCCTCTCTTAAGGCTGAGTCGACCTAGTGGAGGCCCAGGACTGGTTCTGATCATCGCTAAAGGTGTTGGCCGTGAGCGGGAATCGAATGCAGGTCGTCGGGTTTCATTACACAGCGCGCTAACCGCTACACTGCCGCTAACTACCACGCCACCGCACGCATATATAAGACAAAGATGACAAAGATCAAAGTCCTCCATGTAGCTCCTAACAGGCTGTTGGGGCAGGTGCTCTTGACGAGCACTTGTCAAGGCCGGCACGGCACGTGAAAGCTGTGGGTGGCCAGCACCACGCAGTGCCGCCTTGGTTTCTTCCCCAGTGCCGATGTTAATACACCGCACCAGATACTCGTGTAACGCCGAGTCGACCCAGACGAAGTCCCGGATCGCTTCAGGTATTCATCACCGCGGTGTTGGTCCCCGAGTGGGAATTCACTGCGGGTTGGCCGGCTTGTGGAGTGCAGCGTGCCACTAGCTAACTACTTAATTAACTTTTTTTTTTAATTCACCATGTAAGGCCCACTCGGCTGTATGGTTATTTTTCGGAAGCGAGCTGGCTATCAAAAATAAGAGCCCGAGGAAGTGGCTTATCGCGTGGAAATTTACGGCAGCCAAGTACTCTCAACGCGTGGCGACGTTGATTAAAAATGTGGCGGGAAAAACCGGAGGACCCGTAGAAAAATCCACGCGACCACGGGGAGAGAGAGAGAGACACGGAAACTCCAGATATACAGCCAGCAGGCGTCAGGGTCGGGATCGAACCCATGACCTCCTGCATACCAGGCGAGGTAGTTAACATCTCCTAGCCACCCACCGTGGCGCACCACACACACGTACAGCAGCACGGGGGGGGTGGAGAGGGCAATGTGCTCAGCACGCGGTACGTGACGCCGACGTGTTGCAACGAGGTCGAAACCGCCGGCGTTGTCCATCCCCCACCACCGCGCGCAGGCGAACGCCATCGGACGCAGCGCCAAGACGGTGCGCGAGTTCCTGGAGAAGAACTACACGGAGGAGGCGATCGCTACCGACGCGCAGGCCATCAAGCTCGCCATCCGCGCCCTGCTCGAGGCACGGGGAGACACACTGGGGGGGAGACACGGGGGGGGACACGGGAACGTGGGGTGGACGTACACGCGTACGTTGACGTTCTTTCCCGCCGTACGTAGGCCGCCGTGCTAATCGGAGGTGCCGGGGAAGGTCATACAGGGGCACGCGGAGGACACGTGGGGACACGGGGAGGGGGAGGGATACGGGGGCGTGCAGGGGCACACAGAGACACGCTGGGGGAGACGCGGGGAGATGTGCTGACGCACGGGGAGACGCCGGGACATGCAGAGGGCACAGGAAGACTTGCGGGGACACACAGGGGAGACGTGGGGACGCCTGGGGGGATATGAGGTGTGGAGTTGATGTGATGATGATGAGGTGTGGGGTTGATGTGATGATGATGAGGTGTGGGGTTGATGTGATGATGATGAGGTGTGGAGTTGATGTGATGATGATGAGGTGTGGGGTTGATGTGATGATGATGAGGTGTGGGGTTGATGTGATGATGATGAGGTGTGGGGTTGATGTGATGATGATGAGGTGTGGGGTTGTTGTGATGATGATGATGAGGTGTGGGGTTGATGTGATGATGATGAGGTGTGGGGTTGATGTGATGATGATGAGCTGTGGGGTTGTTGTGATGATGATGAGGTGTGGGGTTGATGTGATGATGATGAGCTGTGGGGTTGTTGTGATGATGATAAGCGGTGGGGTTGTTGTGATGTTGAGCTGTGGGGTTATGATGATGATGAGGTGTGGGGTTGATGTGATGATGATGGTGAGCTGTGGGGTTGTTGTGATGTTGAGCTGTGGGGTTATGATGAGGTGTGGGGTTGATGTGATGATGATGGTGAGCTGTGGGGTTGTTGTGATATTGAGCTGTGGGGTTATGATGATGATGAGGTGTGGGGTTGATGTGATGATGATGATGAGCGGTGGGGTTGTTGTGATGTTGAGCTGTGGGGTTATGATGATGATGAGGTGTGGGGTTGATGTGATGATGATGAGCGGTGGGGTTGTTGTGATGTTGAGCTGTGGGGTTATGATGATGATGATGAGGTGTGGGGTTGATGTGATGATGATGATGAGCGGTGGGATTGTTGTGATGTTGAGCTGTGAGGTTATGATGATGAGGTGTGGGGTTGATGTGATGATGATGAGCTGTGGGGTTATGATGATGATGTGTGGGGTTAATGTGATGATGAGCTGTGGGGTTATTGTAATGATGATGAGCTGTGGGGTTGTTGTAATGATGATGTGTGGGGTTGTGATGATGATGAGCTGTGGGTTTGTTGTGATGACGATGATGATGAGCTGTGGGGTTGTTGTAATGATGATGAGGTGTGGGGTTGATGTGATGATGAGCTGAGGTCGTTGAGATGATAATGATGATGTGTGGGGTTGTTGTGATGATGATGTGTGGGATTCTGTCTCTCAGGTGGTGCAGTCTGGGGGTAAGAACATCGAGCTTGCTGTCATGCAGAGGAACAAGAATCTGAAGGTACAGGAGCCGGCCATTATGTGCCAGTATAGTAAACTCGTAATAACCTCGGTGGTGGGTGAGGTGGTGGTGGGTGGGGTGGTGGTTGGGTGGGTTGGTGGTGGGTGGTCAGTGGCAGTGGGGGTGGTGGTGGGTTAACCCTTAAATCCGCGAATATTTAACCCTACCCCGTTCCGAGACGTCTCCAAGTTGCTGGGTCTGGGAGGGACCATGCCACACTCCCATCCCAAACCGTGCCACACTCCCTCCCAAACCGTGCCACACTCCCTCCCAAACCGTGCCACACGGCCATCCCAAACCGTGCCACACTCCCAAACCGTGCCACACTCCCTCCCAAACCGTGCCACACTCCCTCCCAAACCGTGCCACACTCCCTCCCAAACCGTGCCACACTCCCTCCCAAACCGTGCCACACTCCCTCCCAAACCGTGCCACACTCCCTCCCAAACCGTGCCACACTCCCTCCTGGTTGGCCTTGCGGGAGCCTCGGTGCGTCTGCCAACCTGAAGACGTACCGGTCATGTTATTTGAGTTTAGTTTCTCTTCTGATTCTCAGAGCCTAGGAGGGAAATGTTGGTGTCCCGTAGCCATGCGTAGCCAATCGGAGGTGCCGGAGGGGCGGGGGGGGAGAAAGACAACAAACTAAACACAACAAGCAGTTTTAAATGAACGAGTTTTCAATCTGTTCTAGGCTGGTCCCTTCACCTGATGAAGGCCGCTTGTGTTGTGGCCGAAACGTCGTGATTTTTGTTGTTTTTTTTTTTACCTACGTGACTTTACCGAATAGAACCAAAGAGTACGAGTTTTCAATCTCCAATTCAAAAAGTCCACAGCTCGAGTGGCTTGGCGCATGATCATATATCACGTTCAAACGTAAACAATTTAAATTGCACGCGTGAATAAATACGTACGTATCACATCGCGCAGTGTTATTTAGCTTGCCTTCAACAACGAACACAGTCGCGTTGTACGCTTGTTTGTTGAACTTCTTTCGCACCGTACGTAGCCAACCGTAGCTAATCGGAGGCGCGGGTGGGGGGGAAGCACAACAAACCCTCTACACAAAAAGCCGTTCCAATATACGCTGGCTATTCTGGCAAATCTTCCCGATGATGCCGGATGTAATTACCAGCGAAACGTCGTACTGCTCAGATTGTAAATGTTGTGGATTTACTCTCCAACACACCGGTGGGCTGAAGTAGTGAACTAACTGGCGCCTTTGGTTTACGTGACAAATCCCTTACTGATTGGCCGTGTCGGGTGGTGGAGGGTTGCGACACATTTATACCCACGCGGTCTCACCCAAAAACCTTTATTATGAACAATATCAATGAGTTTGTCAATCGAGGTGATGATTTCAAAGGGCGTAAGCCCCCCAGTGGCTCCCTAATGTCGGAAGGAAGAGGCGTTCCAGACGGCCGCCTGGAGCCGCATCCCGATCCTGACGACGCCGGCTGTCAATACATCCGTGGCCAAAACGCAAAAGCGCAATTGAAAAACTCCCGAGTATTCGAGGGGTTGCTCTGTTACACAGAGCACAACACGGAGAATCTTGCCATGATGATGACGCTGCTGATGATTATGATGATGCTAATGGTACTGGTGATGATCATGATGCTGGTGATGCTGCGGCTGATGACGATGCTGATGACGATGCTGATGACAATGCTGATGACGATGCTGATGACAATGCTGATGACAATGCTGATGATGATGCTGAAGCTGACGGTGAAGCTGACGGTGATGATGCGTGTGCTAATGATGCTGCCGCTTGACACCTTCCAGATGCGAACGATGATGTTGACGATGATGATGCTGACAACGCTGACGACGATGATGACGGTGCTGACTATGCTGGTGCTTGTGATGGCACCGTTACTGATGACGGCGATGAGGCTAATGATGGTGATGCGAACGCTGCCGATGATGATGATGATGATGACGATGCCGCCGCCGTGCCCCGTTGCAGATTCTGGAGGCGGATGAGATCGAGGTGTACGTGAGCGAGATCGAGAAGGAGAAGGAGGAAGAAGTGGAGAAGAAGAAGCAGAAGAAGTCCTCGACTTAGAATGACGGACGGACGCACACACACGCAGACGCACACACAAAGACAAAGATCCCCCGTATAGGCTTCAGAGAATGTTGGCGCAAATGCTACCTGTGAGCGCCTATGAAGGCCAGTACGGCACACGAGCGGGTGGGTGGTCAGCACCACTCCCGGCCGCCTTTGTCTCCAAAATAGAGATGTTTACTACTACTACACACCACACCAGGTACTCGATTGAGTCGACCTAGGGGAGGCCCAGGACCGGTTCGGATAATCGTCACCGGTGTCGTCCGTGAGCGGGAACCGAAGCTGGGATCCGTAGCACGATCGCGCTCACCGCTGCGCCACCACTCCCCAAGCAACACACGCACGACAACAATACACACGCACGACAACAATACACACGCACGACAACAATACACACGCACGACAACAATACACACGCACGACAACAATACACACGCACGACAACAATACACACGCACGACAACAATACACACGCACGACAACAATACACACGACAACAATACACACGACAACAATACACACGACAACAATACACACGACAACAGTACGCACACGCGCGTGAGAGAGACTCTGTGCGCGCGCGACCCACGTGCAGACCCTACGGCTCGTGTCGCGCACCGCTACCCCCCCGCCCCCCACGCCCACCCCCACGCCCCCCACGTGAACGAGTTGAGAAGTGAACGTCAGAGTTGTTTTGTAACTTGAGCTTCTAATAAACTCGGGCTGGCGTTCATCCGTGTCGCCGGGCATTAATCCGGCGGTTGTGTGTGTGAGACCCCGTGCATGTATATTTAGAGTCGGTGTTGGGGGGGGGGGCCTTACCTGGTGAAATGTGAATGCAGTTGTTCATCGGCTATCTCCCTGCCAACGTCCGGCGGTTCGGGGCCGATCCGGAGAAAAGCGCCCCAAAGGCTAACCCAGACGGCTGCGTGCCGAGTAGCACACTCAGTACACGCAGTACACTCAGTACACACTCAGTACACGCAGTACACACGCAGTACACGCAGTACACACTCGGTACACGCAGTACGCTCAGTACACGCAGTACACACTCAGTACACACTCAGTACACGCAGTACACACGCAGTACACACACAGTACACACTCAGTACACGCAGTACACACGCAGTACACTCAGTACACGCAGTACACACGCAGTACACACTCGGTACACGCAGTACACTCAGTACACGCAGTACACACTCAGTACACTCAGTACACACTCAGTACACGCAGTACACACTCAGTACACGCAATACACACTCAGTACACACTCATTATACACTCAGTGTACACTCAGTGTACACACACAGCACACACACAGTACACCCACAGCACGCACACACACAGCGCACACACAGTACACACAGCACACACAGTACACACGCAGTACACACACAGTACACACGCAGTACACACAGCATCCACACAGTACACACACACAGTATACACGCAGTATACACGCAGTACACACGCAGTATACACACAGTACACACGCAGTGCACACACAGTATACACGCAGTACACACACAGTACACACGCAGTACACACAGTATCCACACAGTACACACACAGTATCCACACAGTACACACACAGTATACACAGTATACACACAGTACACGCAGTATACACGCAGTACGCACAGTATACACGCAGTATGCACAGTATACACACAGTACACACGCAGTACACACACAGTACACACACAGTATCCACACAGTACACACGCAGTATACACAGTATCCACACAGTACACACGCAGTATGCACAGTATACACACAGTATACACGCAGTACACAGTACACGCAGTATACACAGTACACACAGTACACACTTGTGGAGTCATCCTGCTGTTTCGTTTCTTCAGCAAGAGGGGTGGATGTGAGCCTCTTGTTGCGCGAAGTGGTGGTGGTGGTGGTGGGGGATTGATGAATGCGTGTCAATGACAATGGGTATCCATTGCCGGTTGGGTGAAGTAACCCAAGTCTGGCTGTCGCCTGATGGAGCTGGTTGTAATTACCGGCGAAACGTCGTACTCGGGTTGTCAATGTTGTGGCTTGGCTCTACAACACACAACCGGTGTGGTGTACTAGTATACTACACTATACACTACACTACTATACACTACACTATACACCACTATACACTACACTACTATACACTACTATACACTACACTACTATACACTACACTACTATACACTACGCTACTATACACTGCACTATACACTACTATACACTACACTATACACTACACTACTATACACTACACTATACACTACTATACACTACGCTATACACTACACTACTATACACTACACGACACTATACACTACACTATACTATACACTACTATACACTACACTATACACTACTATACACTACACTATACACTACTATACACTACACTATACACTACAATACACTACACTATACACTACTATACTACACTATGCACTACTATACACTACACTACACACTACACTATACACTACTATATACACTACTCTACACTACACTATACACTACACTATACACTACTATACACTACACTATACACTACTATACACTACACTATACACTACACTATACACTACACTATACACTACTATACACTACACTATACAGTACACTATACACTACACTACTCTACACTACACACTTGTGCTGTACTAGTGACGAATTGGCCACGTACTGTTTACGTGACAACCCTTACCTAGTTGGCTGTGTCGGGTGGTGGCGGGGTTAACGACACGACATTTATATATTTATACGCGATCTAACCCCAAAAGAACCCCCACCACCACCACCTGTATTATGGATAAAGCATCGGTAGTTACCAAGCCCAGCCACCAGATGGTGGACGCGTCTTTCATGAAGTGGACTCGCCCAGAGGAGGCTCCGTTCAACGTCTCGCAGCCGCGAGCTTTTGCAACGAATATCATCCACAAGAGAGTTGTTGTTCTTACACGGGTGTTCAGTTCGCGTGTAAATGTAGAAACGTGTCCCGTAAACCCGCCGCCACCACCCACAGTCGATCGGTGAGGTCGTGTCACGTGAACAGAAAGTCTGCCAATTCGTTACCGGTACAACGCACCGTCAGTTGTGTGTTGTCGGCTTCCGCCTGATGATGCTGGTTGTTATTACCGGCGAAACGTCGTGCTCGGATTGTCAGTGTTGTGGCTTGGCTCTCCAGCACACAACCGGTGTGGTGTACTAGTATACTACACTATATACTACACTATACGCTTCACTATATACTACACTATACACTACTATAGACTACACTATACACTACACTATACACTACTATACACTACACTATACACTACACTATATACTACACTATACACTACACTACTATATACTACACTATACACTACACTATACACTACTATATACTACACTATACACTACACTATACACTACTATACACTACACTATACACTTCACTATATACTACACTATACACTACACTACTATATACTACACTATACACTACACTATACACTACTATACACTACACTATACACTACACTATACACTACACTATACACTACACTATACACTACTATACACTACACTATACACTACTATACACTACTATACACTACACTATACACTACTATACACTACACTATACACTATTATACACTGCACTATACACTACTATACACTACACTATACACTACTATACACTACACTATACACTACTATACACGAAATTTTTATTTAAAGCTTTCGTGACTGCAGGGATTCATATTCTTGGTTCTTTCGGTAAAGTCACGTAGAAGGGTAACAATAAATAATACAAATATAAAACAATAAAATTCTCACAACGTTTCGACTGCAACACAAGCAATCATCATCAGGTGTGAAAACCACATCAAGAAAATTTGAAAACAATGGCGGTTTTTTAATGTTTGCACCACGGATGCATATGTTAAAAAACCGCCACTTTTTTCAAATTTTCACTACTATACACTACACTATACACTACTATACACTACACTACACACTACTATACACGACACATACACTACACTATACACTACACTATACACTACTATACACTACACTATACACTACTATACACTACACTATACACTACTATACACTACTATACACTACACTATACACTACACTATACACTACACTACTATACACTACACTACTATACACTACTATACACTACACTATACACTACTATACATGACTATACACTACACTATACACTGCTATACACGACTATACACTACACTATACACTACACTATACACTACTATACACTACACTATACACTACTATACACTACACTATACACTACACAGTAGTGATGTGCTAGTGACGAATTGGCCACGTTCGGTTTTGCGTGACAAACCTTACCAATTGGCTGTGTCGAGTGGTGGCGGGTTTGACGACACATTTATATATCCACGCGATCTAACCCCAAACAACTCTTTAATGGATACAGTGTCTCTGTGAGGACCCACTGAGCTAATGCATAGCTGTTATTCAGAAGCGATGTGGCTATCGCAAATGATAGCTCAAACGAAGTGGGATCATTGTCATCATCGTCACGTGGACAGTTATAGCAGCAGCCAAAGACTCCAAACGCGTGGAATGTGCAGGGAAAAACCAGAGGAGCCGGAGAAAGCAAAATCCACGCGACTACGGGGAGAGAGACACGCAGACTTCAAATATACAGCAGCAGCAGGCATCGTCAGGGTCGGGATAGAGCCCACGACCTCCTGCACACCAGGCGAGGTAGTTAACATCTCCAAGCCACTGTGATGATGATGATGATTAGAGAGACACGCAGACTCTTAATATACAGCAGCAGCAGGCATCGTCAGGGTCGGGATAGAGCCCACGACCTCCTGCACACCAGGCGAGGTAGTTAACATATCCTAGCCACTATGATGATGATGATGAGAGAGACACGCAGACCCTTAATATACAGCAGCAGCAGGCATCGTCAGGGTCGGGATAGAGCCCACGACCTCCTGCACAGCAGGCGAGGTAGTTAACATCTCCTAGCCACTGTGATGATGATGATGAAAGAGGCACGCAGACTTCAAATATACAGCAGCAGCAGGCATCGTCAGGGTCTGGATAGAGCCCACGACCTCCCGCACACCAGGCGAGGTAGTTAACATCTCCTAGCCACCGTGATGATGATGAAAGAGACACGCAGACTTCAAATATACAGCAGCAGCAGGCATCGTCAGGGTCGGGATAGAGCCCACGACCTCCTGCACACCAGGCGAGGTAGTTAACATCTCCTAGCCACCGTGATGATGATGAGAGAGACACGCAGACTTCAAATATACAGCAGCAGCAGGCATCGTCAGGGTCGGGATAGAGCCCACGACCTCCTGCACAGCAGGCGAGGTAGTTAACATCTCCTAGCCACTGTGATGATGATGATGATGAGAGAGACACGCAGACTCTTAATATACAGCAGCAGCAGGCATCGTCAGGGTCTGGATAGAGCCCACGACCTCCTGCACACCAGGCGAAGGTAGTTAACATCTCCTGGCCACCGTGGCGTACAAGGTCCACATGCACACCCACAAACTCTGAAAGACGACATTCTGTCACGGGACCATTTGCCAGACTCGTGCGTGAGCACCTCTGAAGGGCGGAACGGTCACGCGAGGGGGTGGGTGGCCATCACCATGCCCCGGCCGCCTTTGTCTCCCTAATGGCGGCGATTACACACCGCACCAG